ATTGCACCGTGACATCCTCCTTCCAAACTCACCAAGTTTTGCGCCGCCCGAGCTGGCATGAGCCCGGTCAACAAGACAGCGCTGATCTGATCACCAAAGCATATCACCATCAATCATGTCGATCCGCTTGCAACGCTGAGCTCAGGTCACTTCCCTTCTTTGCCTTGAGATGCGAATCACATAAACAACTACCTACTATCTACCTAACTACCTACCTGCCTATCACCTAGGGTATTCAAATGGCCGACCAGCTGCCTTTGGCTCCCACTCTTTGAGTAACATAATCTAGCTACTGGCTTCTGTTCGACGCCAACAACTTTGCCACAGCCTTTCGCCGGCAATCACGGTTAATGGCATCCCGGGTCTGAAGGTTCGAGCGCACTTAAGCATCCATGCGATGTCACTCGGCGTACAAAGAGCCCAACCCTAGCGGGATTGATAGTTAGGTAATCGTTACAACACTGGACGAGTTCTCTACAGGATTGCCCTCACGGAATCAGTAGGGCTCATGAGGGCAACAACGACTCTCCAACCCGTCGTTTTGTCCGCCAAAAAACAGCTACCGCAAGATCCGTTTCGGCCTCTGGATCCGGTTTATATGAAGATGGTCGGCTCTGAAGTAATACCCAAGAGACACTAGACCTTGTGATCCTACCTTATGCTTGCCGATCTGACACAGTGCGACCTCACTTTTGCGAGAGAGTCAAGTCTCCGACAGTCCATCCATGGTTTGCAGTCGAAGACGCGACGATTGGGTTGTAGTGGCGGGCATTGTTGTACGAGGCCTGGGCAGCCCTTGCCTCACGTCCTCCCATTCGTCTGACTCGATACAACATACAAAGTACATGGTGGTATCTAGAATGAGTTCCCAACCCAGAGATTTCTCCTGTCTTGGGAGGCGTCGATCAGGATCCGCGAGGAACAGACCCCCATCACGCGACGCAAGTACAGCCAAACGTTAACGAGAATCGTCGACGATAGCACCAGACTCCAACCCCGCCCCACCTTCATCTCCCGACGAAACGAAGCCAGTCTACAAGCGGTAGGTAACCGGGTTGGCGTATCTCGCGTGCCCGGAACATTATCACATGGCGACTGTGACGCACCCTCATCTTTCTAGAAGCCCTGGGACCATCATCTCCATCTTGCTCCTGGCTTGTGCAGCGCCATCTGCACCCAGCGCGGCATGCGGAGGCATTTCCTTTGACAGGAGGAGGTTCCGCGCTGGTTGCTCGTGGTTCGCGATGCTGCGTCAGCCAGCCAATCGTCAGTAACTGAAATATATAGCCGAGGCAGTTCCTCGCAGGGTCGCACAGGTCCACACCGATAAACATGGTGTAAAACATTGTCCTCCAATATAAACAAGGCTTTTGGAGGAGGACAGTGCCATGGCGTATGCTGACTAAGCCTCAACCTATGTAGACCAAGGCCGCAGCTGGCAGAAACGGCTTTGATAGACCTTCCGGGAAGTGACTCTTTCAGTCGCTAGATCAAATATTCTGTGCCTATTGGAGTGAATGTCTTGCCATCCGTTCTAGTGTATAGGCCTATGTTCAATCTGAGGCGCCCGTTGGCTGTTGGCCCTTTTGGCCCGCACCGCCCAAAAGATCAGCGCCTGCTTCCACCTCTTGTCTTATCTTCTCCACGTTGGCCGAAATTGATCACGGCGAGGGCCTGCTTGTGGTCTTTGCGCGCCTTTCCGCGGCCTGCGCCTTTCGGGGATGACTCGGACGGTTCTGGCACCACAGGCAATTTGATTTGCGCACGAAACAGACGCATGCCCGAAACGGCTCAACTTCTGCTGAACAATGACAATTAAACGACGCACACCGGCTTTCTGGAGCGATGGAGAGAGAATATCATCTCAGCAGAGCAGACATATCATGAAGGTTGGGTTCCGATCGAGATGATGGTGTGACAGCCGAACAACCTGACGGCAAGCCAGTCGTAGCTACTGCGGCGGCACGACTTCCTTTGGAAAATGGGGTTGCTGTCTGACTGAGCCTTGAGTTTGCTATGGATGACCGACACACTTTCACGCTTTTGCCATGACATCCTCCTCGTCTTCCGCATTCACGCGTTTCCCCTGAACGCCTTCGACGACCTCATCCACGATGCTCTCGATGTAGGCTTGGTCCCTGTAGCAATTGGTCAGCACTCGTCGACAGACCTTGTTCTGCATCTGTAGACCAGCAACGAGGGATGGGGTTTGGTTGTTGCCTACCGTCCTACTAGCGTGACCGTGCCGTTTTGCTCCCACCGAGGGTAGCTGCCGACCTTGACGCCCTTGGGCTCTACCCTAGCCGCGAGTTGTGTCAGATAACCGGCGACGGCGCTTTCCGGGAGCGGCGTGGAGATGAGCACGCGGCAGAGGCCCTTGCCCTCCGGGTCGGAGAGCCGGGGCAGAATACTGGGCTTGAGCCCGTCCAAGAGCTTCTCGACTATTCCCGCCGGCGTCAGTCAATGGCCTCTGGAAGGGGGTGGCAGGTGCAGGGGGGGAAGCTTACAAAGCCGTGGGACACCGGGCAAGATGTGGACGTTGCCGTTGACGACATTAACTGGGACCCAGAGCTCCTCGTGGGGAAAGAGGAACTGCTGGCCGGGGTCGCGCTTCTCGTCGGTGGGGAGGATGACCATCCGCAGCTTGGCCTGCAGCGCCGGGGAGTCGACATCCCAGTCGAAATGCGGCTGGTTCGGACGCGGCTTGGAGAGCCTCTTCATGCGCTCGAAGGCGTCTTGGTTGAGAACCAGGGGCAGGTCGAAAGCCTTGGCTATGGACTGGTAGGTGATGTCGTCATGCCTGTCGATCCATAAGCCATGGCCTTTTCGGGAAGGGGGAGAGGGTGAAGGTTCAGATCCTTACGTTGGCCCGATTCCGCCACTGCGATATCTCGTTAGCTTCGGGGTTCCGGATGCGGCGGGACTGGGCCACAAACCTGGTGACGACAAAGTCGTAACGATCGCTCATACGCCTGACGGCTTCGACGATTTCGCTCTCATCGTCCTCAATGACCTCGACTCTCTTCAGATTCTGGCCGCTCATCAGCATCTTTCCGGGATCCGCTAACCTTGGAAGGACTTACAATGCCCAAAGAGAAGCACCACTTGGCCATGTACGCCGAATTGGTCTTGCGCGATCGGTCAACACGTCACCGCTACGACATCTTTACCCGTACCGCCTGGCTTCACTTACATCAACGGTCTATAAATATGACATGATGTCAGTCCTCAGAATTCACACACATTGACTCGGACAGAGTGGGCGGGAGGCGTGCCCCGTGAGACATACCTTTCCACCGAGGACCTCATCTCCAATAATCAAGCACGCCGCCGTGTGGATGGTGCGGGTGTTGCGTTCGTCGGCCGAGGCCATGATTCTGGCGCGGGCGAGACCGAAGATCGGAGAGGCCGGCTTGACGGCTCGCGTAACTGTCTGGGCCGAAGGGAAATGCCGGGTCAGCTGGGTGAGACGGGCGAACATGAATAGGCCTTCCGTGATGGTGTCGATGCGTCTCTCACTACCTGTGTTGCGTTCTAGTTACTGCCACGCACGCACTCGGGTTCTCCTTGTACGAGAATCGATGATGTCATACACTAGATGAGAATCGAAACGGACCAGGTATAAACGCTATATGGCACGGAAGAAGGTTTGACGGAATGCTATGGTGAGTGGGAATCCGCCTAGTTGACGAATATAAGCAAATGACAAACAATACTACATGTCACGAATCAGAGGAAGTTCGCACGAATCAGAGAAGTGAAGACTAAAGCTCGGAGCTTCTGTCCCAGTGTTTCTTCTGGCTCCGACCACGGGTCCGGCAACGGCGGATGGCGCGACTAGTCAGTACGGTCACGTGATGCCGGCGTCAAAGTCCACTGGAACCAGAATAGGTATTGGTCTGTAGTAGACTCTCTATCGGTCGGCGGGGTAAGATGAGACGTATGCGAGACCCTGGAATTCTCTAGACGCGACTCTCCCTGGCACTCTAGAGCGTTTCCGGTAGTTGTGTTCGTGTCGTTCTCGCCAACTGAGTCGTACCAAGCTTATGTATTTTAGCTAGAATTAAAGCGTTTTGTCCGGCACAGCATTGCTCAGTTGCTCTAAGCTGTGAAGCTTCACCCAAGCAAGCCATAGGAACTGACCTTACGCATAAGCTTATGTAGCTGAATATATTCCGTTTCCTAAGACAGAAACTGCGATGCTCAGGCTGTAGCAAAATAGACGCGGCTAGGTATTGATTGCGGTGCGGTGAACCCCTTCTTCTCAAGGTGGTGTAGTTCTTTTTATTGAGCAGCCCTGCGTTTCACTTATGGCATAATATGAGTCGAATCACGCGTACATTACTAAAGTTGTCGGCACCCATGCTAAGTTTCCACATCGCCTGATTCGTCTTCATTTGGTGTGCTGCAAGGTAGGCCTTGGCCATGGGTCTGTCGGCATGAGAGATTGTCTGCTTGTGAGTACGCTTGATAAGAACGATGCTATACAAAACACGATCTTACGGTCTGGTTATATCTCTGTGTGAACAAACATCTACAAACCGAGTTAAACTGTTGCACTTCATAAGAGAATAACATTTGGAAGCTGTAACCAATATGAGTGGCCATAATGCTAGTTTGCTCATGATTTCGCTGAGACAAAAATCAATGACATGAGGCTTGGGGAAATGAACATAGATATTGATTCCATTATCTATCGTCTGCCTAATCTCATTCCCGTCTTCAGTATCCGTACCTCCGCAGCTAATCATGATACCTCTTCAGCTAGTTATGCTTGCTTAACCAGGCACTAGCGGTACTCGACAACGCAAAACTGACTAGTACTTACAAATACAACCACTAAAGCTAGACCAAGTCGGATCTGAAATCACAACGTATATGAGGGCCCATCTCCGCAATCTGATCGGGGAGGATTGAACGGCCAAAGTTTCGGCGGGCGTTGGTGGGTGAGGTCACTGGTGGGGCAAAACGAGGTGCCGCTGAATGGCGGGGGTTTCGATGTGCTGGTCTCAAACTTCCCGTCGCGGAGCGGGGGAGGGGTTGTGGCTTACCTGACTCTTTTTGGTCTGACGCTCTCAGTGATGCAACTAGGAACAACCACGACAAAAGAAAAAGGAGAGAAAAAACTTGGGGAGTTCCGGCCGATACCCGTAGAGATCCACTGCGAAGAACTAGCTCCTGGTTTTGTTGAAAAGATTTAGACCCGTCGGATACCTCAAGCGACCCTGGTACTCTGCGTTCGAGTCTATCACAGTCATGGTGTGTTCCTCTCCCTGTCACATCCTGTCTCTCTCTCTCCCTCTCTCGTCCCAGCGATGGGCTGACTTCCGTCTCTGCGTCTAGTCTTCGGAATCGCGGCTCTACACCTTCTCTCAGGAGACCAAGGATCACCTGCGCAAGTTCCGCCTCGGAACCTCGCGGTCCAACGAACCCCAAGCTGTCATATGTATGTATGTCTCGGCTCAAGCGCTTGTCCTCGATCGTCAACAACACGGACCACCGCACAATCATTTGATAACTGACTTCCAACACGCTTCCCCTAGACCATATCGATAAGAACACCCACGAGATCCGCCAAGACGACGACAAGGTTGTGTACAAGTCGCTCGAGGAGATCAGCGACGACCTGCCGGATCACAGCCCGCGCTTCGTGCTGCTGAGCTACCCACTTACATTGGTATGTGCTGTTCACCACCGATACTTGTAGATGGAATGGGAACATTAGGTTGACGCCGTGACCCGACAGCCCTCTGGCCGTCTGTCGGTGCCATACGTCCTGATTTACTACCTCCCTATCACCTGCAACAACGAGATCCGCATGCTGTACGCGGGCGCCAAGGAGCTGATGCGGAATACGAGCGAGGTTGGCCGCGTAATCGACATCCAGGAAGCCGAGGACTTGCAGGAGATACCTCAGAAGCTGGGTGCTGCGTGAGGAAATAGAAACGGAGAGCATAGGTCGGGCACATATAGACAGTCGGGAGGGACCACAGGGATGGCCGGCTCGATAAGTAACAGAATGGTAGTATGCGGCGCTCGCGTACATAATACCCATGCTCCAACAATAGGACAAGCCCATGTTGAATTGATGACATCCCAAAAGAGCACTTCCGACTTGACCATAAGAGTGATGGGTGGTGGGCTGAACAGTGGTAATTTCTATGAGTTGAAGGGGATATCATTTTATTTGTTCTGTTTGTTTGAATGCAAACTCATTCACTGGAAGCAATGCCCTACCTACTCGGGCAACACGTCCTTGTCGTTCAGACCGATTTCCTTGCTGACGTTCCTTACAACTTCCTTGAACGCCAGGCACGCGGGGCTATCCGGGAAACTGTCGAAGAAGCTTTCGCCGTAGTCGCACGCCATGCCAATGCGCGGGTCCAGCGGCACGCTCCCCAGGAACGGCACCCCCATCTCTTGGGCCAGCGCCCTCCCGCCGCCCGTCGTTGCCCGGAAGATCTCGCTCTGGTTCGTGCACTTGGGGCAGACAAACCCCGCCATGTTCTCGGCCAGGCCCAGCACGCGGATACCCGCCTTGCGGCAGAAGTCGATCTCCTTGCGGACGTCGAGGAGCGAGACCTCTTGGGGTGTCGTGACGACGACGGCGCCGTCGATGCCGCTGTCGCGGAGGAAGGTGTTGACGCTAAGGTGCTCGTCGCTGGTGCCCGGCGGGGTGTCGACCAGCAGGAAGTCGAGGGGCCCCCACTCGACGTCCTTGAGGAACTGCTTGATGAGGCCGTTCTTCTTGGCGCCGCGCCAGATGATTGCGGCGTCGCGGTCTGGCAGCATGAACTGGATCGACATGACGCCGAGGTTGTCGAGGACCCAGACGGGAGACCAGCCGGCGCCGGAGACGTGGATGGTCTCGGACTCGACGCCGAGCATCTTGGGGATCGAGGGCCCGCAGATGTCCGTGTCCATGATGCCGACGCTGCTGTCCGGATTTGTGGCGAAGGCGTGGGCGAGGAGGGTGGTGAAGGTGGACTTGCCGACGCCGCCCTTGCCGGAAAGGACGAGGATCTTGTGGGCGATGGAGGAGAGGCGCGAGGAGATGATGGGGATGTCTGGGTCCGGGCCCTTTGTAGCCGTCGCGGCGCAGATCTCCTTGTTCGGGCAGCCGGCGCACGAGTCTGCCGTGCCTGCCGTTGCGGACTCCGGGCCCGGGCAGTGTTCTGGTTCCGGGGCGACTAGAGAGGGCTTCTGTTTAAGGGGGTTGGAGAGGACGTCCTGGACCGACTCCGGGTCTTCTTCTAAAGAAGGGGCCATATTTAAAAGGCGCGGTGTGAGGTGTTTTGTTAGAGAATGTCTTCCAGATTTACGATATTCGCAAGGTCGATGGGTGGCAAGCGAGTTGTCTTGGGGCAGTATTCCAGGTCCGGCACCGGCCTTTTTTTGAGGCCAAGGTAGTTGAAGCTGATTGATAAGCCGGAGTGAAAAGCCGTTCTACTGCGAATTTCAGCAAACATGGACTGTGAAAGCTCTTTGGCCTTTGGGGGACGGAGGCTGCACTAACACAATGGGAAAGATTCTCTACTTGTTTATGCCTAGATTCTCAAGAGTTTGAGATCTGGCGTTGCTGAAGTGGCGAGTGAGCGGAAGTGGTGGACAGAATAAGTTGCTGAGTGGTGGCGACACAGCAACATCAAAGCCGCCGCCGTGTACGGCCCTGCGGAGGTGCTCACCCCACTTAATAGAGTCAGAGTCAACCACAGCGTCCGGCGCAACTTGACCATGCAAACTTTCCAGATTGTCTTCGTTAGCAAGCATAGCAACTTGTTCTGACAGCGAGTGAGGTACAAAAAGGTGAGTTTCCAAAGAGCGTTATGTCCTCGGTCAAAAGTTAAGGTCCATCCAGGATTCGAACCTGGGCCTACGGAAATTCCAAGATCAGAATCCGACGTCCTAACCAACTAGACTAATAGACCGCCTTGTCTATTGAGTGTTATATCCAGCTTCTTTATTCCATATGATATTGGGCAGTAAGGTGATAGCCGAAACAACAGTTGCATCTGCTCGGCAGCTACGTAGTGTTCTCACCCATTGCCAGGCTGCAGGGAATCCTTTCACAGTGAGGGGCAGATCTTATCGGAACCCAAAATCACCCCGCTGTTTGCCCCTCGCAAAAATTCTACAGTCCTTTATCAGATCTGAAGTGAGACGACCCCTCGTAGGTAAGTCTTTTTTTGACCCATTCTACCTTTTAGAAACCCGGCCCACGCCCTTTTTGCTCGGCCTCTCCGCGATATCTCGGCAGCCATCTTGACTTTTCTTTTCAGTTCTTTCGCCCATAGAAGAATAACGTAGAAACAATACAACCGCCATTATGTCGCCCTCTGCAGACCTCCCCGAGACGCGCGAGACGCTCGAGGCCATCGCCGCCGCCGACCAGACCCAGACTATCGCCGAGCTGCGCAAGACGCTCACCTCCGAAGCGACCCCGCTGCCCCTCCGCTTCCGCGCCCTCTTCTCCCTTAAGCACGTCGCCTGCAACAACAAGGGCTCCGACAGCACCGCTGCCATCGAGGCCATCGCCGCCGCTTTCGCATCCCCTTCGGCCCTCCTCAAGCACGAGCTCGCCTACTGCCTCGGGCAGACCGGAAACCTGAATGCCGTACCCTACCTGCGCGATGTTCTCCGCGACCTGAAGGAGGACCCCATGTGTCGCCATGAGGCCGCCGAGGCCCTAGGTGCGCTGGGCGACGCCGGTCAGCTGGATATCCTCAGAGAATTTAGAGACCGCGAGGGCGAGGATGTCTGCATCACCGAGACATGCGAGATCGCCATTGACCGCATCGAGTGGGAGAACTCGGAGCAGAGAAAGTTGGAGAAGTTGCGCAAGAGGTAAGAGGCCTTGGCTGGCGATGCACTGAACTTGCACTTTGAAAGAGAGGGAAAGGGTATCGTGAATTTTCATGCTAACGCTTATGTCCTTTTCTTCCAGCGACTTCACCTCTGTAGACCCCGCGCCCCCCATGGAGGAGTCCCAACGCACCGTTGAAGAGCTCGAGAAGACGCTCATGGACCCGAAGCTGCCTCTCTTCCTCCGCTACCGTGCCATGTTCGCCCTACGCGATCTCGCGTCGCCGCCTGACCTGCCGACCGCTGTCCCGGCCGTGCACGCCCTGGCCAGGGGCTTCGCTGACCCGTCCGCTCTGTTCCGTCATGAGATCGCCTTTGTCTTTGGCCAGCTGTCACATCCGGCGTCGATCCCCGCATTGACCGAAGCGCTCAGCAACACTGAGGAGGCGAGCATGGTGAGGCATGAGGCCGCCGAGGCGCTGGGCAGCCTCGGAGATGAGGAGGGCGTCGAGGATACCCTCAAGAAGTTCCTTCACGACAAGGAGAAAGTCGTACGTGAGAGCGTTATCGTAGCGTTGGACATGGCCGAATTCGAGTCCAGCGGCCAGGCCGAGTATGCATGGATCCCTGAGGCTGCCAAGGTGACCGCCTAGACCTATGGATATGGCATTTGGAGGTTCGGACGGCAGGTAAATACTGGGTGGGTTAAGGTACTTAAAAGCGATGGGTAAAAAAGTTTAGTGTATTTCAGTTGTTTTGAGACCACCTAGAAAATAGTCAGTAAGCATTGTGGCTAGCTCATTCGGAACAGAGGCATCAACGTACTTGAAGCCACAGTCGCAGGTGAAGAAAATAGTGCTGCCTTCGTCGGCACTGCGGAGTTGCACGGCAGTGAAGCGGACCTCCTCTCTTTCACACTTGGGACATGTCTCCCTAATCGTTGCCTCTGTGGTGACGTTGGCCCTGTCGACGGCCTGAACATTAGACTGCAGCTTCTGGCGGAGTTGAGACGGGAAGTCAGAAGGCTTCGTCTGGGTAACAATTGTCTTAGAGCCAGTGTCTAACACGGCACTGTCAGTTCGGCTTGCGCTGCGAATGCGCTAACGGTGTTCAACCTACCCTTGTTGTCGGCACCGCAGCAGTCGCACGTAAGGATATTCTTCTCCGTTCCCATGGAGGCGGGAAGTAAGTTGCCGCAATCGTGACAGAAGACGAGGGTTCCAATGGCAGACATGTTTGCTAGTGTGAGTGAGGTGCTGGTTGCTGGGCCGGCCGAGGGTGTGGTGATCAACGGAGTATCACGGCAGAAACCATCGACAAAATATTTCTGTCAGGGATGATTTTGGGACAGGCACTCATCGTTATCGGCACTTTTTCCATTGCTTATCGATTGTGTGCTTATCTTGAACGGTTTTGCGGACCCTCCGATGCTGGGAGATTATCTAAGCAATTTGCAGGCTTAAGAGAAACAAAGGCAAGTCGGTCAGGGGAAAATAGGCAGGAACGGAACAACTGGCCACTGGTTGGCCGGTCCTACTGCCTAAAGCTTCTGCACGGACCACGCAACTGACAAGGGTCTTTCCACACGAGGCTGTCGCAACCTTCCCACTTCCTATCACATCCACGGCGACAACGACGCCGGACGGCAACTCGAGACTGTCCCTTTCTTGCTGCGCATCTTCGTTTCGGACAATGCGATTAGCTTCTTCCTTCCTGATGAGACCTTAGTTCTTTTTCTCTTCTATTTGACCTGACCAGACGGGGTATCTTCCCTGTCTTGCGCGTTTCTGAATACCCTCCAGACCAGCTTTCAACCAAACGCTTCGGTTCTCTGCTTGCCTTTCGAAATAACATGTCTTGAGGCTCGGCCTTGGTCTGAGGACACAGAAAATATGGTGAACAGCCAAGGGACCATCCAGAATGGTCCGCCGAACGGCGGCTACATGCAGCCGCCGGCCGCGGATCAGCGCCCTATGGCGCGGCCGTTTACCCTGCCCGAGGCGTTGCCCTACTCTCCCCAGACCTCCGTCATCCCCTTCACATCAGGTAGGTGGAAACTCATCTTGATTCCCCGAACTCATTGGATCATTAACCTCTACCAGATCTCATACCTGACCCGACGCTCGGCTCCGGCTCGCTTGCTTCGAGCATATCGCATATGTTCAACAGTCAGGAATACGACAGTCTCAACAAGGAGGCCACCGGTCCAAACCATAACCACGGGCTGAAGCATTTGAAGTATGCCGTTGATCATGTACTTCATGACCTGAAGCCTAACCAGCGGACATATTTGTAAGTTTGGCGATCTTTTCTTCGGCTTAATCCTGCGCCGAGCTCTAACCCTGTGTTTCGCGCAGCAAGTTCAAGGCCGTCCCCAAACCGAATGCAAACATGACGTCGAGTACCGCTGGCCCCCAGAGTCTCAGCGCCGGCCTTTCGCCAGTGGCCAAGATGGTGTTTGATAGGGCACCGACATTCATCAAGCCATCTACCGGAACCCCCGGCCTTGCCCCAGTCAACGGACAGGTCACTCAACAGCCGCCACAGCATCCTTCGACACCCAAAGCCGCTCTGCCACCGAAGCAGTCATCAACGAGTGCAGAAACACAGCGAGGGAACAACTTCCGCTTCGAGGTTGCGATCCCTTCTAAGAAATTCGATCCCAAAGCATACGTGGAGGTTCCTGATCAAGCCGCCCCTCTGCCAGTTACCGTCAACCCGTCTGAGGTGACTCGGGTCGTTACGTCAACGCAGGTTGTCCCGAAGCAGGAAACGCCTGTTCAACCTCCACATCCAGTGCAATTCGCTCCTACACAAGGTGGTTCTAGTCAGACTACTCCCACGGAACATGCTCCTATGCAACTTACCAAGCAAGGAACGCCAGGACTATCCCATGCCGAAAAAACGTCTTTCGCCATTGAATTACCGCGTGCTCCTGGATTCAATAAAGATGAATATGTTGAGATAGCTATATCAGACTATCCCGATGAGCCTATAGGATTGTCGATGCGCAGACAAGACGGCGCCTACCAAAGCCGCCAGGATGATATCAGCACAAATCTCAACCAACGGCAGCGAGCCGAAGCAGCACTGCAGGATCTCGAACGACTGATTAAGAGTGTTTTCGATGCCATTAGGCATGTCCTCGGAAACGAACCTGGTTACGAGCAGGTGGCCACTTTGAACAGCGACAATGAGACCGTCTTGACAGGGTCAACACAGCAAAAGCTCCAAACAGCTATCGCTAAGGCCATTGATCTTGGAAGCTACGACCAAGCGCCTATCGAGGATCTCCAGTATATCCAGAAACTGAGTGAAGCTGGACTGACGCACACCCTCAACCTTGACTTCAGAGTCGAAGAGTCTTGGGGCGAGTCGGATGTTGCTGGTTGGCTGAACCAATTGCCCGAAATCGAGATGGGTCTCAAGACAGCCCGTACATGCCTTCGCATAATGTGCGGTGGCAGAGAAGAGAAGCAGATCTATTCGGAGGAGGTTATCCAGAAGTGTACCGACGTCTTCAAGGGCGTTGTTGAGGGCATCGTCATTCCTGTTGTTGAGATGAGAGGCAGCGGTTCGTCGTCTACCCTCTTCAAATTGCTGCAGCCTCATAAAAAGGCGATTGGCCCGATTCTCACGAACTGCCAGAAGCTGTTCGCGCTGCTCGCCAAACTCGTCACTAGCATTGAGCTTTCGGATACCGCTCTCGGCACTTTGGAATTTGCTGCATCCAGTCTTCTCTTCGTGGACAATGCTTATCTCGAAAAAGACTCTGTTGTCGGGGTACAGAAATTCGATGGGATTCGCCTCACCGCAATGGAGATGCTCTGCCAAATATTTCTTGCCAAGCCTGAACAACGTCGCGGCATCTTCGACGATATCCTTACTTCGCTGGAAAAACTCCCAGTCGGAAAGCAGAGCGCACGCCAGTTTCGCTTGTCGGACGGGGGGAGCATCCAACCAGTGTCTGCGCTCATCATGCGTCTCGTGCAAGCCAGCTCCGGCAAGGTCGACGAGAAGGGCACTCGCAGTCGACTGGCAATAATGGCGGACGAAGATGCCGACGGGGATGAGGAGATGACGCAACCTGGCAAACAGGCTGTGGCTGCGACCATAAAGTCGGAGGAAGCAGGTGCTTCTCAGTACAATCTGGCGCTAGAAGAACTCAAATCCGTTGCCTTGCCCCTGACAGAAGGCTCTATCCACAACGCCAACTACGTCGTCACTTTTATGGTCAACCGCGCTCTGAAGTCTACAAAGTCCGGCGACACGCCCTACCGCAACCTGCTCGATCTGTTTGTGGAGGACTTCACTGAGTGCCTCGACTCTCCTGACTGGCCATCCGCCGAGCTGATTCTGCGACAAATGACATTCTATATGATGAAGCTCTGGGAAGGAGACAGAACTGCGGCACCTGCCAAGAACATGGCTCTCGAACTTCTCGGTGTCATGAGTGCTGCGGTCTCCAAACTGCGGTCACATGTTCGCAAGATTACTTACTCGATGGACGGTAGTGACTCCAATGAACTTTCCCGCTATCTCTCGGAGCTGGCGACGGCCGCATTGGAGCAGAAGACCCGTGTCGAGCATGATGTCTCGTGGTCCGGTCCATATCGAACGACGCTGGAGCATCTCCAACGGCGCTCTGGCGACGATCCCCACTTGCAGGGTGCCATATCTTTCTTGATCGCAGACTGGGCTCAGAGAATTTTCTCTGGTTACGACGCCATGCAGGAGACCTATGATTCTCTTGATCAGGAGTTTGGACGCCTCGCTTTCCGACTCCGCATGATGATCGAGGACCGACGGTGGCTCTCCAACGAATACACTTTCAAAGATGTCACCAACAAACATGCAAAGCTCGCTTACTCAATCATTCTCTTGCGTTCGCCATTTTGCGAGCACTTCAAGGCTATGCTTAATGTCCTTCTCACTGCTATGGCTAGTGACCAAGCTACCGTTCGCAGCAAGAGTCTCAAGAGCATCAACCAGCTTCTGGAGACCGATCCCGCCATCTTGGATGGTGACTCTGTAGTCGTCCATCTGATTATTAACTGTTCGAGTGATTCTTCGCCTCAGGTGCGAGATTCCGCCATTGGCCTGATGGGTAAATGCATCGGCCTGCGCCCGAGACTTGAGGACAAGATGGCGGAAAGAATCATTGAGAGATTCATCGACTCTGGTATCGGCGTGCGGAAGAGAGCAATGAAGCTGGCTCGGGATATTTATCTTCGCAATCAGAGCCGGGAGATTCGCAGCAATATCGCAAACGGCTTGCTTCATCGCGTGCAGGATCCGGACGAGGGTGTGCGGGAACTGGCTCGCCAGATGATCGAAGAGGTGTGGTTCGCCCCGTTCTACCAAGTCGACGATACAGCAGCCTTCAAAACATCATTGACCGACCACGTTGCTCTCATGATCCAGACGGTCAAGTCTGGAAATGTGGGCGCTGTCCTCGACAAAGTGCTCCAATCTATCCTTGGAGGTGGACAGAACAAGGCTCAGACCGGGCCTTTTGGAGTCAGTATGCAGCTGGTTGAAAAGATGTTCGAGCTTATCGACAACCTCGATTCAGACGACCCTACGATCCCCCGGGACGAGATGCACTCCAAGTCTTGCAGATATTTGCAAAGGCAGACCCGAAACTCTTCACCTTCGAGGAAATCAGACTTCTCAAGCCCCATCTTTCTAGCATCAGCGGCGCCGATGATCTGGCTGTGTTTAAGGCCGTTACTGTCATCTACCGCCAGGTGCTGCCGCAACTCTCTAGCAAGTACGCTGACTTCCTTCGTGAAGTGAGAGAGCAGCTGCAAAACTCTGTTGGCAGGCTTAACAAGAACTTATTGGATGATGTTGTTGCCTGTCTGTGGATCATTGCCGATCTCTTGGACAACCGCGACAAGCTGGCTTACTTGGGCGCATCTAGCTTGCGCGGAGTCGCCAGCATGCGGAACACGCAAATGGATGCCACCAAGCTCATGAAATTTGCCAGATATTCGACGATTGTGGGGATGGTCGGCAAACACTGTGATCTGGATTCTGAGATTGACGTTTTCAAGAAGATCTTCCCAAAGTATTCAGGCACATCGGTTGCAAAGCTCATGGTTGACAACCTATCACCCTGGGCTGATGAGTCGCAGGTCATGGAAGCCCGAAAGCATGCACTCGATGCCATTGGTCTTATTTGCCAGGCCCATCCTCGAAACTACGTCTCGCCAAATGTCTACACCAAGTTCCAGCAAGTATTTGAGGCCAGAATTCCAGCACTGGAGAGCACAATCCTCCGGTCTTTCAAAGAATTTCTCATTACTGAAGAAAAGCGGTCCGAAGCTGCCACTGCTGCCGCTACCACGGGTTCCGAGGGTGATAAGAAGCGCGAGCTGACTGTAATGGGTGGAACGAACTACGACGATGTGGCGAGCGCGACCACTCAGCGGTTTCTCAAAGAGATCACCCGGATCGCCTTGTCATCTCAAGATGAGCACGCTTTTCTTGCGGTCGAAGTTCTAGGGAGCATCAACCGTCAGGGTCTCGTTCATCCTAAAGAAACTGGCGTGACCCTGATCACGCTGGAAACTTCGTCAATGACCAAAATATCCGAGGTCGCATTCATGGAGCACCGAGCGCTTCATGAGAAACACGAAACTGTCATCGAGCGAGAATACGTCAGGGCCATCCAAGCTGCATACGAGTACCAGCGGGATATTGTCAAGGATACTCGCGGTGCAACCACAAACCCTTTCCAGTCCAAGCTTCATCTTTTAATGGAGGTGCTGAAAGTGAGCAAGTCCAAGAACCGACAAAGGTTCCTGGAGAAACTCGTCTTCCAAGTTGATTTCGACCCATCAAAGCTTGACGTTTCCACGCCGTTGCCCCCACATGTGGAATATGCCCGCTTCATGATCGAAAACCTTGCTTACTTCGATTATGTGACAGTTGGAGAAGTCCTGGTAACGGTCAACGCCATGGAAAAGCTATTTTCGACAACTGGGTCCAGTATGGCACATGTTATTGAATCTGAAATATTCAACGTGCGCATGGACATGGACAAACCAGATGATCTGCAGGGCGATGGACAGCCAACACAACCCCAGCTGACCATTCCCCCAAAGAGGCTTCGCCAGCTCACTTCTGGGTCCATCATTCTTCTTTGCCTCTGGGAAGCCAGAACCTATCTTCGGCGTCTTTATGGCCTGGGTAGCAAGCGTGAGACGAAGACGAAGCTAGCAGCCAAAGACCTCAGCAAAGCGCCTACCAAGGTCCAAGGCGTGACAGGAGACAAATTCTGGGAGGAGGTCAACTCGCACGTGAACGGGCTCGCATCGCAAGAAGCTACCTTAGCGAAGTGCAAGGCCTTCGTTGAGTTAATGAATGTCGACAAAGAGTTCAAGGTGGCTGACGAAGATGAACTTGAAGGCGAAGATGCCGGCACGCCCAGCGATGACGAGGACGATGGCCCTGCAGCTGATGGTCGAGGCCGTAAGAGAAAGGCTGGCGTATTGCCCGGAAACCGTAAGAAGCGCGCGCGCTCAACATCGCGAGCGAGGCCACGCGGCCGACCGCGCAAGAACGTGGTTCCGACTGAAGCCGAAGATGATGCCGATGGCGACTTTGATGACATGGACTTCATCTGAACATCCAGACACGACATGGCCATTATGTTCCTTGCCCACATACCTTCTCATCTGCCGCAATGGACACGAATGCGATTGCGACTATAGAATACGGGCAGCAAAGAAGACATACCTGTCTTCACTCAACCAACTTGCTTCCCATTGCACATGTACATCATCATAATCATCATCGCATTGCACACATACAGGATTTCACCGGTAAATGGGTTTGCATCAAGAAGAGGGAGGGACATGAGAGTTGACGGGTGCTGTTGCACTTGGTATTGCTTGCCGTTCTTACATTACACATGATTCGGGGGTGTTTCGTTTTTTCTCCCTGCCAGGCAACGGCTGGGACTCGAAACAAGATAAGGGGCGTTATGTATTGACAAGCGGGAAATGAGGAAGCGTGGGTGGTTTTATGGGCAAAATATGCTCCCGTGAATGGACGGGATGCGTCCGTCATCACTTTTGCATTTGGAATGATACCTACTCCACCCCCCTCGCTTCGCTAGGTTGCGAGGGGTTACAAGTCATTTTCAATATTCAGTCAATACTACGACTTTCAGACGTGGCAGCTGTGTGCTTGTACCTTCGTGATGTTATGATTGAAGTGTGGCCAATGTAGTTGTGCCATCTGCGGTTTTATCTGCCGTGGCTCCCACCCCGTTCTCTCAACACCTCACAGAACCGAGGGCCGAGCATCGACTCTGGCTGACGATTCGGGACACAATCCAATAACCCCCAGAGGCGAAAAGGGTGGCAACTACGGCTACCCCAAAGACGTGGAACATTGTGTGTGAGCCAAATAAAATAGGATAAAAACTCTCACCGTCTTCAAGTTCATGCCAGGAAAGGGTCTGTCACTATTATTTCATATACGCTCGCTCCTAGCTAGTTGAAAAAAAGACCTCAACAAATCCCACACTCGAAAGACGCCCCTTCCATCCGTTTCCTCTTCTCTGCATAGAAATGGTAACTGCTTGTGGCAATAAACCGATGCCCCCCCTTAATAACAAGAAAAACGCCAAACGGGAACCCATGTGGTCGTCCCTAATGCCTATCCCGCCAATCGCAGGCCACTGCATCGTGCCAAGGTGTAGATGCAAGCGCTTTCGCAATAAGAAAAAAGAAGGAAAAAAAAAAATTCTTCTACTTCAGGGGTATCAATTCAGTTTATCTGTCTCTGTCTCCGGACCAAGAAAAATGTCTGGTTTGGTGGTGGTGGTGATACATGGACTAGCAAGCAGACCTACGGCGTCTACTAGATGTCGTTACATCGTGAATTTTACGAATTGTAGTTGGCCAATGTCGTCCATAGGCTGCCTTTCCGTCATTGTCGTTTATAGTTGTTCGCTAGAGTCGACGGCATCGAGCCAGATCCTGACGGCTTCTCGGAGAGTACTTTCGCGGTCTCGATCTGCCTGGTGGACGGTCGCGTCGAGTGGGTCGTGGTCCCGCTCCTCGATAACATCACGGATGATCTCATCCAGAGCCGACAAGACCACTGTCTTACACTGGTCTCGAGGAACTTCTTGGGACGCCATCGGGATGCGGGGTGTGTGATGAGAATCGACTGAGACCGATGCCTCACTATTGCTACGGTCTCTTCTCTTGCTGGTTGATCGCGACGAATTTGAGGAACTCTGCTTGCTAACTTCGTTGCTCTGCGCAATGACTCTCTCGACGGCCTCAATCAGGACCTCATCGAGACTAGCAATCGGCTCCTCGAGAAACTCGTCGTCAAGCTGTGTCTCGTACGGAAGAATCGACGGGGTCATTGGGGCAGCACCGTAGTTGCTTGAGCCCGCAGAACCAAGAGGAGCCGACCTATCCATGAAAGGCTTGGGTCGAATGAGTCGACGGTAGCGGATTCGCTTAATCGTGTGCGTTGTCGTGTCTGCGATGAGAGCGCTACTGACATCCACCCAGCGGTCGGCAGGCTGTTCGGCCGAGTAGAATGGCTGCGTGACGAACGGAGTCGGCTCGGCCCTCATCGATTTTCTGATTTCTTCCATGAGACTATCTTGGGGGGGGACCGCCTGCAGGATGAAGTCCTGATGGTATTGCTGAAGAAACCCTGCCACGTTCATCGGGGAGTCGCCGTCGATAGTGACGCGGGAAAACTGTTCGAAGCCTTCCAAACCGTTCCCAACACCGGGAGTGGACAAGTAGCCGCTGCTCGACGGCGAGCTAACTGCCGTCTCGAAAGAAGTGATGTAGTCGGGAAACGAGATATCCACGTCTATGACTCCATCCTCTGCATTGATCGATGTCTTGACAGGTGACCGGAAGTCGCCGCTGGGGTCAGGGACACGCTCCGGCAAAGCGACTCTCTCGATCGGGTCGTCGATGGCCTGGTCGTCAAAGCCTCGAGGCGTGGTAGGTCCATTGTCGTTGCCGCCTCCGTTGTAACCTCGGTCGTCCGTTCGACGATAACCCTCGGTCCTGACTTCTCTTACCATGTCTGCTAGCTTGTCCCGGCGCCCTCCCTGTGTTGACTTGGTCGGAGACGTGGGGTTGCTGCCATAGGGATAGTTTGGGGTGGTGAGGCCAGTCGAGTCTCTCCTCTTGCCATTCCATAGGGTGCTTATGACGCTGCCCCAACGCGAGCTCGACAAACGGGAATCTGTGCTGGCTGAGCTCACGTGTCCCGAGCTCTCGCCTCGCTTCAACGTCCTCTTGAGGTCGTCGGCAGCGACACTGCCGCTGCTGCCAGGCCGAAGACTTCGCCGGTTCTCAAACCTTTGAGCGGTTGTAAAATGTGGGATAGTAGTCTCGGGGGTGATTGTCGTGGTCGTGGCTGCGCTGCTCTTTCGGCTAACCTGATCGTTGCCTGGGATAGGCAGGTTGGATCGTATTGAAGTAGCATCCGAAACACGCCTTTCGTGGCGACTCTCCATGCTCAAGTGCGCAAGCTGAGGGGGAACCCCAGATGCACGTGTACTTTGGCTGACTGTCCGTGAATGAGAAACACGTCTAGGGCCCGCGCGTCTATTGATCTTTCGCCGCAGTGATTCTTCACGGAGAATGGGGATGATCAGTGAGGGCGGCGACTGAGAAAATGCCCCAAAGGATGTAGAGGTGCTCGGCCGGTGGTTCCTGGCCGATGAGAGATGTTGGTGCGATGGGAGGAACGCGGAAAGGAGGAAGATGAGTCGTCGTGCAAGCATCTTGTCCGAAGCGATGATGACTGTCCGTGCCGGCAACGAGAGGTCGTCTTCGCCCTTTGCCTTTTGTTGCTGGTAATGTTTTCGACGGTACCATGCTGGACTCATGGCATTCAACCAGTCGGTGTGCGTCGCAAGAAACCCGGTCAAAAGGTTGAAGAAGAAGAACCCATGCTCCTTCTCGCCAGCCTTTCTCGCCATCCATCTTGCCTCGTCCCTCCAAATGCCCCATCTCCCCTGTGCTGTGATGACCCGTTGGGCGCGGAGACCTGTGACAATCCGGATCCTGGCAGAGTTGGCCTCTTGCACAACGCTGTTGTCGTTCTGTAAGCAATGGGGCTGCAAAGCTATGACTTTGGCGTTGGTTTTAGGAGGTTTGATGAAATGTGGCTCCTCATTCCTCCTTCCGCTCATCGACGGAGCTCTGCCGACATATGAAGACACCGAATTCGGGTAGGGGTCCGGCGAGGTGATGTCGGCTTGTCTCAGCAAGGTACCAAGTGTGGTGGCGACCACCCCCTGAAGATGCGTCAACGTTCGCATGATGATATCCCAATGCTGCGTGACGGTGTCCATCCTGTCGTCCACGTCGGTCGAGCAAGATGATTCCATCGAATCGGTCGGAAACCCGGATCCGGACATGGTCCATCCCGAGCGGCGAGCCGAGCCTACAGAAGAAGGGAACGAGTCTTGTTCCGTGTAGGAGCTGGCGCCGCGGAAAGTCGACCTAATGGTGGAGGGGGGTGGCATCGAACCCGAAGTAGGTGGCAGTTGAATCACCAATACGACTGCGTACATTGGCGTGCGCTTCTGCTTGGGTTGGGGCTTCTTCTTCTTGGGTGCATTTGCCTCGTCAGCAGACTGCGGGAACGGAAACCCCGTGTTGTAGTCCGAGAAACGACTCAAGGGAGTGTCGCTCTGTGTGTCGTCGTCGCTAGGAAGCAAGACGGGAAACAGTCGGGTGATGAGGATCTTTCTCCTCTCTGGCGGGCTCCGCGTGTTCGGAGCAGAGGAGGTAAAAGATTGTGGTGGTTGCATGGGTGAGACGTTGTCCGATGTATATGACTGTGCCAGTCTGCTGGATCGCATGCTCGACCTGCCGATAGAGCCACGACCATCGCCGAGGTAAGAACCTCCATATTCTAGGCGGGTTTCGGTGGGAACAATGTGGACTTTTGTCGATGTGCCTTTGTAGGCCATCAACTCCGAGTTGCCAAAGACGGAGCCGGCGAAGGCATGGATCTCGTCGTTGTACTCTCTTCGCGCGCGCTGGAGGTCTGTCTCAGCCTGTGATTGAGCTCGACCCTGCATTGAGGCCCTGCGATCAAAAGCACCCTGGCGGGGTTGAGGGCTGTCTGGCTGGATCACGAGAGGGCGCGATGTTTGGTTGAGGCTACTCTTCCTGGGCGAGGTGGGACCTCGGTAAGAGTCTTGCACAGTCCCGATGCCTGTTACCGGCCGTTCACCGAGTGTTGTGGAAGGCGGTTTTGGCGGCGCAGGATGGCTGTCGAAGAGAAGCTGTGCCGGGAGGGAAGCAACGGCGTCTTGCATGATGAGGAGACGGACATGGCGGGTGTCGAGGTCAATGTCGCCGTCGTAATCAAAGGCACTTGCTATCGATGCCAAAGGGAGAGCAGAGACCATGGACAGAGGAAAGACTTGGTCATTCCGATGTTGATACAAGGCTTCTGCGTCGGGAAACAAGAGATTGCGGGTGTGGATGTCCTCCTGCATGGACTCTAGGGTCTGTGGAGAGTCTTTGTAAGCGGCATTGTTGTTAAGGTTACTGCTGTTGGTGTTGGTTTGCGTTGAGTCAGAGGTACTTGCAGCACTCCCGGTGCCCAAGTTGAAGAGCTTCCCCAGCATCGTGGGAGAAAGAGATGGCTGGAAATCGTTAATGATGGAGAAGCTGATAGACTCCCGTGTCGTTCAGAAAATGGGGAGGAGCGCCATTTTTTTTTCTTCAGCACGGCGCGCAGTGATGACGGATCAGATGGAACAGCATTGCTTCTGGCAGAAATTCCATGTGATTGAGGGTGTGTTGCGTGAGAAACCGTGATGGTGGAGGGTGAGGCTCATTCGTCGCGGAGCGGCATGTGGCGGCTAGAGCTAGGCTGAGACCAACAGAGTTGAGGGGTGCACGGGGAGTTGGAGAGAGCTGTCCGGGGGTCGAAGCTTGGTCGAAGCTTAAAGGCGATGAGTAGACCGGAGGTCGCAAAGCGTGGGGCAAATCGGAGGTGGTTGAGAGCTGCGGTAGTTGGATATGTCTGGCAGGCTCATGCGCACGCAAGCACGACACTGCAGGTCGCTGATGCGCGCTCCGAATCAAATTGCGGGGATGAGGGTGGTCAAAGGTCGCGAAAGTGAGCCAAGTGTCAAGGTTGCGGGCGAGCGAGGGAGCGAGCGCGTCTGGCGGGCGGCGGGGAGTCCCAAGGAATGCTGAGACGAGGGAGCAGTAGGCGCGACGCAAGCACTTTATCGGAACCGGTTAATCGGAAAACGGCGGACAGAAGGCGGAAGGGAGGGGTGCGAACAGAGACGGACAGACGAGTTGGATGTGACGCAGTCAAAAGGGAACCAGATGCTCGGGACAAAGGCGATGAATGGCAATGGCGGATCAAGATGAGCCGGGGTTAGTTGGTTAGGGGAGCTCAGTGTGTCTGTAGCAGTGGCGCCAACTGCAGATGGTCGAGTCGAGCAGCCGAGGGGGCAGCGAAGTCGGCAGAATACAATGTGTCTGTCTCTTCCTGTGTTGCTTATCGGAAGAGAGAGGATGTGTGAGAGAGAGTAAGAGAGAGGGAGGTTTGGACAACAACGCGGAGGCGGGATGAACGGGGGTTGAGAAGGATGATATTTGGACGGGACGTATTTGGGGGTACAGTGGCCGGTAGAAAGCGGTCGGAGTCGGTATGAAGTAATGTGGTGTGTAGTGGTAATATCAGACGTTTGGGAGCATCGGAGGTGAGGTGGGCGGGATGTCGAGGCGTGACGAGTAGGTATATGTGCGTTGTGCGTGCGTGTAGGCGTGGTGGTGGTGGTGGTGGTGGTGGCTACCCACGTCGAAATGAGGACGGCAGCGAATAATGAGCTTGGCGGGGCAGAAGCCGATGACGGGAGAACCTGGTCAACAGGCAGAAGAAGCCAAGGGCGAGGGACAGTGTGTGGGTGACAGTGGTGGTGGCTAATGTTTCCTTGTGTGCCGTCGGGGTCGGTAAAGGTACTGACTGTAGTGTATGTACCTAGGTAGGTAGGTAGTAGGCACGTAGGTTAGGTAGCTCGCGGTAAAGGGCTTGACATTGACATGTGCCCAGGAAAGCGAGAGTGTGCGATGCGGTCAATCCAACAGGGCGTCCATGATGATGGCGATGATGGTGTTTGCAGGCACGTTTGTTGTCGGCGCCTCGTACGGTTGAGATGTTTGGAAAAGAACTGAGGAGTAAAGAGGGAAAATGAAGCATGAGAAAGGCTGAGGAGCGAAGGACACTATGGCGGCAAAGGAACGCAACAGTCGCTACGTAGCCACGGAAGTGCCGCAATCGTCGGTGGGCCGGTTGCTGGTGGGGTACGTATCTCTTGGAGTCTTTCGAAATCGAGCCGGCGGGGACCCTGCACCGGCGATTGTCTGAGTGTTTTAGCCCTGGGTGGAACAAGTCGGGCAGGAAGGAGGTAGGTGGTAGGAGGTAGGAGGCAGGAGGCAGGAAGGAGCTGACCTGATATGATTGGGCTGGGCAGTGCGGAACCTGCCCACGGGTGGTGCGTGCGTGTGCTGTGCGTGCCTTCTTCCACTTGGTGCTGATGTTAGATGGCTAGGGAAGTACGTACCTGTCGACACTTTGCCGTTCCTCCATCTTTGCGCCTCCCACGCGTGACCTTCGTTCGTCCTTGACCTCGTAGGCTCTTTTTTCCCCCCATATTTTATTCTTGTTCGGTTTATTTTTGTTCTTCTTTCCATTGTCATCTTACTCCTGGGAAGATATCGATGATCAATAGCTATGTACCTACGTTCGGCCGCCTCTCTCTCTCTCTCTCTCTCTCTCTCTCTCTCTCTCTCTCTCTCTCTCTTTTTTTTTTTATTTTTTTTAATTGCCATGTCTCTGGCACTTTCTTCTACCAAGCTTGGTCAGCTGCAGCGGCAGCGGCAATGGCAACGGCAACACGCGCAAGCGTCAGCCACTTCACCCAACATCTCCTACCACCAACCTCATAGTGCGTCTCTGTTTACCTACCAACCCAGGCAGACGGGTTTCTAAAGGCAAGGGGGACCCCGCGCTGTCTCTTCCTCCCAACTGTCAGCCCGGAGAGGAGGAGGGTGACATGAGAGCACGGCAACCTGGCATGCATGGGCAGGGCATGGCATGGCATGGCATGGTACGGGCAGCAGCTACGGATACACTAAACTATACCAGGGATTCGCGAAAATGCGGTGAAGGGCCCTGGCTTTCTCTCTTCTGCCTTGCCTGATGCGACGAGTACCAGCCGAGGTACGTACCTTTCCCACCTCTGTATTGGGCAATTGAGTACCTATCGCTGTGTGCGCGACGAGGGGAGCAATAATGCCAGTCGGATAAGGCTGTAATGAGCCAGACATACGTGGGTACCCCGTATACTAGTACTGCATATATACTATGTACAATTCAGTAAAAGAAGAAGGAAATATGGGAAACCCGTATCAAGCCAGGGTGGTCCCAGAGGAGAACACGACCTCTTGGGTAATGATATCCTACCTACGGAGTACCTAGGTAGATCAACAATATCTTGGCTACTAATCAGGTATATATTTTGCACACCTTGCGCCGACTCCCTCCAGCTTCCTGGGCAACGACGGGGGGGGGGGGTACATGGTTCCTTGGGCCCCTCCCCTGCTGTTGTCGCCTGAAGACCCTGGGTTTTGGGGCGAACTGGTAGGTATTCTTCCAGGCCTAAGCCGAGGCACTTAGTAGTACCTAGTAGCAGTAGCCAGCGCACTTCGCGTGCATACAGTGTCTCTGCCGCACCGAAGGACCTGGCCGGCTGACCATACTACGTATACCACAATTTCCAGGTCAACAACAGGCCGTTGCTGCTGCCGTTACAGGCCTTGTCCCTGCCCCGTGTCGCCTAGGCGCCTTGTCTTATTTCGTCTCCGAACGACCGGCGAGCCGGCCTGGGCCTCTCCCACCCCTTTGGTAAATTGCATCGTCGACCATCACATCCCACCCTGTCTTTGTCGTCCACTTCACGGCTTACTTGCTTGCTTGCTTGCTTGCTTGCAATCACGCCCACGGGTCCCTTCCCCTGTTCGATATCTTGTATCCCTCAGCCCTTTTTTCCTTATTCTTCTTGTTGCTTATTTGGCCTCCGCGTGGCTTCTTCCACTAACCGCCCACGCCCCCATTCGCCCCAATCCTACCTCGAGGTTTTATCCTTGGCGGCGACACACAAAAGCGTCATCCAGAACGGTGCTGCGCTCTGTACTCTCCTGCTGTGGGGGGTTAGGGGCGTATCAAGGAGATGTTTCTATTCTGGTTCGTCTCACCAGAAACCTGAGCGGCTATAACGGGGGAGCACACGTATGGGTGGGTTTTACAGCCTCTCCTTGTCTGAGCCAACGGACACGCGTCAACGATTGTTCTGCGATCCAGCACGTCAATCCTCTGCTTTTCCTGCCTGTCGCTGGCCGTCAGTGCCCAGGTATTACGTAGTAGGTACCCTTGCGACAACTGGCACATGTTCCCCGAACTTCAACACTCGCTTACAAAGGGCACCGTCATCAGCTAATAGGCGTTGGTCTTGTGCTCCGCACTCGCTGATCCAGACGAAAGAGAAACAAGGGGGGACGACATGCAAGTCAACGTTGGCCATGATGCTGCCTGCGAGTGACCTGCAACTGCTTCTTGGCATGGCTGCTCCCCATGGACGAGCGACAAGCACGGCATAACTACCTATTCATTCCTGGGGGGCGGTGGAGCGACGGCAGACCACGCGGGGCACCCGCTGCCTGTTAGTCGTCACTCACCTTGAAAGATGCTCCTCCACATGGGCTCATTCGACGGGTCAAGCATCTCGGTGATACACCGAAACCTCACTTAGACCGACTACACCGCGATACCAGACATCACCTGCAGGCACATCGCTGCGACATAACTGCTGCCCACTCCACACCGGCTTGACCTCTTCCCAGCTTCCTCTTTCCAGTCCCTGTGCCCCTCCGGGAGCCGCCCAATCCCCAGGAACCGCCAAGTCACCAACTGACCGACCCGGGCCTTTCCGTGTTTCCCCTTATTCATGGTCAAGGATATCCAAGGATATTGGATCCTCCGGCGCAGAGATGCTACCCTTTCCGATACACAACCACTTTAACGACCGTCAACCCACTCCTTTTCCTACACGCAGTGCTGCTGCCCAGAGACCAGACCCCCGTTGCCGTTACCTGGGCAAGCAAAGCAAGGCACATGCTCTTTGCGCGGCTCCCCGGGGCTGGAACCGGAACCTTGAACGAATGACACTCATGGTTGTTACATGGCTAGTGGCTAGGGGGGGGGAAGCATCACCCTCCCCCTAACAAGTCGCCTACGAAGGAACCATATTCATCACGTTTACGAAACTCTGTATCAAACCCCGTGCAACTCACCAAGTTGACTCACAACCCTGATGACGCCGTGCGCGCCTTGTTCTCGGGTCGCACTGCCACCAGATTGAGCCCTTCAAGGCCCGCGAATAGAACTGACACTCATGTCCACACGCTGAGGCACGAGCTGCAGATGAGACACATACACGTATGTACGTAGGGCAGCTGCAGCCCAATTGTTGCGTCTGCTATGGTCGCCGTCGCCAACCTTGCCGCCATGTGCCCACTATGCCCGCCAACTGTCTGTCTACCACCAGCTGCGCATCAGCACGCGAAGCGCACACCAAGCCCAACTTCTCCCAACAACAGTCCTGACTGCGCCGCCGGCCGCCATATCTAGATCCCAGCCAAACCTTGGCTTATCATACACATCGGCCCTTTCCCAAGAACCCGTTCGTTGTTGGTACTCGGGCCATTGTTTCCGTAGACGAACAAAAAAACTCGCCCCCTTGCGATCTTCCTGTTTGTGAAGGGCATCAGCATCACATTACGGTGTAGCGGAGTGTTACAAGCTATCTATTCTCGACGTGCAACTCGGTCAAGGCTACTCTAGTCCATGGTCACAGGGTAGACGCTTGGCCCGGCTCGTAGGCTCCTGGGCATGTTTGCTGGCAGACTGACAATCGCGTCCTCGTAGAAGCATCCCAACGCATGGTTCTGCGGGACTAGCCCTTGGGTCTTCCGTCGGCGGCTGGTTCGTCCTCGCAACTCGCTCACCAGAAAGCAAGCCTCACTTTGACTTCGGTCTGACTAGCGCCATCATCTTGTTGGTAAGCCCTTTCTCCATCCCCCCGGCAAGTTGCAGCTGGCAAGCGGAGTCCGGAAGCACACACGCGGCCAGCGGGCGTATATCGGCATCTACCTACCTCACCACTATTGAATACGTTGTCACCCACGACCTGCAAACTTCCGAGTCTCATACTGCGGTATGATCTCATCCCAGTAATTATGTTACCACTTATTATTGGCCAGACGAACCATCAAAAGGCAGCGGTGTGCCCTATCCCAGAGTCAAGAGAAAATCCCCATCTGTCCAGTCACCATTCCAATCCTCAGACAAGGCCATGCGCCAGTGCTCACCCGGTGGAACGGTTCCCCGTTGTCAATATTTTGGTGACATCAGCCATGGATTTGCCCTGTACGGAAGTTCTGTCAATTCGCACTCCCCGGAGTCGACCCTGCCATTTTTCCAAATACGTGGTCCATCCGGTTGCAACGGCGAGTAACAACATGGGTAACAACATGGGTAACAACACGGGTAAATCCTCAAGCGTAGCTGTTGCCACGCTCTTGACGAGCGCCGCCTGACCCTACTGGCTCTTCAGCCTGTCGCAGGTCATCCTACCCTTGGTGATGCCGACAGCTCCTCTAGCCTAACCTATTTAGAGACCGCCGGTTATTAATCCATGCTGGCACCACGTCTTCCAATCCTTCCGCCCGAATTCTCCTGTCCATCCGTTCAGGCCACGGGCCGGGCCAGCCCGGCTTATTGTACACGCCAGCAGAGGCACACAAATGATGATTTTCCTCCATATGGCATGTCAGCTGCGCATGGAAACGTGTCCCAGATGTTTGATACGACAGTCGAAAAAAAAAAAAAAAAGTCATGGCGCAAGCACGCACTCATGATTGTGCAAGTGGCTAGAAGGGGAGCCAACCAAGAGTATCTAATTCTCAGAAAAGAACACTGCTCGCTAATCATGCGTCACTATCGAAACATTGATGCGGTATAGCTCGAGTGTGATCAGGGTGGTGGTGCAAAACGCCAACATTCCATAGGTAGACGACCCTGACTTGACGCACGTAAGCAAAAGCGGTCACACAAAAAGCGCCGCGCTTCTCGAATCATAGATGGCGCGCATTCAACGCCAGTACCGCCAAGTCGATGCCGGTCGGTTGGTCGTTCAAAAGATTCGGTTCCAAGCCCGCAATTCACGATGCACCCACTTTCGGCAGATGGGCCCCCACGCAGTTTGGGGGGCCTGGCGTCACTCGCCGTAGAGAGACAGGGTCTTACCGTGGACTTGGGACTCGAAAGTCCCTCGAGTCGAGACCCTTCGAAAAGAATGGCGATGGCTATTCGTGCTGATCGTCGTTATCGTATACGCCATCTCATGCTAGCCAGATCATGCCGTCTTCACTTTTACATGAGCGATAGGTGTGGTCAATTCCAAGGACAAGGAGTCATTAGATCGGGAAATGTCGAAGTCACGAAATTTCTTTAGGCAAAAACAACAGTGCCGACATCACATACAACTAACTACAGCCCCAATCTCATCGCTCCTCCATCTGTGGCGTTTCCAGCATCGTAGTTTTCCAATCGGACGTTCAGGAAAGCGAGTGGGAATACACCGGCCTACCATCCATGGCGCCACGCAACAACATCGAAATCAGGCAGGCCGGGCTATTTTCGTCCATTTCCCGGGACGTGAGGTAAAGGTGGCACAGTGCCCATGCACACTGCCGAAGCACATCACTTGCAGCCAAAATTCCTCGTTATATTGATTAAAGATGTGAGCTGTGCATCGTGGAGGCGATGCACTACCACTCAATTCTCACCTCAGCTACGTTGGCTTGACGGGAGCCTCCTGCCATATGCTGTACAGCGTTATCCTAAGCAACAGCCTACTCTCAGCTTGAGTCCCAGCCTTGTTTCAGTGCATCTCCATGGGTCGACGGATGTCGTCGGCTAAGGCGAAGTTACTGATCACGACGACTAGCTGAAATCCAATCTATCGGAGTGGCAATCCCCACGACTTCTCTTCGTCCTCCTACGAACATTCGACCCAAGACCCTATCCCGCGTGGATTGATAAAAAAGCGGTTGCTTTGCAAGCGCCCATTGGCTTATCCAAATCTCTAGCTCGCAGGACAATCATGCTTCGTTGGCCAAATAAACTTCGACCCCTCCATGACCTCACTTGGAATCATCACAGCCTGCTGCATCCGGAGTGGCTGAGCCTTTACGGAATTGGGGTATAGGTTGCAACGCAATCGAGTGAATTCCGTAAGGCCGTAGACCTGCGCCGATGGCTGTCGCCTTCGAGCTGAAGCTGCTGATACTGTCGTCCGCAACTACTACATGGGCGGTCGCCAGCATCGTCTTCTGATCGATTCTCCACACAAGGAGCTTTGAGACCGACTCGACCCCGGGCATCTGGTGTTCGTCAAAATCAACGGCCGCTTCACGGGCTCAGATGTGGACTCTTACCTTGATTATTTCGGCTCGAATATCGTCCAGGTCAACATCGGACGGCGTGCTCTCCATCAAGACGTGACCAGCTCTCTTGCAAAGAGGCCACGCAGAGGCAATGATGGTCAGAGCAATAAAGAGACTGACTCCGGGGTCCGCGTAAAACCGGCCGTCCCCGCTTCCTTTCCAAATGACGACGGCTGCCACTATGACGCCGGCATTATTGATGGCATCTCCAATGACATGGATCATGACGCCGAGCATACCGAGATCTCGACCGACGTGGTGATGCCCCGCTTGGGCCTCCTTGGAGTCTGTATTCGCTTGTTCCGACTACGAGCTGTCAGACTCCGAAACGATGAGCAAGTGGACACCTACATTTACTGGAAAAGTGCAGCCGACGGCAACGGACTCCTTGATTGACTCTCCTTCCCCTTGATCAGATTCGCACCCACCATCGTGGCTGTGGTGGTTCTCTATGAAGGGTGTCAGCATCGCGTTATGTCAACGGTTGGAACTCCGCTGACCATGTAGGAAACCCATAACGAGGACATTGAGACCAAGCCCAATACATCCCATGATCAGTAGCAACACCGGATCGTCAACGTCTAAGTACGCGTTAAACCGCCTGTTCAATGACTACGTATGTGTGCAGACACTCACGGGTGAGGTTGACAAATCGCTCGACTGCTTGAAGTAGGATGCTGACGCCCAAAGCGAGAAGGAACACCCCGTTGAAGAACGCGCCGAGTATTTGAGCACGTTTCCAACCGAAGGTGAGTGTCCTGGGGGAGGTCGTGCGTTCCGAGACCTAGGAGCGGACATTAACATATCAACTAGCTTTTTTCGACTCCAGTGAAATTTGACTTACAATTACCGCCAGCAATGCAACCACGAACCCTATCAAGTCGTTCATCTGCTACTCTGTCAGATGCTGATCCTTACAGGAAGCTTATTAGTATCGAGCTGCACCTACATAATGAAAAGCATCGGCGATGAGCGCCAGCGACTTTGTGCGGAACCCGATAACTAGCTCGGCGATGCAGAAGGCACCAGATATGGCGATTGTGGCAGTTAGGCGCTGCTTCCTGGTTATGTGGAAAGGCATCGTTGTAAGTTTGGGTGCCGTATTAGGGAAGAAAGAGTCACCCGATTGATCAGAACAGAGATTCGAAAGGTTAACGAAAGAACATGGTTGACTTTGGCGTACCGTCTCGACTCTTTTTGTTGTTTGCGAGAGCGGGAGAGGATACGTTGCTGAGGCTGTCCGACCTGACTGTATGCTGGTGGTGATGGGCGTTTGTGTGAAGACATGACACATTTCCTTCCGTCTGGGCATGGGGGGAGCACGTAGAGTTTTCTATGAGGAAGATCGGGTAGCCGGCTTGCAGTGATGGGTAAGGACACGACTTGAGACGAAAGAGACTCTACACACAAAGTACGCGATTGGACTATCAAGTGACGGGAACCCCCGGATAGCTGCATTCTTTCGTTCCGGTTTCGAAGGCCAATGCCCACGAGGGAACGTTGGAATGCGCTGTTGAGGTGTCACAGATGCATGCCATTGCCAGGTTTGCTTGTGTTCCCGGAGACGTGAATGGTGATCTCGTGAATTGCTTCGTGGCCCTGAGTGAGATGGGCGGTGTTGTTGAGACGAGTTGACGTTGGATCAGTGTGTCTATTGAGGTGAGTTACCTCTACAGCCCTGAAACTTCCATTGGGAACCCAGAAAACAGACAAATGAGGGGAGCGGATGGATCCGTTCGTGGTATTATAACGTGTGTTTGGCTACGGTTGATACATCGGACGACTTACACGGCAATGACAAGTTGGGGTCTCACATCTGTTAGGCGAGATGCAGAACGTCAACGTAAAAAAAAAAAAAGAAAAAAGAAAATCCGGGGAAATACCTGGAAAGGAAGGCGGTGTGGAATAATGGGAGCTTGCCGTCCACAATTCTGCCGGCATGACGGAGCTGCAGCTGCAACGAAGCACCACCACCATTCACCATTGAACCGATAAGTGTGCCATCAACAGCAAGCAAGCAAGCAAGCACTCAACCCGGACACCTGTCGCATACGTAACGATACCATCGAAACGAACGAAAAACCCCGAAATGCTACTGCGGCATTATCGTGTAGGCCCACCTTGACGAGCCCCTCCTCCGGCGCGCAACGAACTACACTGAACGCACCCCTCTTCGGCCAACAATGTCTCGCAATGCCAGCGCAGTCCCGTCCTTGCGCAAGGGACCGAACTGGTCCTCCCATCTTCGGCAATTTAGCCGGAATAGCCTCGAGCCGCCATCGGCGACATCGTCCATCGACTCGCCGCGGTCTCCCGACACCGTCTCCAGCGCATCGACCATCCGAGGCGACAACTCGTCCAGCTCTGTCAAGCAGCGCCGCCTCGAGCGGAGATGCACCATCACCGTCAACGAGGGCTACTCGCGCGACGAGGTCCTCTTGAGTCCGGATTTGGTCAAGGGCGACGTCAAGCCGGGCAGCCTAGTAGCCATCACCGTAATCAGGAGCGAGGGCGACAAGACAGCCACCAAGGATCATGCGGCCCGCAGCGGCAACGCTTCCGGCGGCACTGGGGCCGGGACCGGAGCCTCACAGGGGGACATTACGACAGCGGAAGGCACAGCGCTGGGAAGGAAATACTTCTTCGTCGCCAAGGAGATGTCCAAGGAGCTTAGGAGCCGCTTGCCCAACGTGGACATCTATGTCGTCAAACACATCGCCGACGCATTTGGGATGAAGAAGGGCACACAGGTGCTTCTGACGCCTGTAGACGCGGATAGCCCCGCCACAGCCGCCTCGCACGTCGAACTCTCCTTCAAGGACCAATACCTCTCACGCTCCGACATGTGGCGGCTTTCCATCGGCGAGCTGACGGAAAGGACGGTGTACAAAGGTCAGTCGATACTGTTCATGGGCACGATCAAGGCGCAAGTCACGGCGGTGTACGTGGACGGGCGCAAGACGCATTCGGCCTTCTTCACGAGCAACACGAGGCCGATCTTCCGCAGCGAGTCAGCACGATACGTGCTGTTCATACAGATGGCACGCGAGATGTGGGATTTCGACTCGGAAGGGTCCGGCGAGATCCTCTTCAACAAGGTCGTCAACGGGTTCCTGCCGGCGCTGTTCAAGAAGTGGGCGAAACTGAAAGCGAAGCACCTCGTGAGCATCGTGCTGTTCGCGAGAGTGGAGTACGACACGGGCCTGACGACGGAGCTGGCGAGCAGCGCGCTGCACGGGGACTACTACACAGGCACCCAGATCTCGGGGGAGCGCAGGCCGTACAAGGACTTTTACCGCGTCGTCGTGAGCGACATGGCGAGCGGCGAGTGGACGACGATCCTATACCAGCTAAAGCGCGAGTTCAACTTCTTCCGCCGGGACATCAGCCTGCACCACCAGCAGGCTGGCAGCGCGTTCGTGCCGCTGGCCGAGGAGATGGGCGGCAAGGGCGTCGCGTCCAACAGGGTCAAGGCCGAGTCGTCGCTGGCCATGCATGGGAACTTCCTCGAAGCCATCAACCTCGCGTCGTCGCAGTTTGCGCACGATTACGTCGACCGCGACCTCATGCGGACGGGCATCTCCATTGTCGTCATTAGCCCCGGGCCCGGCGTGTTCGAGGTCGAGTACGAGTCCCTCCGCCGGACGACCGAGGCCCTTGTCGGGAACGGCATCGGCATCGACCTCATCTGCGTGCCCAAGATGCCCCTCCACTCCGTTCCACTATTCCGGTATCGTACCCCTCGGACGTCGGAAGACTCGCATGGCCTATCAAGGTCGAGGTCCGTACGGAGCCGCGAGAGCACGCCGAAGCAGCAGGCCACGCCCATCATCGGCAGCTATCAGTCGCTGTCGGAGTCGCTGTCCCCGACCAAGGGGCTGGAGCTCACCCACCGCATTAACACCCTGGCGAACCCGCCGGACGAGTGGTCGTACGCGCTGCCGCAGTGGCTGCACGTCTCGTACTGGACTGGGACGTCCGAGGAGGCGCTGTCGTATCAAGGCATCGCGATCTCGGCGTCCGACCAAACGGAGAATCAGGAGAGCGACGACTTTACCATCCGCGCACGCATGTACGACCTGCAGATGCGGAGCGTCCTCGAGACCAACGAGATCGAGACAACGCCGCTACAGGCCGATCCGCTGTTCCCCATCACCACGACCGAGTCCAAGAGCTCTTCGCAGCGGTCGCGACTGGGGACGGAGGAGATCGCCGCGATCCCCATGAAGCGCCACCCGGACACGCTCTTCGACCACGTCTACGGGTTCCAGAAATTTGTGCCGGACCGGCTTGTCAAACCGGGCGAGAAGTCGCTGTGGAAGCAGCTGCAGGAGTACGACGAGACAAGGGCGCGGCTGCCCAAGACGCGACGCCCCGCGCACGCTAGGGCGTCGCGGGACCTCGAGGAGACGACGAGGCGGCAGCTGATGGAGGACACGGGTTTGTTCGGCACGTCGCTGCCCGAGAAGAAGGTCGCGCCGAACCAGGGCCTCGCGGCCGTCGCCGCGGGGCGAAAGCTGTCGGTCAACATTGCCGACGCCGAGAAGGCCGAAATCGTTGCATCTGCACGGAAAGCCGCGAGCCGTCCGCCGTCGACGGCGAATTCCGCCGGCGGGCCGACGCCCTCCTCGGCTTCGTCGTCGATGCCCGACTCCCAGAGCGCGACGTCCAAGATGTCGTCGGTGAACTCGCCCTCGAAAACGCCCAAGTTCATGCGGCAGATCAGCCTCGGCCTGCGGGGGTTCGGCGTCGCGGCGCCAAAGGTCGTGGCTGCTGAGGCCAGCTTCGAGACGGTCAAGGCTTCCACCGAGCAGAGCGTGCAGAGCCCCACGACGCCGCTGGTCATGTCGACGATGCCGCGGCCCTCGTCTCCGCAGGTCATTAAGCCGGCCATGTCATCGCTTTCGCCCCAGCTGTTCCGGTCGAGCTCGCGGGACACGCTCAAAGACCTGCCGTCTACGCCGAGCATACCCATCAATCTGAAGTCGTCGCGCAGGGGCGAGAGCTTGCTGAGCCAGCAGCACCGGTACGGCTCGATCCTGCCATCGTCGCTGGCGCGCAAGGACCATTTCCGCGAGGATCCCGACCAGAGAAACTCGCACGCCTTGAGGGCCGAGGACGACAATACCAAAATGTTCAATAGCAAGCTGCGCGCTGGGGCCATGCCCGAGTTGCCGTCTACGTTGTCTCCGACCACGGCGATCTCGCCGTGGCTCACGGTTCTGAACCCGTCCAACCCGGACCGGAATAAGGTTGATGACACCGTGCTTTACAGCCGATGGCAGCACGTGTTCCCGCGGACGTCGGAGATGAAGGTCATGAAATGGAAGACGCTTTGCTGTCCAGCTGCCGTGCCTCTGACAACGGAGTACTTCCCGACGAAATCACAATTTGACATGGAGTACCAGAGACAGCCCTACGTGATTGCGCAGAACGCCGATGACGAGCTCACCGACGAACCGAAGTCGAGGGAGGAGTTCCTGCGCGAGCTTATCAGCCTGCGCTTCTCTCAGGGCTTCCAGGTCGTCGTTGGCCCGGCCGTCGCGAAAGCCTTTGGGCAGCGGCTGCTCCGGATCGCAGACATCTTCTCGCGCGACCAAGCGATGGAGGACGGCACGAGCATCTTCCTGTCGGTGGGCAACACGATCCACCAGCTCTCATGCGTCAACGGCACGGAGGTCGAGGTGAACATCTACATACGGAAGCCGGCCGAGTCGACCATTGGGGGCTCCAGCTCGGGCCCGCTGTACCGCCCTGCCATCCGGACCCTAATGGAAAGCGGATATCAGACGCAGGAGGTCGACATATCGACGCCGAGGCCGGAGAGGAACTGGAACTACATCGACTCGTACCTCGCCGGCCACCACGAAGAGATGACGGAGAACCTCCGCTTCTGGCGGACGAGGTTCGTGCTCATCCCGATGGTGGCCCGATCGTCGGCGGTGCCTAGGAACCAGGCCGGCGACAACGCCGAGGAGGTTCGGCTGGAGGGCATCAGAAGGCTGTCGCTGTCCTGGCAGAAGCACCGGTACATCCCGCTGTCCGAGCGCAGGTACCAGACAGCCAAGTCGAAGCGGGACCCCAACCCGTTGGACATTGTGTACAAGACGGAAGACCCGTCCGTGGTCATCGCGGCGGAGCTCGACAACCTGCCGCTGGTGGAGGGCCCGGCCGACAACCGCAAGAGACAGCTCGTCTCAAGCCGGGAACGCTTCCGCAAGTCGAACCTGAACCTTGCGGCGCTAGCGGAGGCGATACAGCAGCCCGTCGAAAACGGCGGGGTCAAGCTTCAGAACCGGAGGTGGCACTTGCGGCTGCACTACAACTGCTTCATCGGGTCCGACATGACTACGTGGCTCATGGACAGCTTTGAGGACTTGGACAGCCGCGAGGAGGCGGAGCAGCTGGGTAACATGCTTATGGTCAAGACGTACGACAGGTCAGACGACAAGAAGGACCGCGGAGGGCTGTTCGAGCACGTAGAGAGGCGTCACCCGTTCAGGGACGGGCAGTACTTTTACTCCATCGCCAGCGAGTACGCGAAGCCGCACCCGCCAAGCTGGTTCAACTCGCGCCGGCGCGACGTCTCGGTGCCGTCGACGCCCATGTCGGAGAACATGCCGCGCGACTCGCCGCGGCCGGGCATGATCTCGCGGCCGACGTCGATCAACGAGGAGAACTCACCCATATCGGGGTCCACGACCCCGACGGCGAACTCGGCCATGCTCAACAGGAAGGTGCCCAAAGTGGTGCTCAGCAAGGTCATCAAGTACGACGTGGACCACCGCAAGCGGTCGTACCGCCCCGAGCGCGTCGACCTGCACTACGACCGGCTGCACAACCCGGACAACTGCTACCACATCCGCATCGACTGGATGAACGTCACGGCGAAGCTCATCGAAGACGTCGTGGAGGGCTGGGCCAGGGAGGCGGCGACGTACGGACTCCGGCTCGTCGAGGTGCCCATCAAGGAGGCGTGCTCCATCACGGACGTGAACCCGTTCCGGCGGCCGTACATCATCAAGCTGTCTGTGCCACCGCCGAGCCAGCAGCCGGTGACGTACTACGAGCCCACCGCGTTAGCGCCGCAGACGGCGCCGGGCAAGCACTTTTACCAGAAGGCCATCATGCGGAAGCTCGACTTCGTCCTCGACATGGAGGCGGCCTCCAACTACCCGCGGGACGTCGAGGTCAGCTTCTCCTGGGGGCGGCCGGACTTCAAGTACTCGCAATACATCCACCGGTCGGGCGTGCTGCTCGCCGAGATCATGGACGACGGGCACTTTCTGGTCCTCGCCAACAGGCTGTTTAGCAACCGCGCCGCGGCGGCGCGGGACAAGGAGCTCAAGGAGATGCGGGAGGCCAACGTCGCCGAGCGCGGCGGGCGGGGCATGCCCGTCGGGTCGTACACGCCGTTTGGCATCTCGGAGCAGACGCCGGTGAACAGCCCGATGGTGAAGCCCGTCTTCTACGCGGGCGGGAGCCCCGTGGTGCGGGGAGCTTCGGACGTGAAGTCTGGGGCCAACAGCTCGACGGGGATCGCAAACGGCGGCGGCGCGTCTGGGTTTGCCGGGGCGGCGGACCCGATGGCGGTACTGGAGCAGCTGGCCGCATTCTGCAGCGACAAGGCGGGGCTGGAGGGGTTTTACAAGGAGACGCTGGAGAGGGGCCCGCCGGGGGCGATGACGACGCCGGGGGCGATGAGGCCGACGACGATAATGGGGTTGGAGGCGGTGCCGGAGGCCAGCATCCCGACGCTGGGGCTGCCTGCCGGGGTGCTGGGGGACCTGCACTCGTCGGGCCTGGGATCGGGGTCGGGAGGGTCGGGAGGGCCGGAGGGGCTGCGGGGGCTGGGAGGGGGAAGCCCGAGCCCCGGGCCATGGAGCCTCATGGGCAGCCCGGCGGGGGGGATGCAGTTCCTCAGGAGGGCGAGTGTGCAGGACGGGCTGGGGCTGGGGGGCGGGGGCCCTCGGAGGGAGGTCCGAGAGAGGGAGCGGGAGTAAAGTCAGAAACCCGTGTGCGGCGGGGGAGGGCAAATGTGTGAATAGGTGAACGGGGGTGTGTTGTTCCTACGTGACCTAACGGATCTCTCTCCCTCAACTATAGCCAAGATTTGCGCCATGATTGACCAGTTCTAAACCCATTCTAGCCAGATTCCGCACTACAACTAAGAATATCCTTGGCGTGTAATCAAGAGCACCCGGACCAAGCCATTGGCGCTTGGTGATGGAGATTGGGGGCGTCGGGCGGGAACTTTAAAAAAAAAAAAAAAAGCCACGCTGGATGGGTGTGGCTGAGCAAACGAGGCGAGGTGGGCCTCCTCAGCAAAGTCATCATCAACAACGCCCCCCCCCCCCCCCCCCCCAGTGAGACAGGCGCAGCACGTCGGCTGGTGGCGGGTTTTTTTTGTTTTTTTTTACGGGATACGGGAAGATGCAAGCCCGCGGTGATTTCTAATTAACTACGTGGTGCGGGGTCGGCGGGTTGTTCATATCAGCCACACGATGATTGCTGAGTCGGATCCTGTTTGGGGGGGCTGTGGGGTGCCGGAGTGAGGCTGTCGGAACAAGCTCACGAGCAGGAGTCACAATTACAAATGGTCTGCGGCGCGGCGCATGGCAACAACCACCTGGATGGTCCCGGTAAGATCTGGGTCAAATAGGTAGACGAGCGAGCGTGCTTACCAGCTTCTTGATTGGTGTTCCGATGAGGCAGGGCGTTTCGCGCAAGAGGAAGAGATAGAGATGATGATGAGGCGAATATCAAACCAAGGATTGGGGCCAGATGGAAGTGATGTCTTTCTACTGTAGTCCAAAGCCACCTTTGACGTAGGATATATATATTCCAAAAACATTTGGATTCCGCCTTCGGGCATGCAATCGTCGAAGAGAGAAGCTGTCCTGCTCCCACCTTCTTGCTACATTCGAATCACATATCTGTCGCTTTTTCTTCCCCTTCCTACAGAAAGGAATGATTCTTATTGGTTTATAACCCTAATGACCTTTCTCCTTCCTTTTTGCTTATGTTCTAACATGATATGCGACTGGAACTGGTTTGACTAGTATCAATGCCGGTGGCGCAGATGGAGGGCCAGCCACCATCCGATTTGACGAGTGAGACGGTGTCGAGGTCAGAGGTGTGCTGAGGCAGGGCATGTTAGACTCTAGGTGCTGTCAATGCGTGAGACTATGGCGATAACCTGATTCGAAGCGTTGTTGCTGGCGAGGGAAGGTGAGGTCGACAGTGGCGGTGGTGATGGTGGTGGTGGTGGTGGTGGTGCTGATGTCATCGTACATAGTTTGGGCTAGCTTGGTGGTCTCGACTAACTACGGATATGACTACTGCCGCATCGGGGTTGATGCACGGTAACAGGACTGAGCGTCAAGGCGTGGGTGCGGATGGCAATCTGAGCAGATGCGTGACGATTTTAGCGTCACACTGTTTCTCTTTTTTTCTTTCTTTTTTTCATGCTGCATCTAATCTTGTCCCTGCTGCCGCCGCCGCCAAACGTTGGGCATCCTCGAGAAAGAAGCAGCAGACAAGCAAAAAAGCCAAGCAAGGCCAAGGAACCAGGGACCTTTACCGCCTTGGCAGAAGCTTGTTCTGCTGGACTTTTGGGCGGTTTGGTGCACACGCAGCTGCGTAGAATTGTTGCATGTGGCGTCGGCTTGGCACGTCACCGGGATTTGCTGACGACGGGTGGAAAATCCAACGACCATCTTCAACGTCTCTTGAGCGTACACTTTATACGTATCCGTGATGGGATTTGTATTGACTTTACGGATATCAAGTTTTAACCATATATTGGCTTTTACTTCCCCCGTTGCGCAGGGACCATTCTCTATCTTCTTCTTCTCCTTCTTCTTCTTCTTCTTCTCCATCTCTGTCAAATGGCGAATGGAGAACAAAGAGAGGGTCAGGGATGGGAAAGGGGGAAAGGAAGGCCAGACCCGGACGCAGTTGCCAATGGAAAAAGGAAGGACTGCCCCGCTTTGGGGTTGTGCTTTTGCGCAAGGCAGGGTCGGCCGGGCCACACACCGCATCCATTCATTCATCCAAGGAAACGACGAAGGGTACGGAGCACAATGTTCAATTCAGGCAAATTAGCGCGGTGCGTGCATACCCGAAGGTACCCCCCCCGGTCCCGTACGTATTACCTACCTACCTCTTTGCACAACCTGTCCGGAACTCCATTGCTGGCAGCGCAGAGCCAGCAGCCGATGCAGCTGACGTATGTCTCTGCCTGTCCTCGTCCTGCTCCTTGAAACCATCCCATCCCGCCTGAGGCCCGACGAATGCATGTCGCGTAGTGTGTAACCATTCATCGTCACCCCCTCCGAGGGAGCGAGGGAGGGAAAGAGGGAGAGGGAGAGAGAGAGACAGAGAGAGAGAGAGATCGTCGACGTAGTTTACCTACGTAGTATGCAGTTTAATTACACTAACGACAACCCATTGACAACTAATTCACTGACGGGGGGCTATGACCAGGTAAAGCTCCCCCCGTTCCTTCTTTCATTCTTCTCTTCAAACCGTCCTTCTCTTTTCTCCCTTTTCTATATCCCGTCATCCCATCCATCGGCACTCTCTGCCGACCTTGACTTCTTCTTTCCATCGCCTAGCCGACTCAGGTCTAGCAGCTTGAAGCCGGCAACAAAGCTTGTCTACCTAGTCGACAAGACACGACTCATACCCGTGTCCTTCTGCTCCCACTTTTTTTTTTCTTTTCGGCCCAACACTGCCTCCCCGAATTGCACACACGTTACTTCGACGATACAGCCGCCGTTGCGAATCCAGCCCGAACCCTCGCTGTCCAGACCAACACAGCCCAATCCCGCCCGGCAATAGTCATCATCGTCGTCGTCTTTGTTGACGTGTGTCTTTTTCTCCGCCTCCTCAGCTGCGGTAACCGTTCGTGGGCTTGTGTGCCAACCCCGTCTCTCGCCTTGGCAAGCGCTTGCACCGCAGCAGCAGCAGCAGCAGCAGCACCCAACCGAAGCTGCGCCTCGGCCGCCCCGTCTCATTTGCGGCGCCCAGTCGAGCCCGGCAACATCACCAAGGAGGCCTCTCCTCTATCTTCCTCCCCCCTTATAGCCTATCAACCCTACAGCATCTCTCTCACAAGAGACAGCAGTAATCACTACATACCAACGCAGTACCCAGGCACTCACTCTCTGCACATTATTCCATACGCACGTCAATTCTCGATACAAAGGATACCGGAGTCAAGGACGATACCAACACCCCGGCACCACAGCTCGGTTCGCGTTTCGTCTCAACACCTTGGCGCTGATCTGAAGCGATCCGATCTTGGTCACTAAGCACAAGCACGCCGACCAGCCTGCCTAGGCCATCGTCATTGCCGTTGGCTAACCGGCATGAACACCTGTGAGTAGAGAGTGGTCAACAACTATCCAGCTTTTTTAGTACCCGCTCATCCTTCCTCACCCCTTATCCCCGTCACCGTTGCATCGTCCTCCCGGCGCCACACGAGAGAAGAAAATCCATCGAAACACTCCCACCCATCTGTTTCCCATATCACCACTCTGATATTCCTATTTCCACCATTTGTTTTTCTCAAACCCCCTTCTCCCTTGTTTTCTTTTTTTGTCTTTCCCCCCCTCCCCAACATGAGGGATACTGTTTGCTAGGCTGCTCCATAGTCTAACCCATCTCCCTCAATCATCTGCCCGTCCGTCGACTCAAGTGCGGTCGCGGCCAACTTTCGTCCGCCCCCCTAGTCCCCCCCTCCCCCTTCCCATATTATTCCCACCTGTACTCCACATAGCCAGTTTCACGTCGTTGTCCCATCTCACTGAAAGAGCCATTCCCACTCATAATACTACACTTTTCGTTCGCCAATTAGCGCTCTTTTTCCTACCATCTCACAGCGTCAAAACGCTGCCAACACTTGCTGACCATGCCATCTCTCGTCGGTTCAGTCAACCACTTCGATATCAAGCGCAAAGCGCACGGCCTAAGCCGCCGGAGCCAGGAGCAGACATGGAACCCCTTTCGTCATGTATCGTGGGATAATCATCCCAGCAAGCGGTCCACTTGGGACGGCGCCAACCTCGAGGCCCAGCGCGAAGCCCTTGCCGAAGACATGGAAACCGACGACGCGATACATCACGTTCAGAGCGAACCGGCCGCCAGGGATTCCGACATCGCACGCACCAGCTTGAGGAAAGAGACGAGGTCGGGCTCGGGCAGTGGAAGCGGTGATACCGCGTACGAGAACAAGCCCGAAGATGGCGGCGTCCTGAGGAATCGCAAGTCTGAAGCTGCACAGGATGAAGGGGTCTCGCCAGAGGAGGAGATGGAAAAGCCCAAAAAGCAGAAGTCGGGCTTGATCAAACACGTCGAACCCAAAGCGCCCTTTACGGTCGCCAATCAACTGCAACGCACGCTGCTCAGTTCCTACATCAACGTTTTGATACTGGCCGCCCCCGTCGGTATCGCCATCAGCTACGTCGGTTCCGTCAACAAGATCGCCGTCTTCGTCGTCAACTTCATCGCCATCATCCCCCTGGCAGCCATGCTGGGCTTCGCTACCGAAGAGATCGCACTGAGAACCGGAGAGACTTTGGGAGGTCTCCTCAACGCAACCTTCGGCAACGCCGTCGAGCTCATCGTCGCCATTCTCGCCTTGGTCGAGGGCAAGGTCTTGATCGTGCAGACCTCGCTCATTGGCTCCATTCTCTCCAACCTGTTGCTCGTCATGGGCTTCTGCTTCTTCTTTGGCGGTCTCAACCGACCCGAACAATACTTCAACACGACCGTTGCCCAGACCGCCGCCTCCCTCCTCTTCATCGCTGTCGCCTCCGTCATTGTCCCTACCGTCTTCGACAAGAATGACCACACTGACAATCCCACCCACGTTGCCGCTCTTTCGCGAGGCACCGCCGTCATTCTCCTCATCATTTACGCTTCCTATCTCTTCTTCCAGCTCAAGACGCACAACGCCGTCTTCAACGAGGAGTCTCAAAAGGTCGCCGCCAAACCCTGGAGTCGCGGTGGCCTGAAGGAGGGCGCGCTTGCCCGTGGATTGGCTGGCACTGGTGCACGCATGGCACACACTGGTGTCCGCAATGATGGCGAGGATGACCGTCGGGAGCTCAGCCGGATCATGATGCAGCGTCACGACGAGGAGGACGACGAGGACGAGGGGCCACAATTGCACTTCTTCGTGGCCGTCGGTACCCTCACCCTTGCTACTGTCTTGATTGCATTTTGCGCCGAGGCCATGGTTAGCTCCATCGACTACGTTACCAAGCAGGGTGGCATCAGCGAGGAATTCGTCGGTCTCATTCTTTTGCCCATCGTCGGTAACGCCGCCGAGCACGCCACGGCTGTTACGGTGGCCATTAAGGACAAGATGGATCTTGCTATTGGTGTTGCCGTCGGCTCCAGTATGCAGGTTGCCCTGTTCCTGATCCCATTGTTGGTGATTGTTGGATGGGGCATGGGCAACGACGAGATGACGCTCAGTTTCGATCAGTTCCAGGTTGCGGTGCTGTTTGTCGCCGTCTTGTTGGTCAACTACCTGATTAGCGATGGCAAGAGTCATTGGCTCGAGGGGCTGCAGCTCATTTGCCTGTATGCCATTATTGCTACGTGCTCTTGGTGTAAGTTGTTTTCTGCTCTGACATCTCTCACCCTACCATTTGCTGACACTACCGAACAGGGTACCCTGCTAGCGGCGTTGCTGGCTAAGACGGTAGCTTCATGCCATGGCTTTGATTTAATGTTCCATTTCCGGGTCAAGAAACCCGTTCGATCTAGCGTTTGTGCGATAACTTTTCTATTCCCATAATGTTTTGTATTACGAAGGAACCTTTTTCCTTCTGTGTATATATAACAAACATACATGATCTTCCAGAATCGGGGCACTGTACACTGGAACCGACTCTTTTTGGAGGGGGGAGGAGGGGGGGCGACTCTGTGAGATATCGGACAGGGTTTATGAGCAGAGACGATGCGAGCCAGAGAATGAATAGCTGGTATACCTGCTCAGGCATGCCGTTAAGTCGTCATGTCTGATTGAATGAATATTAAAAAAAAAACGATACTCAAACTGAAGCTTCTACTATCGTCTCTAAACTGACATTTCCCCACTTCCCACACGTGTGGGGCACCCCGCTACAAATGGCACAAGAAGAGAAGCAAACTTCAGCCCTGAGCAAACTCAAATCACAGATCCTTTGCTCGTATATCCACACGTACGCATCCGTGTTCTTTCTCATTAACAGCGGACGAACACTGGTCGATCTTAAACCAAAAGTGTCTAAAGCAGAGTATCCGCGGCGACGCAATACATGCGCGTCCCACATTATTGAACCGGCCAGTTCACTAGCAATTCTTTGTGTAGCAAGAGAGTCTCATTCAGTGACATCCGTCGCAGGAAAAGTCACACTGAAGAGAACAGCGGTGAGAGGTAGTACAGCAATCAACCCGTACTGCAAGGGGACCATCAAAGAATGGGGGCTCGTATAAACATGTCGAAGAAGTGGTTGGAGTCGGAGAGTCAGCTCGGGATCCGGAGGACAGGTCATTCTCTATCGAGGCTTGCGGCGCCTCGTAGAGGAAAGGGGTGTTTGCCACATTCATCGCATTCAACGGCTTCAAGTCGCAGGCCGAGAGAAGGCCATGAATCTCAGCGTGGCGGTTTCCCCGCGAAGACGAAGTAAGGGGGGGCCCTGCTATCTGCAAACCGCAGACTTTGCAACCCACACCAGATATGCTTAATTGAAACGGCCACCATCCCTGTATGCTCGGGGTTCTACGGCTCGTATCCGTACTCCTTTCGAGCTTTTGAGGTAGAGGCTTGGAGCGGCGCATATCAAGCTGTGCAGACAAACATGCACTCGCCTCTACAGCAGCAACAAAGGTGGCGGCGATGAAACACATCATTGAGATTTCCCTTTTCCTACCGGCAAAACAACGTCAAGGTCGCACTGCGCCGCGCCCGGTTTGCGCTCTCTTTTGGCTCTTGGCCCGACGCGCACCGAGACTATCAGTCGAGGCAGAGGCGCCAAGGATCCCAGTCTCTTCAGCAGTCTGGCCTCAAGCACCGGCACAGCTCGAAAGAGGAACCCGCGACTATCTTGTGATGCTTCGCTTCGAGTACACGGCAGAAACAGGCCATTTTCATGTATACAGCCTAAAGAAAAACAATCCAGACCCTCGGGATAATTGCCCGATCCCGGGAGTGGTTATGGGGGGTTTGCTCTTGCCATCACCGGCTGTCACGTCCGGTTGACGCCCGCCTCCAGTGAACGAGAGCTATCGCAGCCCCGGCTACCTGGCCATGTGGAGGATGCCTCGAGGGGACGTCTTGAACAACAGTCTTCGCAATATATAAACCACAGCCCATTCGCCGGATATTCGACGTCTCCTCAGCACCCTTCTCCACCATCAATTCGCTCTTCCCATCTTCCCAAACACCCTTTGAGCCTCCGCTCCCAGCCATCTACAGCCAGTACGCATATATCAAGCAGAAGCAGGACAGCAACCATGAGGTCCCTCAGCATCACCGCAGTCCTCTCGGCCGTCGCCGCCACGGTATCGGCCCGCGACTGCCCTCTCGAGTCCGACTGCGTTCAGAAGTCGTGCAAGAACTTCCAGCTCCCGAAAATCGACGGCGTGGCCTTCAACGTCAACGGCCGAACGTGGAAGCTCACTGCCGACTGCAAGGACAATGCCGGAAGGAAGACCGTAACCCACCTCTATCTGGAGGAGTGCCTCGCCAACATGGACGGCAATCTAATCTGGACCCCTGGGTTGAGTCCCCCTCCCCCCAAACACTCCCTAACAATGGCTGTTCACCTTTGCATTTTTCTTTTCTTTCTCTCTCTCTCTCTATCTGTCTCGCGGGGGTCAGATCATTGACATTTATAACTATCACAAAAAACAGCGGCGGTTTCATATGTTCCGACTGCAAGCTCACAAAGACCGACCCCCTCACTATGGAGTGCTGGTGCTTGAACAAGAAGGGTAAGGGCAAAACCAGAGTAGTCAACCTCTGTAAGTGGCCCCTCTCCGTTTCTCTCTTGCACATATTATATACCTGCGCTGGTTCGCAAGAGGCCGTTGCTGACACGATTATTTCGTTTCATCTCCCAGCCGAGGGCATCTGGGTCTACGATGGCGCCATTGGTTGTTATCAGACCAGCACCGGGACCGCCTTGAAGACATACGCTTGGGACAATTATAATGCCGGCCTTCTCAAATCCCCCGGTATCGGCGACTACTAAGCTCCGGGATTTGCGCCGGACCCCTCCTCCCGCTGGAGTATGTTATGTGAGGGATGAGCGGGCCTTCGGAGGGGAGCCTGGAGCATTCACGGAACCAAGTTGAGGGAAGGGGGGACGCATTCGGGAAGTAGGGCGCGTGTGCAACGCGGTTCATCAGTTGGGCTACGCCGTCACGCATGTAGCCTTGCACCCTTAAATCAAACTTCACTGGGAAAGGAAAAAAAGGCATCGCATAGTACAAGTGTGACGTGTCCGCGTGTAATGAGGAAAAGACTCCCGCCAGGTCTCGGGAGACGACCCGCCGGCTGTGATGGACTCGAAAGATCCTGCCACAGCTCACGCCACCCGTTGCAGTTTCTCAGTCGGAAACTTGTACGTGATCTGGAAATCTCTAGCCATGGCCAAGCTGACGGAAGTGTGTTTTGTGTGACGACGATGATGTTGCTATTCATATTTGTACACGCTTCTCCCAGCGCCTCCCCCCCCTTTCCGGAGGCATCATCTGGCACATCGAATGTATGATTGATTCACTCATACCACAAACTTGCCCCCGCACCCGCCACACATCTCCTCCGAAGCCTCCACCTTGGCATCGGGGCCCAGGTGCTCCTGCGCGATCTTGGCCACCTCCTTGGCCACGAGGCAGCGGAGGCCGCAGACGGCACAGGCCCTCGAGATGCCCGGTGCGAGGATGGCGAGACCAGTGGATGCGCAGGTGGCTGTACAAGAAAAGTCAGCGGGCCCCAGTTCTCCGTAGCCAAGCAAACCAAGAGAGGCATCGCAAAAGAGGGGTTAATAAGAAAAAGAAAAGAAAAAACTCACCAAAAATGTGGCCCTTCTCGCAAATCGACTCCTTGCCCTCGTCCTCCAGGGGAGTCTTGCAAAAGACACACCGCTGTTTCTCCTTGACCCCCTCGAACCTCTTGCGCATCGAGGAGTCACCGGCCTTCGCCCCCTCACCGAACCCCAGTGTTCCGGGAACGGCGGGGCCGCCGGCGTACATCCAGTCCCACATCTTGGCCTCGGTACTCTGTCTCGCCCAGAACCCCCGATCCCTGGCCCCGCCGGCGCACTCGTCCACATCAACGTCCATCTCATCGCCCGTCGGCGGCGGCGGCGGCGAAGCCACGGCGCCGGACCGCCCGCCGAACAGGACCTTAGTCTTGACGGTCTTCTCCGGCTTCTGCGTGCTGTGCTGCGACACGAGCACGGCGCTCATGCCTCCCGCGGGCGACATGGCCATGCCCCAGATGCGCACCCGGTGCGGGTGGATCTGTTCGCCCGCGTCTTCGGGGAGGTCGAAATCGTCGTCGTCGTCCGAGTCGTCATCCTCGCCCGAGGCGACAGACTCAGCGTCCCCGGGTAACGTCGCGCCCGCACCGCGGCCGAGCATGGCGACGGGGACGGAGAGCTTGACGGTCGAGGAGATCGTCGCGGCCCACTGGGGCAGGGCCTCGACGGTGGCGGCGGCGGAAGAAGAGGGGTCGCCGGCGCTCCGCTGGAACCAGTTGTCGTTCGTCGCCGTGGCGGAGAGGCGGACGAGGGAATAGGCGGGCGCCTTGCTTTGTTTTGACAAGTCGGGGTGGTGAACGATGAGGCCTAGAAAGGGGGAGGGAGAGGTTTTTCAGCGCGAGTAGACTGCGGAAAGGGTTTGGCTTGAGGCTTACTTGTGATGGGGTTCGTGGCATCGAGCGAGGCCATGTCGTCTGGAGATGTCGTTTTGCAGACGCTCGTGGCATGAGGGTCCTTTACCGTACCCTCCGGCCCGTTGAGCGCGACCTGGAAGGGCAGCGCCTTGAACGGAGTCGCGATGACGCCCCGGCAGACCTTGGCCCCGTCGCGGTCCCAGACGGCATCCTCCCACTCGACAAAGGCGTCGGACAGGAGGCTCGTGCAGATGCCGGTGAGGTCCGCTTCCTCAATGGCGACCTCCACGCCGGCGCCCCGCGCCCACTGGCTGGGGATCGTGATCCGCCGGAAGCCGACGTAGTTTCTGGCGCAGTACGCAAGGACCGCCGTCCTCGCGCCGTCGGAGTGAAGCCACGGGCTCCATTTCAGCGAGAATGCCGAGGCGTAGGGGATGTAATCGGGGTCCATGATCTACGTGCCGTCAGCTTCTCACGAGAGTCTTAAGAGAAGTTGGCCGGCAACACTTACATTTGAGCTCGGGTGCGGCCCTCTCGCGTCGAACCTCGCCATCTCCTCGACCTCCCAGACGTGCGACCCAGCATTCGACTCGTCGAGATGGTTCGGGAGGTAATACTGTACACTCAGCACGACGACTTCCTCCTCGTCCGTCGCATACGCCATCAGGGCCTGCCCAGGGCCCAAGTACCTGGCCCACGAGAACGACCGTACCTTATCCTTTGGCAGGTAGGCTCCGTCCTCGCTCCCGGCGTCGGGGAGCGGCAGGTTCGCCCCGACGCCCCAGAGGATCCGCCAGTCCCTGAAGTTCCGCATCCGCGCCCCGAGGTCCACGGCGGCGCCGCCGCCGCCCTCGCCGAAGACGAGCAGCGCGCCGCTTGTCAGCATCACCGCCAGCGCGGCGCGCAGGTTCCGGCCCAGGCCCGCGGGCGACCACTCGATCGCGACGACCTGGTTCAGGGAGGCGCCGTAGCCCGTGACGGTGCCGGAGCCGACGCCCTCGAAGGCCGAGGACGGATCCTCGACGGCGGTGCTGCCGCCCGCTGATGGGGCGTAGTCGTCGTCGTACGTGGGTGTGTCGAGGCCCTGCGCGGCGAAGAGCGCGGCGTTCATGCGCGGGTCGGGCTTCCGAGAGGTCGGGATGCGGAGGATGTAGGTGTAAAACTGCTGGCGGGACGTCTTGCCGCCGTCCTGAGCGGCTGCCGCCGCGGCAGCGGCTGCTGCTGCTACCCCCGAGGGGTCCTTATTCGCCGCGTCCTGGGCATCGTGGTCCCTGGAGACGGAGGGGTTGGTGGTTATTGATGACGGCTCCTCCGGCGTCGGGAACTCGGGGAGGAAGACATGGACAGAGTCGTCCGCGGCGACGGCAAGCTCGGCATCGCAGGAGAATGCGAGGGCGTGGCTCGCCAGGGGCCGAGATTTGAGGGTGAGCGTCTTGAGGGGTGGGATCTGGAAGCCCGGGATGCGTGTCAGCGGTTCATTATACAACGAGAGGTTTGCGCTGACGGCTTTTGAGAGGGTTTCAATGTCGTCCATGATGTCTGGACTCTTGAGCATTGGATGACATGAGGCAAAGAGGAGGTTTCTTCCGTAGCGATTTCTCAACTGCAGCTTCAATGCGGGCGGCGTCTCATTCACGACATGCTCAGCTGGTAAGAGGGCCTAGGGCCGCAAGACAGATGAAGGAATGAAGGATGTCAACGTAGGGATGCGTCGAGGAGTGTGAGATGAGCTGTTCGATTCAGATGTTGTGAAATGAGATTTGCAACTTGCTCATCTAACACTTACAAAAAGGTTACGCGCAGTTGGAGGAGATCAATGTAGGTGGGCATGGCATGTGTGGACAAATGGCCAACAGGGAGGGACTACCGCGAACAAGACGCATTGGGAGAGTTGCTACACTGACCTTTGATTTATCCATTTCCACAGACTCTGGGGTGCCTACCGACCTCCATGAAGGGTACGCTGGAGGTGACGTGCCGCGGTGAGGTGGACTGGCTTGACACGGACGAGATTTTTGGGAGTGGAATGAATCCTCGGTGAAGAGCTCGGTGAGCGAAAGGTGAGAGACCCAGAGACTGGAAATACTCCGGGTAAATAGCAACAACACATAGGTAGGTAGCGACGAGCACTCGACTTGTCTTTGCAGCATGACGGCGAAGTTTGTGGCCATGTTTTTCAATATTGGGGAATCCTCGTACTGGTATTTTTTCTTTCTTTCAATCCAACGCAAACTAACCGGACCTCAATACCTCCACCAGACAAGGCGCATGCATACCATGCCATCAATGTACGGTGGTATTCCCTTCCCTATCCCACCAAACGCCATGCTAGATGCAACATCAAACAAGTCAAACAAAAACACAGAAAAGGCACAAAAGTAAAGAAGACGGCTATGCCTTGACAGTGGCATGGCCATTCTGGCTGCTCGTCGTCTTAGTCTCCTCCTCCGCCTTCTTCGGAGTCTCGAGGTACGACCCTAAGGCCCACAGAAGGGCGCATCCGGCCAAAGCGGTGGCGCCAATAATCTTCTTCTCCCACCAGTTATCGTTCGTGAGAGGTTTAGCCATTTTCACACGCTTGGCCTGGACCTGAGCGTTCGGCGTCTGAACCTTGGCCTTGTCCGCCAGCGAAGCATTCTTCGCTGCGGCGTCGGCCTCCTCTGCCCGCCGCTTCAGCGCAGAGATCTTCTGGCTCAGCTCCAGCAACTCTTCGTCGAGGGCCATGTTCTTGGCCCCGTCCACCTCGACATTCTGCACGTTGCCAAAGAAGTCGGTGATGCGACGGCTGCGCGCGGCGTCGGCGCCGCCTGGGAACAGGTCGTAGCGTACGCCGGCGTGGGAGTGGATCTTCTCGTAGGTGTAGCTGTCAAAGAGCTCGCCGACCGTCTTCTTGGAGCTCAGATCCTGGACTTGAGATTCGAGGAACTCGAGGTTGTAGTATGTGTACCGGTCGATGACGGCGACGCCGACGTCGTTGTCGGCGTGGTGGGAGTAGGAGGATTGGTCGAGCTCCGAGGATCCGGTGGCGATAATGTTGGGGGAGTAGAGCTTGCTGTACATCGTGTTCGCTTGGCAGGTGTCGATCATGAAGAGGATCTCGTGGTATCTAAACAGTTAACGACCGTCACAAGTCCAGCGGCGCCTGCTTTCTTACCTCTTCTTCTCCCACATCTGCTCGAACGCATCGGCAAGATCAAAAGCGCCGATCTCCTCGGCGTCTTGGAACTTCAGGAACTCGTTTCCGCCGTGACCTGTCATGTACACGAGGATGTTGCTTCGGTCGTCGGTAAGGAGGCGCTTGCTGCGAGGCATTTCGTCGCCGACGCGGTCGGTCAGGAGCCGGATAAAGTTTTCGACAGTGACTTCGTAACCGCGGTAGTCCACCTCGATGTTGTCGCCGTACAGGTCGACCGCGCGATCCGAGTTGCTATATACGGTGCCGGGGAAGGCGTTTCGCGGGTTACAGGCCATGTCGTCGGGCAGCATGAGGATGATCTGCGAGTCGGGGATACCGAGTCGTTTGACGGTGCGATAGATGGAGAGCACATTGGCTAGGTGGCGGTAGTTGAACCAAAACCGGGATGTGCAGACGAGGACGGCCCAGTTGCTCGTGTGTTCGGCCAGCACCGCCGGGGCGAGCGTTGCGGCGGCGAGCATCACAGGCAATTGCAGGAGGCGTGAGAGCTTCATGATGGCGTTGGGCTGCGATTCGGGAGTTGCGAGAAAAAAAGAAAAAAAAAAAAGGAAAACCACAGTGTTTTGCAGGGTGTGGCAAGGGAGACGAGAAGAGATGGCGTTGAATTGAAGGATGCTGATGAAAGTCAGGCTTGGTAAGGGGGTGCGCCCTCCCCGGAGCTTCACCTCTTCATGAACGTTAGTCAGCCTGCCGCCCACGGAGTCCCCATGCACGGACCATTGGCCACTTGCCAGACGGAACTACAATCTTGCCGGTTCTCGTGCCTGAAAGAAAAGACATATGCTTCACCTTTTCATCCGGCGTAACTCTTACTATGGCAGACTTTGTATATTCGTACGGCATTCTGTCAAAATGAGTTAAGGACCACTGTGTGGTCACATCCATGATTGTGACTGGCATTGAGCCAGGTACATGATAATTGACTATGGGTAATCCCCACCCCCGTTTGCTACCTAACGTAATCACACGACCTAGGTACCTAAGTACCCCTTGTACCTGAACATAAGTTTGTTCCCGCTCCGTCGCTATCAAGTCTGTCAAACCAATGCCCGCCATGTCTGATTCAAAGAGCTTCTGCCGAACAGAAATTTTTTGACGTCGAGGAAGTTGCTGTCTGTTCGATGTCTATTTCTTGGCCAGAACCCATAGGAACTTGGCGTCCACAAGATCATTGATCTCGTCTTGTAAGATGATTTCCAGGCCTGCCTCCTTGATGCGGGCCAGGGTACCCTCGGTGCCCCAGCCGCTCCAGTACATCCAGCCCTTGTCATGGAGCCAATTGTCCATGATAGCCTCGGGCATATCCTCGGCGGAAAAGTTGACGAGCATCAGGCCGCCGGGCTTTAGCCACTTTGCGATGCGGCGAATCATCTCAGTCTGTTCGTCGCGGGGCAGGTGGATGATACTGTACATGCCGACGATGGCGTCGAAGGAGCCCTCGGAGAATTCAAGACCCATCATGTCACCCTCGACAAAGGTAACGCGGTCGGTGCCGTGCTTGGCGAGGCTCTCCTTGGCCAGCTTGATCTGGGTGGTTGACAGGTCGTTGGCAGTGACGAAAACATCCGGGGTCGTCAGCAGCCTGTCGGTGACGGGGAGGCCGCAGCCACATCCCAGCTCGAGGACGAGCGACATCTGGCCGGACAGAGGCTTCAAGGTGAGGAGCTTCTCCAGCAGCTTCTCAAGGTATTCAATGCGGAAGCCCGACTGCTGGATGGTCCAGTCATTGTAGGTCGGGGCGATGATGTCGTATGAATCCTTGAGACGCAGCTTGAGGTCCTCCGAGACGAGGAGGGCCTGGTTGTCCTCTGGGGCAGTGGTCATTGTGTGCTTTTGTTTTATTTTAAATCCCACGTTGTGTCTAAATCTGTGTGTATTCCCAGCATACGTAGCATGTACTTTTGGCAGCTTGACGATAGAGGAGAAAGGAATTGAAAGGAATTCCGCAAGAAGCGGCCAGTAATTACGATATAAATACGTCGACTGCGCCGCCGGATGACTCTGATTATTCGAATGCCGACAAGTATGACACTAGACGCCGAAGGCGGGGTTGTGAAGGGAGGGGTTTGGGGACCATCCCTGCCAGATACAGGGGATGTGGTTCCGTAGCTTGACTACGCTCTCTTGTTTAGGACTAGGAAGCCCAGCCCGCCGAGCTGTGTGGCTGGTGAAATCTATCCCTTACATGGTGAACGATTGGCGGGTGGAGGAGCCGAGATGGAGGTGGTCCTGGACCGACCGACCGAGCAAGAGTCTGGACGAACTTGGAGTTGGTGCTCGAGTCACCCTCCCCTGGTTGCGTGAGCGCCCCCGGCCGCCACTGTCGCCGCGGCGGTCGCTGATCCTGATGGGCGACCTCATGACTTGCGTCAACATGATCTGATTAGAGCCACACAATTTCCTTGATATGAAGTGAAGCATCGTGCATATTATTAGTTTTCCATATTGGGTAGACAATCAACCAGAGAATGGTTCGACTACATGTAGGTAGGTACGCTACGTAAGTGGGCAGGCAAAAAAGCACTGGCAGATGGACTGGGTGAAAATGCACCGAGGAGCAAGCAGTCGGGTACGGGCCGTTGGAGTTTGATTACTTAAGCTTGATTTGCAGCACCTAGCATTTTCGGACATTGTCTCGTCCAATTCTGTTCTGTTGCACCCCACGTGCTAGCATGACGTTTGGCGCTAAAGTCCCATGGGCGGGACAATCACATGCACGAGGATGCGAGAAGCGAGCTGTCGCTTTCCAGTCTGCAATGCATTCTGCTGCAACCCCTTCATACGACCTTGAATTACGAGAGGAGGAACGCGCTGACGGCAGGCAACATCACTTGCTTGTAGACATATATTGTAGCAGGACCCAATGAGAGACACGGCACCTAGACCGCAGGAGAATGAAGAGTCATCTTGAGCGGCTGACGCACCCGAGGTAGCAGCAGGTAACATGCTGCCTGCCTCTGGCAGCCGTAGTGTAGCGGAGGGAAGCTTCAGCAAACAGTGGCAGCGACATTACTTTCAGTACCTACCCTCCCCTCGGTGGTACCATCTCCCCACCAAGTGTCTATCTGTCACTCGCCGAGTCGAGTCTCCGAAGCCTCTGCAACGTAACGCACCCCCCCTCGTTGACACATTCGGCAACACCATACCGCAATTTGCCCACCTACTGGACCCTTGTTTCCTTGCTTCCTTGCTTGCTTGCTCGTGGGCTGGAGCCTGGAGGACGGGAACGGGGAACGGAGGACTCATCCAAGCAAAACATCAAACCAGACCACACTTGTCGCGTTTGGCACGGCCCCATCGTCCTTGAATCGTCGCAACGACAAAGCAAAACATGCCTGTCTCGTCGCTTACCCATGATCCATGGATCGTTACCTCCCAGCCACACCGGCAGAGCACAGCTGCGAACGCACTTGGTACCTGTGTGGTTTCTTTTGATCCAGCTAGTCCTGCGACCTGCGACCTGCGACCTGCGACCTGCGACCTGCGACCTGCGACCTCCAGCAACGTGTAGTGTAGTGTACGCCCGGACCAAAACAAACCAAGACGAGACCCTGTTTCTCCTATGCGGGCCCTACTATGTATGTATGTAAACCTGTGGTGTAGAATCCCAGCATACCTGCCCGGGTAGCAATCCACAGATTGGTTTAAATCCTCTCGCTATTCGCTCGTCGTGGCCAATCTGCAACCGAGATACCCTCTAATTCCCCACGACATCTTGCTCTCCTCCACCTGCCGGCCGCTGACCGACCGTTACGGTATCTGGGTCCAACAGTCTCCACCTAGCCCCAGCCTCTTAGCGCTTGCGAGGTCGGTGTTAGCTACCCTTAGGTACCTTGACTGGTTGGAGAGGGGCTTCAGACCGAAGCAAAACCCGTGGCAGAATTTCTGTTCTTCTGTTGCTTTGCCTGTTGTTACCTCAGGCTTTGTTTGCTTCAACCTCAGCTTGGTTCGACCTCGACTTGGTTTTTCGTCACTTAAACCTTTTTCCTTCCAACCATCCGCAAGAACCCGCTGTACTCGAACACGAGCGCACCTCGAGCGTGCGTCGACCATCAAATCATACACTGTCATCCGTCCGCCGCCCGCTGAAGCTTATTTCACCCGTCCAAGCCATCCGGTCTCCTCTGGGTCTACTGGTCTCTCTAGCCACATTTCGCACCGTTTTTTCTTCTTTTTTCTTCTTCTTCTTCTTCTTCTTCTTTTTCCTCTACTACTCTTAATTCGTTTTCTTTCCTTACTAAACCTTTCACGTACGCCGTTGGTCTTCCGCCGGACACCTCAAAGTCTGCATCTACACACACTCTGAGTGTGCATCTGCATCCTCACCTGCGTCGTCGAAAACATGGGGCGTCCGCCCGCGTACATTTTTGTGGTTAGGTAGGCCACTTTCCTTCCCTATCCAGTCGAGTCATGGGAGGCTGACAAACTGCAGGCACGGCGCTCGTCTTGACGCCGCCGACAAAAAGTGGCACCTCACATCTCCGACTCCTTACGACCCTCCTCTGACCTACGGCGGCTGGCAACAAGCAAAGGCACTCGGAATCCGCATCGCCAACATCCTCCGACAAGCCGAAGCAGATGGCATTTTGGAATCAAGCCTCTCCAACGGCCGCAATGGCTCCGCCGACTCCCAGAAGAAGCGACGAAAGTTCAAGGTTGTCCTCCACAGCTCTCCGTTCCTGCGATGCGTTCAAACATCCGTCGCCATCGCCGCCGGCCTAGCCCAGGCGCCTCCCGCCGGCGTTCTCTCATACCCGCTGCCCTCTCCCAGCTCGAACCCTTCCGCCTCGCCGTTTGTTCCGCCCGCTATTACACCCGACGAAGTTGGTCCGCTGCCTGCAGACGCGAATCACAACAAACCCGAGCATTCCAAAAAGAAAATAAAGACGGCCATTCTCCGGCTGGATGCATTCCTTGGCGAGTGGCTATCCCCCGAATACTTCGAGATGATTACACCGCCGCCTGGCTCTGCTATGATGTTGGCTGGCGCAAAGGCAGATCTTCTGCGGCAGGAGCATATCAGCGTCCACGACCAGGTCGTTGAGCATTCGCATCACCATGCCAACTCTGTTGGCCAATCTCAGAGCCAGCTGTGGAACAGTCCCATTTTCAGAGCAGCCCCCGAGCGGTCCGGCTCGATCGACTCGAACTCGCCGTCCATTCTCGGTCTCGATAACGTTTCCTCTTTGGCTGGTGCTCTGCCGCGAAGCCGTGCGGATAGCGCAGCTAGCTCGTCGAGTCAGCGAGTCCGCTTTGCGCTACCAGAACCTGCAAACCCCAACGACGGATATGTCGCCCCGAGTCCCAACTACGCCATCTCACCGAGCCACAAGATCCCCGACGGCTACGTGGCGCACGCGCGAGATGCCTGCGTTTCTGTTGATTACCAGTGGGACTCGATGAGGGGGACCCTGGACTGGGGCGATGGTGGCAAGTACGGCGAGGAGTGGACAGCCATGCACCACCGCTTCAGGAAGGGTATCCAGAAGTTGGTGGACTGGTACACTACCGCCGAGCGCCCCGCTGAGATGGTCACCAAGACAGTAAGGACTGCAAAGAACGGTGACACTGAGTGTGCCATTGACGATGAGGATGACGACGACGTTGAGCCTGTGGTGATCCTTGTCTCTCACGGTGCCGGATGCAACGCTTTGATCGGCGCTATCACCCATCAGCCGGTTCTCATGGATGTAGCGATGGCTTCCTTGACGGTCGCGGCCCGCAAGCCGGGCCGCGAAACCGGGCCCTCGGGGCTGGACACTCCCATGTCGGAAGTCGACATGGACCCAATGTCTGGCACAAAAGGCCTGGTTCCTGTCCACCACTACTACGATCTCAAGATGTTTGCGAATGTCGATCATCTGCGGCAGCCTACCTCTGCCACCCACAACTTATCCAGAGCCCCGTCCACGGCGTCGAACCACTCACAAAATGGCCAAACGAACCAACGGGGCCGCGTTGCGACTCTGAGTACTTATACCCCTAGCCCAATCACCTTCAACCCTGACTCGTTTGCCTTTCCGGGCAGTCGAAGCAATTCGGCGAACGCGAGCCTAGGCAGCATGCGCCGCACCTCCCACAACACACACTCCTTGCCCCGGGCCCCCCCGTTGAGCACGGGCGGAATCACTGTCGGAAGCGGCGCCACAAGTTTCACGAAACCTTCACCGACGCTCTCCCTCGGGCTGTGGTCGCCCATTACGCCGCAGAAGGAGGTGGAAGAAGAGGATGAGGATGATGATATATTCCCAGATTTCGACCATCGCAAGAAGCTGGCGGCTCTTTCCAAGCCTAGCCAGGAGATTGTTAAGCCTTCTACTCCCGAAAAGAAGGAGCCGCAGATGGGGGGCCCTGCAAAGGTTCCCCATAGACTACAGGAGATCTCTCGGCCTACTTCAAGTGACGGGACCGACGAGCAGAACGAGATCCCTCAGCTGGGCACATTCAATAAAGGTGGCCTATGGGGAGCGCCGCGTCCCCTGTTACAGACGGAAATTATGCGCGACATGACGACTTCAAAGCGGCGATGGACCGTCAACGAGCGTGCCTAGGGTTGCGTATCTTAAACCTAGAAGGTACATGCATGCATTGCGATTCGGAATTGATGGAATGACACGAGTCTGAAGAGCCCATGATATTGCACACAAAACAGCACAACACAACCCAGCATGAATGTGCCACAACACCCGTACACAGATACGAAACAGGAACAGTCGTACATTTGGGTGGCAATGAACAACATCTCAACTTTTTTTCTTATCAACCTTTTTCTTCTTTTTGCATGACGTAACTGGCAGCAGGGGACCAAAAACCAAAACAAAAAGGAATTTGCGGGTGGTTCAAAAACATGATGTATATTTTTTTAATAGCACAAGGAGGCACTTGCTTGCAGGGGAGGCCGTCTTGTTTCTTCACCAAACCACGAACCCCAATTCTTACAAAGCATGTGTAGCATAGCCAAATGGAAACATAAAAAAAGTGTCTAGTGTAACCTTTGCATATCTATTACTCTATCTATGACGACGGTTTCCGATTTTGGGTAGCTGCATAGTTCAGTCAACCCTGCGCTTCTATTCTTGTTGTGACATAAGTAAGAAATTGGGACGAAAGTGCAGCATAGAGAGAGAAGAACATACAGAGCTCCGGGAGTGCCTCCGTCAAAAAGCCCGTTGTATGTCTCGTAATCTTCGATCCGGTCCCGTTCGTTCGATCATTCTACCGCATCGCACAGCCCCGCCTCGTCCCCCTCTACCTTCCCTTCTTCTACCCCCTCCCCTCACCCCTCGTTTAGCCAAAGGCCTCGTTTAGCCAAAGGCCTCGTTTAGCCAAAGGCCTTGTTCATGGCCTGGTGGGCCAGCTCAACGCCCAGGAAGGTGGCGGCGTTGGCGGGCACGGCCCTCGCGAGGGCGGGCCCAAAGCCGGGGAAGAAGGCCTTGAAGCCGCCGCGGCCGTAGACGTCGCGGACGACGCCGCCGAGGGTGACGTTGCCCTCGGCGGTCTGCAGGCGGGACTTGACGGTGTCGACGGGGAAGACGGGGATCCACATGGCGACGCCGGCGGCGGCGCCAGCGGCGGTGATGGCGAGCAGGCTGAGGTCGCCGGTGGGCTTGCCGGTCAGCGGGTCCTTGGGGGTGAGGCGCCTCTTGATGTACTCGTAGGCGGCGAAGTATGCGGCGCTGCCGGGGCCGTCCCGGGCGAGGGTGGCGGCGCTGCCGCGGAAGACGGAGCGGAGGCCTCCCTCGGCGTAGAGCTGGCGGACGACGTCGGTGCCGCCGGCGTACTTGGGAGCCTCGCCGGGCTTGAGGCGCTGGGATTGGACCTGGAGTATGACCTTGACGCGCTCGAAGGGGGCGGTGATGGCAGTCATGGGCACGGCGGAGAAGAAGCCGGCGGCCGAGACCTGGGCGATGCTAAGGGGGGCCGAGGGGTCGGAGGAGGAGGAGGCGGAGCGGACGAGGGTCTTGCCTACATCGTAACCCCAGAAGGAGACGGCGACTGTTACGGGTCGAGGGGAGGTCAGTCTGGGGTTTGTTCACGTGCCGTGGTTCGAGAGGAGGAGGAGGAGGAGGAGGAGGAGGAGGAGGAGGGAAACGTACACATGGGGGTGACGCCGACCAAGGGCGCCGAGACGCCGGCGTACAGGCCCCTGCGCAGGCCGTCGCGGGCGATGCTCTTCTTGACGACGTCGATGGCGGACGAGTAGACGCCCTTGTCGGCGGTCTGCAGTCGGACCTTGACGAGGTCGAAGGGGTGGCCGACGACGACGGCGCAGACGCCGCCGAAGCCGCCGGCGGCGAGGGAGCGGAGCTGGGAGGCGAGGCCGGAGGCGGCAGCCTTCGCGTCGGCCTCGATCTCGCCCTTGGACTCGGGGATGTGGGGGATCTTGTCGGCGATGGGGTTCGGGAGGGCAGACTGGAGCTTGGCGTTGACGCCCGCGGCGGCTTCCGAAGTCGAGGGCGCCATTGTGCGGGCGAGCGGCGGGGTTGCGTGATTAGGAGGAGGAGAGGGGAGGGAGGAGAAAGAGGCGAAAGTTCTCGCGATGGGGAATGCGGGAGGGCGAAGAGGGTATTAGGTGGGTTGGCTGTCGTGGGAGGAGGGAAGTCCGGGGGAAAGGGAGGTTTCACGTGCCGGCGAGTTGAGTCGTGGTGTTTCTGTGGTGCTCTGCGCCGCAATAGCTCCCTGTGGGAGAGACAGAGAGAGAAAGAGGCTATCAATGGTTCCCGACCAGAGTCCCGTGCGGTCCGTTCCTGGCGCGCACGCGGGCTGCTCGACTAGCGGCTAGGAAGCTATCGTGCGTGCGGAATATGGGGGGGAAGAAAGAAGTCGGTGGTTTTTTTTTGGTTGTCCGTTGAGGCGGTGGTTTTCTCTGCACGGCCAGGCGCCAGTGAAGTAAATCGAGATGGGTGTGAGCTTTCTACGTCACAGCGAGCCTCGGCACACACACACACCCGCCCTCCAACTGAAGTCCCCACTTGTAGCCGGAGTCTGGGGGGAGGCCGGCTTTGGTATGATCCACTGGGGGAGGGGGGATTTCTCCAGATAAATCGGGGCTTTTTGTGGTCTTCTGGCTTGTGATGTTTCTGTTTGCGGGCGTGGGCTCTGGTTCACGAAGATGCAAAGATTTCGAGGTTATGCAGTGGTTCTAGAAGAAGAGCCGGTACAACTGACTAGAAAGTCTAAAAAAGGACAGTTTCCCCAAGAGACAACTTTTTTTCTTTTCTTTCCAACAGAGCTCATCCTGGGCATGCGGAATGGAACTGTGAAGTGACTTTCTTTCCCCTTTCTGGTGCAACTTGGCCGCCGGTTCAGCGCTTGTGCACTGGTGCCTCGGTCGTTCGGCTCATTTTTGGTACAGCGCAAATGCTCGGTCCGGGGGGAGGGGGCTCGCACTTGGGGGAGAGGAGAACCTGGGCTAAAAACCGGGGGCCCTGCTTTAGCGGGGGAAACGCGGCGCTGCGCCGTCGACCTGGAGAAAACATGCACATGTCGTGTGCGGCGGCCACCTGCGAATAGGTACCACCGGCATGCCCATCGTGCCTATGTAACGATGGGTTTAATCTTGTCTGGATGCAAATATGCCGGAAGCCAGCCACGTATTCGGGTTTCCTTGTCGTTCTTGGTCCCAGCATCGACTCGCGATTGTGTGATCCCAAGTATATGGTTGAAGGATGACGGATGCTGGATGCTGGTAGTGGGGGAAAGCGGTAAATGGGACGAAAGTCAATTCCACAAAGCCGCCCGTCCTCCCATGCGGCTTGCCATCATCTTCGTCACGGTAAACGCAATACGCGATTGAGACACTCGGACGCCCTCTGTCTTGAGGAGAGACTCTGCATCCCATCAGCACAGCCCCACGGTGAGCCGGCGCTTTCCCTTCGGTCCACCGCTTACCGCCGCGACACGCATCCCGTCGGTAGGCTATTTGTAGCATTCCCCCCCGCGCTCGCCTTCCTCCATCTTGGACCGCCCATCCACACCAGATTGAACACCCCCCTGGTCTGGTCTGGTCTGGTCTGCAGGTCAAGTGACGACACTCCCCAACCCCCACCACACAAGGTCAACACCAAGAGCTGCGCCGGGCGGACGGAGGTCATGGAAAATTTGAAAAGAACTGGCAAAACCCAAGCTGCCACGACCTCCTATTTGACCAACGACACGATGCAGGGGCGGGGATAATGGATTGGCTCTTTCTTCCATGTTTTGTGTTGTGACCCCAGACCACCATTCTGTTACGGTGACAGGCACATATCGGGTCGACGGACGCTTCTGTCCCTGTCCCAAACCGCCGATCACGTCTTCCACGGCAATCACCTTCAGTAAACTGCAACATGAAGTCTTGTTTACAAGGGTATCTACTTCTTTCCTTTTTCTTCTTCTTCTTCTCTTCTTGAGTGCCCATTGCCTCGCGCGCGTGCAACAGGCATGCGGCGTTCATCTACTCGAGCAAGGTCTCTGAATGGCTGTAACAATGCTTCCTTCCCATGATGCCCAGTTCCTGTGTATGAACGTCCCCCGAGACTCTAACAAGAAAACGCAAAACACAAGGAGCTGTTTCCCACACCCAACTGGCTTGCTATGTTTTGTGTTATTCTCGTTGGACTCCAAGGACTTGGGTAAGTTGCCAAGGCCCAAGTCTTCTGAGAGTCGAACAAGGATAACGCAAAACACAACAGGCCGTTGATCGGCATAGAGAGGAAGGAATATGGCTCAGCAAGTGCTAGGCCTCGCGAAAACCCTTCTACAAGAAAAGTAAATGGGGGGGATTTCTATCACCAAGCCTCTATGCGGTTCTCCTACGCCCCCTCTGTTCCGCCGTCTAATCCATGAAAGAACAAAATAGTACGCGGACTAGACTCCTCTAAGCTCTGCTTCGTATGGTCGTCGTAATCCGCCAACGGCTCGACAATGGTCGGCACAGGCGTCACCGCCGCCGCGCATTCTCCTACAAGGTCCTCTTGAGCGGCATCGTAGCCAGGCCCGTCGACCGTCCCACTCCACACCAGCAGCTGGCGTCTCCCTCCCTCTCGACCTGGACCACAATGTCCATTGAGTTCTTGAGGAGGTGCTCCCTCACCCGGTCCCGTACTTCATCGAGGCTTGCGCCCCGGCCCGCCACCACGTGCACAATACCCCGCAGTTTGTCGCCCGATCCCTCGTTGCCGCGGTCGTCCATCCAGAACTTGGGTACCGAGTAGTTGACGACGCCCTTCTGCTGCAGAATCCCCGCCAACGTGTTGCGCAGGTTGTACTCGACGTCGTCGGGGACGTTGAGGAGAAGGTTCCGTGCAGAAGACTTAATAAGCGGGACCGATGCCAGGAAGATGAGGATTGCGATGGCGCAGGACGCGAGAGGGTCCCAGAATGTCCAGCCCGTATAGTACGTCAAAATAGTCGATAGCACCACCGAGGCGCTCCCCATCGTATCGGCCAAAACATGCAAAAAAATACCCTCCATATTGTCGTTGTGATGCGAGTGCCCGTGGCTGTGCTTCTTTCCGTGCGAGTGATCATGCCCATGGTCGTGTCCGTCGTGCGAATGCGAGTGTCCATGGCCATGATCATGGCCATGGTGGTGGTGGCCGAAGCCCCAGAGACCCAGCAGGTTGATGACGCCGCCGAGGAAACTGACAATGAGAAGCTCTCTTAGCCGGTGGAGCTCCTGGCCTTCCCATATCCGTTCAAACGCCTCCACGATGATTTCGACGCTCAGCAGCCTGGTATCTGTTAGCCTTCATGCGGCTGCATCGAATGGTGTTGATAGAACCCACATCAGCAAGATGCCGTTGGCAAAGCCACTCAGTGTCTCAATCTTTCCTAGCCCAAAGGGAAACCGCTGGCTTTGGGGCCATTTGCTTGTAACCGCGGCACAAAGCCCGACGAAGAGCGCAAAACAGTCGAAGAACATGTGGATCGTGTCGCTTAACAGGCCGAGAGAGTCGGTGACGTAGCCGTAGAAGGCCTGTACGGCCATGAAGCTGAAGTTGAGACTGCAGACGCCATGTCAGTTGGGGCACGACCAGCGACTGTGCCAGCTAACTCACGTCATGAAGTAGAAGATCCTTCTTGAGTCCTTTTCTACGAGGATGGTGTGGAGAACCGGAACGGCCGGCGTGTACTTCAGCAAGGCCCTTGTGAACAACGATGGCTTGGCGTGGTCGTGACTGTGGACGTGTGAGTGGTCATGATGATGGTGTTTATCGCAATGTCCATGAGAATGGTCGTGAGAGTGGTCATGTTCGTGGTGGTGGTGGTGGTGGTGGTGGTTTTGCTGATAGACTATCTTTGTTTCGTCGAGAGGTTGGAATGTCGCCGAAAATGACCCAGTTGTCGGCGTCAATAGCTGGCGTCCGCTCGGTGTAATTTCTGTTTTCCAGCCCTCCATTGTCGCGAGCGACTGAGGCGGCGCTTTTCCTCGAGGAAGAGAAGATTGGCTCGAGTTCGTCCGGCAGTGCGAGTGTCCGTCATGGGTGTGACTGTGTGGCGGCTCATGATCGTGTGTGTGGCCGCTCCCGGTCGAGTCTTGGCTTTGGCTGTGGGAATGCAGCCCGCCGTTGGACATCGTCGACTTCAAGGCATGGAGGGATGGCGGTGAGTGCGAGTGAGAATGCATGTGGTGATGATGGGCGTGGGGGAGGGCGGAGGATGGCAAGGCGTAGGACGAGGCCATGTCGACCGCGGCGCGTTGGGGAGGTCGATCTGGGAGCCGAGTTCCGGGGTCGAAATCGGCGTCGCTGTCGTTGTCGCCGTCGTTATCGGCGTGGACGTTGACGGAAACAGGAGAGGAAAAGGTCGTCTCTCGTCCGCTCTGTCGTGTTTTCTCTGGGTTGTCCTTGTTCGTCTCTCCACCGAGGCCCGTTGATTCGAGATCTGTACCCCGTACTTAGGTCCCCCCTATCATGGATAGCCCCGAGTCATGAACTGGATGTCACCCGTATTGTTTATTTTCTCCGTGGCGTCTCGAAGACAATACCGACGACAGCGACAACGACGACAATGTGGGATGGCAGCGATTGTGTGAATCGGCAAGTCGGTTCGCAAACTGCGGTGTCGCAAGACATCCAAGGCTGTGGAGCTGGGATGGGGGCGGGGGGGAGAGGAGGCAAGAGTCGTGCGCACGGCGTGGTGTAGTATTTTCAGCCGAGAGCGGCGGCAGCGTCGACGTTCAGGGGATCTTGGCAGGCTAAAAGGGCCAGCCGGAATGGAGTCGCCCCGTCAATGACGTTGCGCCGCAATCGTCACGCTGGTGGGCGGCCGAGTCTTTTGAGAGGGGAAGGACGGGAGATTTGATGATCAATGGACGTGCTGGCCAATAGCACAGGTAAATCTGGGAGTAACGGATGCAGACAGGCTGGCTCGGAATGAGGCCTGACTGGAGAGAGGCAATTAGATCAGAGTGAACAACAAGCAGCTACGAGCAATCGCTAGTAGAGTACGTGTAGTATGCGAAATGTGGGATGCGAGCGTTGATGTGTTATTTTGTGTTTTGTTTTTTTGGCCAAACTCACGGGATGCATGGCTTGCCGGGTGGTGCCTCCTTTCAGCGCCTTCAGATGAATCTCGCGCCTTGTCCCAATAAGGAATCCAGCAGCCATCCCCTGCAGATTTCTCCGTGTGGGGAGGACAAGCCGGCGGCACGTTCGTTGTGGCAGTGGATGTGATTCGTCATTGTAATTAGACTAGACAACCCTCAGAAGAGGAGAGGGGACGCTTGGCTTGCTGCCGAGCTGCTGCTTGGAGCTGGCTGCATAAAGTTGCCCATGCAGGCAAGCGACACAGGGGCATAGATAATCTGTGATGGGACGACTGCGGAGAAGGCGGTGAGGTGGCTAACACTTATCATCGGGCTCGCACTATCTACCTACCTAGTGTACGGATACCTATGACCTATGAGCAGTACGTACGAGTACGTACCCTCTGCAATGTAGTGTACGGTTGCGGCCCCATCGTGACATGTTCTCCCCTGGGCGAGCCATGCCTGTCTAAGGAGTTCGGGATCGCAGTGTCGCAGACAGGCATCAATGTCTTTGCTTTTGTTCTATTTTGCTCAGGCTTCTGATGGTCTGTGTCGGTTTTGCATGTGCGACAGATGGTTTTTCATTGATTGGGTGACGAAAAGGAGGGTCGAATTATCCTTTTCCAAGGCGCAAGGTAATGTCAGTTGTGCAGATTATGAAGGTGTGAAGAGCACTCTGATACAGACCGACAAGGATCATCTATTTCATCGACTGTCTCTTGCACGAAAGAGAGGGTCAATTAGGCACCTACTAAGTACGGAGTACGTACCGAGTGCTTGTCTTATCGGCCACGTGACACTTTCACTCCCACTCCCTGAAGCTTTGCTATCGGGTGCGACGACCACTGATTGGCGCCACCGTTGCAACATCGCAGAGTCCATCCCAAGTTGGAAGGCGCGAACGAAGACGATAGGGTATCTAGCCTTCCTACCTGCCCTGGAAAGTAGTGCATCCTCGGTCCTCAGACAAGAGGCCATCGTCGGTCGCGCGATACTTTGGGCAATTTATCTTTTTTCGAGCTTCATTCGCTTGGAAAAATAAGAAGAAGAAAAAAAAACCCCCGTAAGGCCCGCACCTCATGTGGCAAGAACGCTATATTGCAATTTCAGATGACAGGACGGGCCAGGTTGCATAACCTATACCACCACCACCACCACCGTATCTGATGGTTGGCGATCATCCTGAATATCCACCACATCTTTCATCGCCCCTTCTGGCCGACTGCCTCAGCTCACGCGACGAATTCCGCACAGCCGCATGATTATCCGTCGCACCTCGCCAATATGTCGATTGTGCCTCTCGTGGTCTCTGTCCTTGCTGGCATCTTCACCACTCTTGTCGCCGCCTTGGGCATCAACCTCTTCACGCGCCTGCTTCCAACCCGTTACCATGCAGCCGAAGACCCCAAAGATGATCACATCCAGATCTTGGTGCTGGGCGACATAGGCCGCAGCCCTCGGATGCAGTACCACGCCCTGAGTATCATGAAACATGGAGGCAGGGTCGACCTCGTCGGGTACAAAGAAACGGCCCGCCACCCGGGGCTTGTTGGCAGTGAGCGAGTGGCTCTCTACCCTCTGCCTCCCCTTCCAACTGTGCTTCAATGGAACACATTGCCGTTTTTCTTCAACAAGCCTGCCAAGGTCATCTGGCAGAGTTGGTCCATCTTCTATGTCCTGGCCTACACGGCGCCTCCGGCCCGATGGATCATTATCCAGGTAGGCGAATCGTCACTCTATGATGCGCATGGCTGACTCTCCCAGAACCCCCCGTCCATCCCGACCTTGCACTTGGCCCTGCTTGTATCTCTTTTGAGGGGAAGTCACCTCCTCATCGACTGGCACAACTATGGGTGGTCCATCATGGCGACCGGCCGCAGCCAGAAGAACCCTCTCGTTTGGCTCTACAAGAAGTACGAGACCTACTTTGGCAGGATTGTGCCCACCGTCAACCTTACTGTCACCGATGCCATGGTGCGCCAGCTCAAAGCGAAGCCCTACAGCAACAAGAAGCCTATCTTCACCCTGCATGACCGTCCTGCCGAGGTGTTTCAACCTATCGGATCGTCTGATGCTCGCTTGAAATTTCTCTCGGGGCTCAAAGAGACTAAGAACTTTGCTCAAGGCATCGTTGCCGGTACTACACGCCTCATCGTTAGCAGCACCTCTTGGACACCCGACGAGGACTTTGGTTTGCTCCTAGACGCCCTCGTCGCCTATGCGCACCCCGAAGAAGCTGCCACCGAAAGCAGCGCAGGCAGGCCTCCGATTCTAGCCATCATCACTGGCAAAGGACCCCAAAAGGCCGAGTACGAAGAGAAGATTAAGAACCTCCACCTCGAGGGTAAGCTCCCCGGCATCACAATATTGACCGCTTGGCTGTCCACTCGCGAGTATGCCACGCTCCTCGCTTGTGCCGACCTTGGTGTTTGTCTACACATGTCTAGCTCTGGTGTCGACTTGCCGATGAAGGTAGTCGATATGTTCGGCTCGGGTTTGCCTGTAGCAGCATACTCTGCGTACGAGAGCTTCTCCGAGCTGATCAAAGAGGGCGTGAACGGATGCGGCTTTGAGACGGCCACAGAGTTGGCCGAGGCCTTGACCAGGTTGTTGAGTGAGGGTGGCAAGGACGAGCTGAAGAACCTCAAGGCAGGAGCTGTGAAGGAAGGAAGTTTGCGTTGGGATGAAGAGTGGGATCGCGTTGTCGGGCGGATTGTGGGAGTGATTGACAGCTGAGATGCTGGGTTCAAATAGTAGTTCTTGATACCTACCGGCTGTTGGCTATGTGGAGAGATCTGTACATTCACGATGACTATGGTATTATTACTGTAAAGATGGAGGATCCGCAGAGTAACTACCGACATGTTAGTACCACAAAAATGTTGTGGAAATTATGACACTTTCGAAACCATCAGGCGTCCCAGATTCGGAGACCAAGAAGCAAAAGATTGATTTCGCCCGGACTTGAACCGGAGACCTTCAGTGTGTTAGACTGACGTGATAACCAACTACACCACGAAACCATGTGATGAGAACAACGTCTCTGATGGCACATGTGACATTTCCATTGCTAATAATCTTGTCTCATGCAGAAGTTTGGGTCCACTATGGGGCTGTCAACAACACTTTGGAGACCAATAGAAGTGCGTGTAGGCTGTGGTGTGCTGTGTTTCTGCCTTTTGTACTCTTGCTGGTCGAGATCTGGTTTTCTATTAAACAACGCAACCACTCACTTTCACCGCACAAGATAGGCATTCCAAAGATTATCAAACGGCTACTCGGTATGATTGCAAGAACTCTTATCTTGTTGAACAACTAAAACTTTACTTTCTTGTCTTTTTATGCATACAGGTGAATTCGGTGGGTGACTCTGATTTGAGTAGGAGCACCCTAGCAGCCAGCAGTGTTACTACGTCGGGCAAGCTAAAGAGAAGGCAAACCTCGAAGAACGAAACGGGCTCATATGTGCTTCCTGTCGTACGCACCATGTCCATACTGTCGGATTGTCCAAATGGATTCCCTGTTCCTTCCAGTTTAACATTCAACAACCATCGTTCAGGTCCGCGTTCAGAGCCAGTATCCTCTTGACGGCAAACGCTGCGGCCACCATGATCGGCGCCTGCGTGTTGCCAGTGGGAACCTCGGGATGCATACTCCCGTCCACGACGAACAAGTTCTCCGTGCCCCAGACCTTGGTGTCCGGGTCGACCACGCTCTTGCCGTTGTTTTCGCGGCCCATCTGCGCGGTGCCCAGGTAGTGGCTGCCGCTGCCCGCCTTGGCGACGATGGCCTCCGCCGTCTCATTCTTGGCGACGCTCAGGATGCTGCCGGGCCGACGGGCGTAACCCAGCAGCGTGTCGACCATCTTGGTCAGGGCCTCGCGGTCGCCCTCGGTGTGGAGGAGCGGGTTCAGCGTCATGTTTGTGATTCCGTCGGCCGTGATGCCGACGGTGCCGACGGACGTGGTGCCGTGGGTGAGGTACACCTTGACGCCGATCGTGTCGTTGCTGTCGGCGCGGACGGTGCCCTGGACATGACGGGTGGCTCCATCGGTCGTGTTGACGCTTGTCCAGAAGTTCAGACGCTGGCCCGACTGCGCCAGAAGGCCACTGCCGTGGGCGAAGAGCTCGACAGACTCCCGGTCCGGGCTCGTCCACGCCGTTTTGGGTAGGGCAGCAAGCGCGTCTTTGGTCTGGAATGTGACGGTCGCCACGGCGTGGTCCTTGAGGTTCTCACCGACGGGCAGCTCGATCCACTGGTCCCTGGGCGGGAGCTCAATGTCCGTCGTCCCGGTGGCGACGGTGCTGATCTGTGCGGCGGGGCCGATGCCCGAGTTGAAGAGCACACGGGGCGTGGAGTGGGTGCCGGCGGCGAGGACGAGGGAACCGCCCTTGGTCAGGTTGATGATCTCCCGGGCGCCAGACTCGTGCTCGACCTCGACGCCTGTGACGAGGCTGCCGTCTCGCACGGCGCGAAGGACCTTGGCGTGGAGCTCGAGGGTGAAGTTAGGGAGGGCTTCCGCATTCGGCAGGATGGCTCTGACTGGGCTGTCACGTAGACCGTGGGCAATCTACAAAGCACCGTCAGTCAATGTCGCATGTTGATGACGGAGGCATTCACGACTTACCGACCACGGAGGGTGCGAGTACACCAACTCCTTCGCCTCGACATTGCTCAACGCATCCTGCTCACTCCAACCGTTGGCCCCCAAGAAGCGCGACATGACCTCGTACGCCCCGTCGTCGTATCGCTTCCCGTCCTCCGATGCCAGAATCGTCCCCGGCAGGTGCTCGTACAGCTCCTCCGCCGCTATCGCGACCCCGTTCTCCCAGCGCCACTCCTCGGGCCACCCCGAAAAGTCCGCTGCACGCGGCCTGACGAACATGAGCGCGCTGAGCATCGTCGACCCGCCGAGCATGCACCCGGCAGCGATGACGAGGTCCTTGCAGTACTGCAGGTCTGGGTCGGCGCTCGTGAAGTCGGCCAAGCCCGGGACGTCGTACATGGTGACGGTATCGTTCCACGGCACGGTCTTGTGGTTGCCCGACACGTAGAAGGCTGGCCCGCCGCGCTCGACGAGGAGCACGCTGCTGCCCGAGGCGGCAAGGCGTTCGGCGGCCACAATGCCCGCGGTTCCGCCACCGGCGACGATGTACTCGTACGTCTCGTTGCGCGTGGTCGTGGTGTTAGATCGGGGCAACAGGCGGGCCGAGGTTGTCTCGCTCAGCGCGAGGAGCGCCGGGGCCAATGTGACGAGCTTCATGATGCCAGTTGACGATGGTCAAGAAAGGGGATGGCCAGACACTCCAACAGCAAAGCTTGCAAAGGAAAGGTCTTGTTGAAGTAGGCGGCGTATGAAAATATCTGCATGATTGATAAGATGAGATTGATTAGACGAGATTGATAACCTTTCTCTCCTGATCCGTACTATGCTACGGCATTTGGTACGCGCTCCACAATATCAGACGATCCTGACCAAGTAAGGCAGGCAGTGATTTCAAGTGTCGTGTGGATCTCGCAATATAAGCATACTCTGGAGTGAACGCTTCACTGGTTTCGACACGAGGACTCTCGCTGGAACGGGTGGGCCTTGGTTAAGGTTCGTCTTTCCTCGGTTAAATACCTCATACACGAATCACTAGGACCTTGTCATGTTGAGATGTTCTCAAGCGACGTGGAGACCGGCGATTCCGGCCGTCTGGATGGTAAGACTCTGGCGATCTCTGGTAAACTTGGTCAGCAAGGTTGCACGCAGCTACGTAACCAGCGGGCGGGATTTGATTTACTGGCCTTGGCGCTCGGCGTTTACGTTCTGCTCCGTTCAACGTGCCGAGACCGCCTTCGTGAATCCACCTGAATGCTGCTCACAAGTGTGTGTTGCTGTTCGTGAGGTCAAATTCTTGCAAGTCGGGTCCAGAGGTGACGGGATCTCGATTCTTGCCAGTGGTTTGAGTCGCCCGACGGGGTTGCGTACAAGCCTGTCTGATATATGTGTGCTACAGTTGATATCATAATATGAGGGTATCGGAACTCATCAAGTGTCTAAGATCTCAATACTGGAATCATAGCCTAAGAGCTATTTGTTGGCGCCGTCGGTAGCGGCTGCGTTCACTGGACAGTCTGTTTACTGCTAATGTCATGTCAACGAGGACCTGACGTTTTCCAAAATGCACAAACTGGAAGAAGTCTTCCTTATGTAACTCCAAGCGATCTTTTTCTTATATGAACAATTACCAATCATACACAAGCAGCATGATAGCGTCACGTCCTTAAGCTTTGAGCCGTCCGGGCCTAGACTTAGGAGGGGCCGCATTGGCAACGTACCTTAGTCCGAAACTAGGTAGACCGTTACGACCCCACTTTCACGGCCGGCGGTCGACATTCAGTCGGGGGATTAACTTTGTCACAAAGATGACAATCTTATCATTGGCGAAAAGCGGGCATAATCCTTGATACGCCCATAAGTATCTTTGCGGCACAGCGCAGGCAGACATGTCCTTGTTGGGCAGGTCTGAGAGCTTCTCCAGGCAACAGAGGGCCTAGCAGGGGTCGTGCCTTTTCCGTTGCTGCATGCCATGAGCCCAACCACAACCAACAGCATATCGCTTCGTTACTTTACAGCCCGGCTTGCATCCGATTTGATGATCCTCATGTATTGCCTCATATGTACACAGACGTTGCTTGCTACTCTCTCCGCTTCATCCCAACAGTCAATGGGGTGGAAGTCATTGCGCGCTCACTTGTACGAGCCGCTCGTGAATCGGGATGGACAGATCGGTACCGCCTAATCTAGTCTCCTTCCTAGACGAGAAGTGTGACTCAAAGCGACGTGCTTGCCGGGCTTCCAGATCCACTCAAGATAACAATGTGTGCCCATGATAGATATATGAAGCCTCCAATCCAGAGATCCAAAAACATTGATCTCAATTATCGGTCGACTCTCTTACCTTGATAGCCGACGCCATCTTGTCTATAGTCCGCCATGGGTGATGAACAGTTCCAGAAGCGCCTCGAGTTGGTGAGAGATGTCATCAAAGGCTACGGCTTAGAGGTAAAACTATCCTTCCCGTTTAGCCCCCCACCATTTAACATGTGCACTTCCCAGCCCTTGGACATTGCCACCGTGGAGTACGAGGAGAATTGCCCGTTCCAGTACAACAACTTTATTTACAAGATTACACTTTCGACCCCGGCAACCGCATCCTCCATTCCCAATCCTAGCCCCTATACCGTGGCCCCGCCACAGGAGGGTGTGTCCACCCTTATCATGCGCCTCGCAAACCCGAAGGCAGAGGGCATTGTTCACGAAACCCGTGTCGAGAACGAGGTAGCCGCCATGCACCTCGCCCGCCAGGGCCTGTTGTCTTCGGCCAAACCAGACACCGCGGCGCTCGTCCCGGCGTTGTATGACTGGCAGTCTCCCAACAACTGCCCGTCCAGTTTTGGGTGGTCTTTGATGGAGTTCAAAGATGGTGTGCCGCTTGACGGAGTGTTTCGGGACATGCCTATCGAGGACATGAAGGAGGTGCTGGGACAGATTGCGGACATATTTACGGGGATCCAAAAGTCTCCGCTACCGGAGAGCATTTATGGTCATGGAGGCATGACGATCGATGGAGAGGGGAACATTGTGAGCGCTCAGATGACCACGCTCAAAGGCGGGCCTTGGGAGTCATACTCCGCTTTCTGGAAGGCAAGGCTGGCGCTCCGTATGGAAGATGCTGGCGTGAGCCCGGCTTTGGACGGTTGGAAACCGAATGGCGTCCGGGAGCGCATTGATAAGTTTCTAGCCGTAGGTCTTGAAAAGTTCCTCGACGAATCCGGCGTGGACGTTGGAAGGCGCAATATTATCCACGGAGATCTAAGTAAGTTTTTTCCACATCACTTCGCATCATCTCATATGTCGAGAAGACTTACATCGGTCCTCAGCCACGAACAACATGCTTTACGATCCCAAGACAAAGAAGGTGACGTCAGTCCTCGACTTCGACTGGGCCTTTGTATCACACCCCTGCCACGAATTCTTCACTTCCCTTGGCGACATAGGCGGAAACACCGGTGGCGGCACTGGGCGCGACCCGGACCTCAGCGGCGGTCAGCTAGGCAAAGCTATAATAACAGGCAACTTTGACATTCCCGACGTCCCAGAAGAAGCCCTCAAGCAGTTGGCTAGGGACAAGGCGTGGGATGACGCGCTGGCAGAAAGGGGGGCGTTGAGACCGAGTGAGATTGAGGGTATGTCTGCTCTGGACGAGCTGAGAAGGCTTGAAGGCTTGCTTTGTCCCTTTGCGCTAGAGCATCCGGCCATGTTAAAGAGAAAAACGCCAGAGGAGATTGCGGAGATGAGAAAAGCGGCGGAGGAGAAGTTGATAGACTGTTTGTCTTCATTCGGATACTGAAGGAAGTTCGACAACCGGGTCTTTTGGTCGACCCAATAATCTCTCTAAATACTCTAGCATTGTGAGACCTAAGTCGGTGTATTTATGATGAATTTTCGAGTGCTTGGTCTTCAAGGATTATATAATCCTAGCGTGGGCGCTGAAAGTTTTGACCGATTGTTTGGTGCTTATATCATGATGAAATTGTAACCCCCTGATAGGGTATGCCAGCTGCTCGAGCGCCGCGCTTGCATATGTCTCAATCTTGGTTTTCTATCAGACCTTTCACTTCACCAAGTTTTGGTCGCAATCGACCTTACATATCTCAAGGTTGGGTCTCACAGCCTTTTTTTTCCAGCGTGAGTTGGAAGTCTTCAAGAAGGAATAACTACTAAACACTATCTAACCCTTATGAATTTCGCCTCGGATCAGATATAACTCAGTAGAACGGGCCTATGGCCTCGTATCGTGTGTGTATAGAATTTCTTCCAAGGGCGACTTTCTCTTCAGCGGCCGGCCGGCCTGCCAATCTCACCCCGTCGCCATTACGACCTTGGTGGTAGATTCAACAGTATCATCATCGCCGGTCGTCGCCGACGTTCCAGCGCTCAGAGATCGTTCACGCATGCAGTCGTGGTTGAAATGAAGTCAGATTCGGCAATTGCTTTGCGTTATCAGGTATGCTATACCGTATTAAGAGGTTGAGATATCGGACAGGTCGGAGGTGCTGCGTATCGTGTTTCTACGTACTGTGATATTACATATGTATCGGGTGAACTGCACTAGACTGCTTCCGGGAGTCAAGAGCGACTATATTTATCAACAACTCACTATAAAAATAATATAAAACATCCGAGAGCTTAGACCGTCTAATTGTCCATAATATACTGTTGGAAGAAACACGTAACGCCATGAGCGATACTGGTTGCAAATTTGATACTGTGTGATACATGCTTTATGATGTATCACCGAATCGCTATTTTAGATATTCAATAAGAACGTTTACCGAATCTGTGTACATATTAGTGCTTAGGAAGCCTAACAGCATGTAATGAGATACGTAGCCAAGGCGGTCCCTTGTAAGGTCGTACAGGTACATGACAATACAAGAGCACAGCCTAACAGCATGCGTCATGCAAGGCAGGACGTTCCCCTATGTCGCCTCAGACGGTCCGTTAATCTAGTTGAGGAGGACTTCGGACGCCGAGTCCTGTTCGGTTTTTTCCGTGGACCCTGGGAGCTGTCGCTTTTACTAGGTCATTGCTTAGATTATGACCGAAGCAACTTCATATTTAAAGAAGTATCATATTGGCATGGAGACTTTATTTCACGCAGAATAAACGTGTCGACATAGTTTTGCTTTCGCTTTATCACGAGCCGCTATAGATGGTATAATATCTAGCTTTTTTTTTTATTGCCTTGACTCTTATCGTATTGCCGTTGTCGGATCTAAAAAGCTTATGAACTCCAACCGATGTAGCCTGAAGCTGTGTATGCCGAGGTTGTCAAACTGAGATAATTTGCTACAGAAACGTCACTAGAAATGAAACCAGAAATGAGCTAGTGCGGCAACACTATCACCAGGGTCAGATGAAGGAACTGCATATTCAAATTGCCGTCCATTTTTGATTGTGTCAGTGAATATCGACGTGTGTATCATAGTTTGATAAATAATATTCGCAGTAGACTACCAAAACAATCTAAGTTTGGAACTGCAAGAAGCTAATTTGTGTGTGGCCCACAACACCACCCGCGCCATCAGCATAGCCGAGTCATACATTAAGCCGCCATGCCAGGGTTTCCCGACATCATTGACCCCCATTCACTGGAATATTGCCCGGGGCCATTTAGAATAAAATAAGCTCTTTCCGTCCGACAACCCCATGTGAAGTGGTACAAGCTCGGGCAATGCCAAGATAAGGTGATACTGATGTGCGTTTCTCGTTGGAGCGTTTTTTCGGGCCCGAGCTTATCCCCTCCGCAGGCACTCTTTGAAACGCGCATCGTGCCTTTCCGGGGAATGTTTAATTGTACTTGGCGTGACTCGATAAAAGCCAGCTCAAAAACCGTTTCTACCCCACTTCCACCATCGTCTGCCCGTCACGCCGCCGAGGGTGATGCTATAATCTTTGAGCTCAGGCAGAGGGTATTGATAGCCCAACCTCACACCACAAGGCGCCATCGTACAATATGCGCTGGCTTCACGCAGCCCTTCTGCTTCCTGTGGCTGTTTCTGCTACCTTGAACCTGAAACAGTACAAACCATCATTCTCCCAACAGCAGTTCCCGAGTCCGGAGGAAGATAGCCCCCATCATGTTGTGAGCAAGATGCAGAGGGAACCAAAGTTCCTGACCAATCAGACTCGGAGTGTGTATCTTGTCTCCCGTTAATCAAGCGCAAATCTGACCTCGACATGCACAGAGTTCGTGGTCAACGGCACTGCGTTACCTGAAGTCGACTTTGATGTTGGTGAGTCGTACGCAGGACTGCTCAACATCGACAAGAACAATGATACGGCCGGGAAGCTGTATTTTTGGTTCTTCCCATCCGCGAGGGAGGTAGCGGACAAAGAGATTCTCATCTGGTTGACTGGAGGTGTAAGTCGAAGACATACACACCGTATATAACGGTTACTGATTTTGCAACTCGCAGCCCGGGTGCTCTTCAACCGGAGAGCTTCTTTCGCTCAATGGCCCCATGCTTTGGCAACCCGGCATGTACAAGCCCATCAGAAACAAGTGGAGTTGGCACCGAATTACCAACGTCGTTTGGATAGATCAGCCCATCGGTACAGGCTTTTCCCAGGGTACGCCAAATGCGAAGGACGAATTCGATGTCGCTCGACAATTCCTCGGCTTCTGGCGCAACTTTGTTGACACCTTCGCCATGCAGGGGTACAAGGTCTACGTTACGGGTTCCTCTTACAGCGGCATGTACTGCCCGTATATCGCTAGCGCTATGCTCGACAGTAACAACAAGGAATACTTCAATGTCGCTGGGATGCAAGTCTTTGACGGAGTGTACTCGGTCGAAAGTGTTGGCGAAGAGATCCCGGTGGCTTCATATGTCGATCGGTGGCAGAATGTGTTCGCGTTCAACGACTCTTTCCGTCAGACGGTGAAGGACACGAGCCAGAAATGCGGCTACGACGACTATATGCGCAAGTATCTCGTCTATCCGCCCACACAGCTGCAGCCGGGGATGCCTCCGGGTGTCGATGAGGATGGCAACGTCAAGCCGGCGTGCGACGTTTGGAGTATGGTTCAGGCGGCCGCGGCGGAGATCACGCCATGCTTCAGCGTTTACACCATCACCAACCTGTGCCCGCTCAAGTACGACCCCCTAGGCTTCAGCGACGGCTCGATGTACAGAGCGAAGGGGTCCGGGCCCGTGTACTTCAACAGGGAGGACGTGAAGCGGGCCATTAACGCTCCCGTGGATAAGGAATGGGTGTTTTGCACAGAGACGCCGGTCTTCATCAACAGGACCGACAACTCCATCAAAGAAGGGCCCGGTAGCCAGCCTGTGCTGCCCAACGTCATCGACAGGACGCACAACGTCATTCTGGCCCACGGCACCAAGGATTTTATCCTCATCGACGACGGCACGCTTCTTACAATCCAGAACCTGACTTGGGGTGGACAAATGGGATTCCAAACGAAGCCGACGGCGCCGCTTTATGTGCCCTACCACAACAACAACAACCCGGAGACCCTTGCCGGCGCAGGCGTGATGGGAACAGTGCACTCCGAGAGAGGGTTGACTTACCTTGCAGTATCTACAGCGGGTCACTTCCTGACAATGGATGCGCCGTCCGTCGCGTTCCGCAGTGTCGAAGTGCTGGTCGGAAGAAGAGACGGGTTCACCAACAAGCCGTTCACTTTTGAGGGCAACGCAACCGCGGCGATGCCGATAGGAGAGGCCGGCAACGGTACTGTGGTGATGTTTCCGCAGTCCGCGGATTCCCGGTGCAACCCGCTGTCGGGCGCCGAGCCGATAAGAAGCGACGGAACGCCAATACGGGCGAAGAATGGCCAATCGGTCTTTGCGTTGGCTTTGGCGGCTACCCTAGCCGTGGCTTTGGACTTGTAAGGCTTTGGCGTCTCAAGCAGTGGGGGATGGAAGGGCACATCTACAGCAGACATGGCCCACGGCCTCAAAAACATTAAGACTGCCGGCCATTGGCCTCCCGTGATACAAAGTGATTCAGCTTTCATTGAAGACCGATCTCTTGATCATAGGATGTCCTAAAATCCAATGACTGGAGCTGCTGCTTCCAATCCCCGGTGGCGATTTATTAATGATCCCAACTTGCTACCCAGTGAAAGTCATTTCTTGATTTCAGAAAGAGATGTCACATATAGGTGTAGCTGACACTCTTTCTGCGAGGCGTTTATGAAAGCTGACTAGCAGGCCATTGATTCTTACTTGGGTTTGGGCCAATTGAAGATTTCTGCGGTTGAACCAAAGTTGTGGAGGCATTGAAGGTTTGTTAAGTGACGCAACTGTGTAAGTACTGAGGGTGGAAGTTTCAGTCCGCTCCTTTTCGAATGAGACACATTCATGTGTAGACATACTTGGATCGTGATACAAGCAAGGCGATTGCATGTTGGCAGCAGGCTGGAAGAGAAGAACATGAACCATACAAGGTGAGACTGCGCGCTCTGCTGAAGCCCCCAAGTCTTTCGTGCACGTACCGACCTGGGTGCGTAGCTCGGAGACCATTTCAGCTCACAGCCCAGACTGATGATATCCACGGAACAGAGGTACTTGTTACATGATATTATTCATCTAATCGAGGGAAAATGTGAAGATTACAAAATTTATTCCGCCCATACAATTCGAATCACTTATTATATGTTGTGGGTCCGAGTGAATCATCGTATCAGGATGCTAGTGAGACTAAAACGAGTCGGGTATTCGTTTCGCTTGCTGGTTTTCTTTTGTTTGATGCTCAGATCTCAAATGCTTCATAATGGTTTTCGTGCATAAACCACGTGGCTGTGATAAAACTTTTTAGCCCAAACTCACACAGGTGGGATCGGGTTATACTCACATGGGCCAGTATGCATGTATTTCCCTATTTTTCAAATCGTTCCGCACCTCCGCCAGGAGAACGTCGACATTCTCTCTCGGCCACAGCAGCACCCGGGTGAAGATAGCAAGGCAGAGAGCCTCTAGGCCCATCATGGCGTTCTCGTGGCTCCAAGTGCCTTGCCAGAAAGTTAGTTATCTACTACATTGCGACAGTCGCACCTGGAATGGTGGATCGAAAAGGAACCAAGTTTTCGTCGTTCATTCGGTTTCTGGAGGGGGTTGTGGGGATGGCACTCACCCAGCTCTTTATGCCTAGGATGCCTGGCCCATTCGTTTGTCGGCCATTTGAAGATGGCCTCGTTCACGTTTACGAACCCCACCTCCCGAAGCTGGTCCTTGTACTTTGCGGCCGCACCGAACGGCGTACCCAGAGCCGCGGTCCCCTTTGCCAGGAGCTGACAGCACTGGACGAGCGCCGAGTCCTCCTTCAGAGTCCCGTCGTCGCACGTGGCAGGCATGCTGTCGGTGACCTCTATCCACCCCCCGGGGTTCAAATTCTCGTAGGCTTGCCGGAACAGAGCGGGGAAGTCTCTGATCCCGGCCGTGTTCATTCGGCTGTGGATGAAGTCAAACTTTTGCGAAAAGGTCCACGGGTGCTCCTCGATGTCCTCGATCTGAAAGTAGGCGTTGGGCGGCACATACGACGGCTGCACCGGGCTTAGGTCAACACCTATGACGGTGGAGGTCGGGTTGTTGTCGGCGAAGTCGATGGCCCAGATGCCGGTCCCGGTGCCGATGTCCAGCACGCGCTGGGGCGGGTTCTCGCGATCCAGGGGGGCCAAGTGAAGTCTGTTCCTCATGGTGAGGAGGAAGAGGTTGTGTTGGAGGTCCAGGCGGTCGAGCTCGAGGTCGTCGTTGGGCATGAGATAGGCGCCGTCCTTGTAGGCGTGGTACGTACGGCCGTTCTCCTCGCGGTAGCGGAGGATACTGCTTCGGAGAGACATGGTGGACGGCTGCACGTCGGCGCCGAGGGAGGAATCCAGATCGGACTCAGTGTCGCCGGCAGATTCGCTGTCGCTCGCCTCATCGGCGCTTGTCGTTGCGGAGTCGTCATCGAAGTCGAGTGCGGGCTCGGTCTCGGCGGCGGCTGATGCAGGAGGCGCATCTCCGGCCGACATTTTGGGGAACCGGTGGCTCGCAAATCAGGTGGACTGTTTTTTATTCTTATTTTTAAAAAGCAGAATTCTCTTGACCAGCTGATGTTTCACAATGATTTTGAGCCGCAGACAGACATCATCGCTTCTTTTCTTCGAAAAAAGGGAACGGCAACCGAGAGAAGTCCACACCCGAAGACGACAATACCTCGACGGGGGGGTGGGAATCGTGGAGACGGTCAGTGGAAATTATCTGTTGGTCACCGCGGTTGGAAAAGGAAAAAAAAGGAGAAAAAAACAGGAACCAACGCGCTTTACCAACTGCACCAACAGAAACTTGAAGCAGTCTTGATTGGGCGAGACCGCAACCCCACGATACCTGCGCTTGTTTCTCTCCTTTTCGCCCACTGTCACAGTTCTCGCGTTCCTCTTAATAGTGGTGGTTGTTCGCCTATGTACGGATACCGTACTATCAATCGCAAGATGAATGGAAGACAGGCGGGCCAGCAAAGCGGACCAAATACGACAACAAAGATGAGTGAAAGATAACCCCGCGGTTGGGCCTACTGAATGGGGGAAGGGGGGGGGGATATCGGGCAAGGGGTGGTTGGGAAGTCTGGGCATTCATCGAACGATGTCCTGCGCTGACTCCACCCGGAATGGGCATGACCGCCTGCGGGAGAGCGGCGTAGGTGTGGACACAAACGCTTGTATGTATGCAGTATGCAAACCCCTCTTCTGCGCACCCGGATTTGTGTAAATTGGCTCAAAAAGAGGCCCCGGAAATGTGGCGGCTTTGAGATGTAGCGATCGTATCCGCGGGACCGTAACCGGGTTTCTGGGCGGGCTGGTCATGGACCGGTGGGAGAGAGTTTGGGAATGAGCTGGGTCGGCGCCAGGGCAATATGCTGGCTGCATGGCTTGAGGCTCACCGTGTCCAAATTCGTCACGACTATGCCAAGGCTGCAGCATCGGCCGATCAGTAATCAAACAGTCTTGGCTCATATGGCAAAGTCGATTCTGGACCGCTGGTAGCATAACGCGTGGGTACATGAACGGGAGCATTCACCGTGTCGATGCCACGAGTCCCGCCATGCCCATTGCATTGGAGCGAAATTGGAGAGGGCTGTGGCGATGAGGAGCCCGCATGGTCTTTGAAAGAGCAGACTCTCAGCGGCATTACTAATGACCTCAATCTTTATAATATGTTGCCGAAAAGGGTATAATTGTGTAACGTGAGGTTCAAAAACACTTGCAATCACCAGCTAGCTGCCTTGTAGTAGATACTCAAGAACGTCAACCAGTTAGTGGAGCACCAGCATAGCGCTACCACCTGTGGGCCAAAGTTCGCTTACTGATGCCCGCGAGCACAGAGCGGTTTTAGTATTCCACTAAATTTTGAGGCCTAGAGCCAGGACTTGGACTTCTAAAATAACTACAGTATAGTGTAAAGACCATTGTCGTTATCGTAGTACTTCGTAGTCCTTTATAGTTGATCGTCTGGGTGGGTGCTACGATTATTGAGTACCGACTCAATACAAGAGTGGTGTACGTAGTTGGTAACAGACAAATGGGGGAACTCGGGAGGGTACTCGCTGTGGTAAATTGGGGATAAAAAGAGAGAGAAGAAAAAAGAAAAGCAAAAAGAAAAGAAAAAGTAAACACATTGTTGGGTGTTTGTTGATCTGGAGGACTACTGGCTTCCAATGAAGAATTTCCCAACTCCTCAGTCGCTCAATCCTTGGCACATCTCAAGGCAACCCAAAGGATGGATCTGACCCATACGTCTCTTTTATGCAATCGGTTTCCTCCCTGTGATGAAGCGGTAAGACGTGATGAGCCTGAAGTCTTTGCTCCTAAACTCTCGTTTGACGCCCTCCATCAGCACTCTGGCTTGATCCTGACTGAAGTTCAACACCCGAGTGAAGAGAGCCGGCGTGTGCGAATCAACCGACATCTGCATATGAGCCAACTCGTAGCGGCCGAGCTCCTTGAGGGCTGGATCCTTGGCCCAAGGACCGATAGGTATCTGGGAATGAGCGTCAGTGTTTTCCCTCTCATCTTCTTCTCACAGTATAACCGTCTGGCGGAGAGGGTCGCTCTCTCGCAGGGTAAAACTTACCCTGTACACGAGCTCCTGTACATCCTCGAAACCGGCTTCAATCATCCACTGCTTGTGGTACTTTGCAACGTTCAGCTGCTTGCCGTATAGTTTACTCGCCTCGTCCAGCTTGGTAACCCACTCCTTGGTCCACACGGCCCTGTCAAAGCTGTCGTCGTCGCTGAAGATCCAGGCGTCGTACTCCTGCATCTCAACCCAGCCGCCCGGTTTGAGGCCGGCCATGACGCGGCCATAGAACCTTGCCCAGTCGGACGAGGTGCCGCTGAGGGCGCGACCGTGGATGTAGTCGAAGCGCTCGTCCTCACGGTACGTCCACTCATCCTCATAGTCGTCGACGTGAAACTTGCAGTTGATGGGGACCCATTCGGGTTGGATGGGCGAGAGGTCAACGCCGTAAATGTGAGCGGAAGGGAACTCGTCGGCTATGTCTATGGCCCAGCTGCCGGTGCCGGTGCCGAGGTCGAGGATGCGCATGCCGGTGGCGTCATCGTGGTCGGGAGGTGGCAGGGGCGCGGTAAAGAGGTTGCCGCCGAGCAGCAGACGCCAGATGTGATGTTGCAGGTCGAGACGCTCCTGCTCCTGGTCGTCGTTGGGGAGGACATACTGCCCCTCGCGGTAGGCGTGATAGCGGCGGCCATTCTCGTACTGGTAGTGGAAAATGGAGGAGGAGATGGAGCCCGTGTAGGCGGTTCCACTGTCGGAGCCGTAGGCGGAATCGTTATCTGCGGCGGCGTTTTCAATCTCGTTCTGCAGGACAGGGGCGCGGTCTCAAGTCAGCATGCATACCCCGATCTTGGGATGAACAGGGCATGTGCGGGGATATTACATCGACTTGGAGCGGTGCTACGGCGTCATCTTGGGCGGGGTTGAGTAGGTATAGAATACTGGTCGGCGCCGTGGCACGCGGGGGTTCGGTGGACGCCGTGTCGGTGGTCAACGGCGTCGAAGGTTGGGTGGTTGTTGTGTCGGCGCTAAGGGGTCCGTCCGTCGACGAACCCGAGTCCACGGCATTGGAACCGACGGGAATTGAGGGTGTCGACGTCATCGAATGCGGAGAGAGATCGGCGGCCACGTGCGTGCAGGGAATCCTTCAGGATGGAAGGGTTTTGCTATGAAACTCTGCGGCTGCTGTTTGAAAAGCGGAAGAGATGTAAACTATGAAAGACTATGAGGGGTGGGAGAGTCCAGACTCTTTGAAGTAGAGAAGAGACACTGACTGGTCAGCGAAATGTCACTCCACCCCAAGAGAAAGAGAGAAAGAGAGAAAGAGAAAGCGCAGACCATTGAAGAGGGGAAAAGTGCGGGAAAGTGCCTGGCAGGGGCAGAATAAACTTTTCCGAAATCCGCTTCGACCGCAACGTCCGCGCCTTCCCTCCTCCCCTAAACAGTACGTTCCTAGTTTATCAGGCACGCCTTTTGGCTAGGGTTCCGCCCATTTTACGCAACTTGAGAGACTCTGCTCTGCCAATCTCTCGGCAATTGAATGCATGGGTGGGCCTCGCTCCCGTTTCGGTGCTTCGATATCACACTTTGGGTACGGAACGGAGGGCTTGTATGTACGGACTGTATCTCTGTATTCGTTCGGTACTAGTTAGGAAGATATGCTATGCAGAGGTCTGACATACCATTATGCAGGCATTGGTATGTGTACTTAACTAGTGACCCGTTAGTCTCACTCGATGGCACGGGCTAGTCTTACCTAGTGCCTATCGTGACTATTTTGTGTGCACACCAAGGTAGTAGTGCGAACTGGCTAGTGCCTAGACCTACCGAGAGACAGCACGAGGAGGGTCTGGGTTGTCAAGAAAGCAAACGACAGGGAAGGGGCCGCGATGGGAGTGGAGGAGCATCGGATTTCTTCACTGCCGACATTGATCCGCTTTGGCTGTGTGGCCTCATCGGTTTCCACCACAAGAAAATTGTAGAGTACATGAACTCCAGGACCCCCGAAGACACCAATCCCGAGTTCGAGTCGCTTGGCATTGCTGCGAGTCACCTTATCTCCCTCCCAGGTACTCCTGTAGGTTAGGTCACCGTCGTACCACCACTGCTGCTCTGCCCGCCGCACTCCATCGACACCGAACCCTTACCGCCCCTTTGCAGTTCTACCCCCCAATCCTTGACTCTCACGACCATGGCCAAGAAACTCATCGCCGTTGTCGGTGCTACTGGTAATCAGGGCGGTTCCGTCGCCCGCCGCTTTTTGGCCGCCGGCTACCGCGTCCGCGCCCTGACCCGTGACTCCGCCTCCCCCTCCGCCGCCGCCCTGGCCGCCCTCGGCCCCGACCTGGAACTCGTCCACGCCGACCTTGAGGATGTTGCCTCCCTAGAGGAGGCTTTCCGGGGCGCCAACGCCATCTTCAGCGTTACCAACTACTGGGAGCCCTTTTTTCGTCCCGACTGCCGCGCAAAGGCGCAAGAGCAGGGCATCTCGTGCCGAAGGTTCGCCTACGACGTCGAGTATCGCCAGGGCCGCAACATCGCCGACGCCGCCGCTACGACGGTGGAGTCGCTCGACGAGAATGGGTTTCTGGTCTCGACGCTGAGCCACGCTGGTAGGTGCAGTGGCGGGCGGTTCAAGGAGCTGTACCATTTCGATGCCAAGGCCGATATCTTCCCCGACTATGTGAATGCCAAGTATCCTGCGTTGACGGCCAAGATGTCTTGTATCCATACCGGATTCTTCTACACAAGCTATCGCATCTTGCCCAACTCGTACTTCAGAAAGGTATGCCTTGATTTCTATGCCGTTCTTTGATTTCAGATGCTGATGCTCAAGAAGAACTCCGATGGTACCTTTACCATGTCCTTCGCCACCTCTCCGGACAAGCCCGTCCCTCACTTTGCCCCGGCCAGCGACATGGGCAACTTTTCCTATGCAGTGTCCCAAATGCCGCCAGGGAAGGCTTACATGGCGGAAGGAACAACCTGCACCTGGCCGCAATTCCTCGAAACATGGGCCAAGGTTACAGGCGTCAAGGCCGACTACAAGCAGATTTCGCCCGAGGAGATGATTGAGGCTACGGGAGAGCGAGACACGGGCATCGAAGTCGCCTACATGTTTTCCTACTCGTCTGACCCTGGCTATGATGGCGGCATGGATCTCTTGACTGCGGCGGATCTTAGAAAGGTAAAGACTCCAATCAGTGGCGACGGCCCAAGAAACCGCATCATGGGACACCCCAGAACAAATAACGCTGACTGACGCAGGCTGGTATCGACTGTCCCATGACAGCTTGGGAGGAGTGGGCTAAGCAGAACGACTGGACTTCCGTTCTTGAAAAGTAATCGAGATACCAATGCAATTTGCATCTAGCCTGGTCAAGAAAATAGCCGGATTAATCTCGCCGCCCATCGTCTTTTCGTTCTCGAGAACCATACTTACTACACGCACTCTTGATTCACGAAACTCCAGGCGGACCGAAGCTCATCGTTCACAGGTTTAAGGCTACAGCCTACAGCCAATCACGATGGTGAGGCATCCTCGGACGGCCCCCAAAAGGGTTGTAGCTCGATTACCAAACGGTGTTGCGGTCGCAATGTCGAAAGCGGACCGGCGGCATGGGTTTTGGATGCCCAGCGAGGCTCAGCGTGAGCCCGTGGTTGCAAAGATAGAGTCAAGGTTAGAAAGGACACGAGGATAACGTACGGATGGATTTTCCAGAAACCAATAAACGAGCGGACCTTTCCCAGATCAGGCGGAAAACTTGAAACCGCCCTTGATCCCTCTAAATCCAGTCGGAGGAGAGCTTGGATGTCCGCACCTGCCTAGTCCAAGAGGGATTTACCTCCTACAACTGTGTTACCGCAACCATGACACGTCTGGGAAATGATGCTAGCACCAAGGTAGTCACAAAGCTCGCGGTTTACGTGAACCAACTCCTCGAGACGAACTGGGAAGGTATACATCCCGATGTCGGATTAGCACGCGATCTTCTCGAAGACGAAGCACTCTGCTTCCTCCCCCCAATCTATCGTATACTTTGAGAGCTTACGAGGAAGCTGGTATTTTCTCCGATAATGACGCCTTCGAACTCGCTGGTGGCCTTGTCGTTGGCGACCTACACGATGTGATGGTGCTTGGGGTACAGAACAGCCACGGTGCGCTCGTTGATGAGAGTGCGACAGGCGTTGCGCAAACTGCTCTCGACAGGGATGAAGACACAGTATTGCCGACCTTTGCTGTCGCGGACTGTAAGCTCGAGGATCTTGCCGTCCACGTTGATGCGCTCGATATGGGCCAGGAGGGCCCAATGCTTGCGGCGGTGGCCCTCCGTCCCCCACATGACCGAAGAAAGCTCCTCGACGCTCGGGAAGGCGCGCGAGTCTTCAAAATCGCCGACGGGGGGGGGAATCGTGTTGGGATGGTCTATCCTGTTTCTGAGGTGGCTGATAGGAAGAGGGTTAGCGGAATCTGGATAGGCAACGGGAAGAGGAACTTCGGTGACCCTGGTGCCCTGGGAAAGAGAGAAGTTCCCAGGTTTGTGATTTTCTCGGTATTCTTCGCCCCATCTTCATGGCATATCGCCAGCGAGCAGAGCAAAAAGTGCACACAACACCAAGATATTCGCTAGCAGAACATTTATGCCTCTTTCTAGCTGTGTTCTCAGGCAATCGGACAAAGCAGCTACAGTTCATTCAGGTCCAAAGATTCAACATACAGGCACGTAGTATTGGCAATCTTCAACGTTGGTTGGTCAATTATCAGTTTGGCTGCTCTACGCACAAGTGTAACCACTGTCATTCGAAGACTAGCAATCATAAGGCCACCACCCCCACACAAGCGGGATCAAGCGTCGTAAGACATGGACGTGTTAAAGCAGAAAGGTCTCTCGCCACCGTAGTTCAGCTACGTCAATCATCTGATGTCAGGCTTCCCCGGCAACTGGCAAGCCATCATGTGACTTTAGTGGCGCCATGCCTCTCTCCGACAATTCTGGATAAGAAGCGGTCAGTTACTATGTCGTTTAGTTTGAAAGAAAAGACATGGCCGAGGCTTGGTTGATCCTATCTTGTCACCGTAGGCGTGGCAGGCCTTGGGGACGCCGGGGGAGGGGGGGTTCGCAGCCACACCCCGGGTTCTCTCGGAAACTCGCATCAAGATGGTAAGGGAATAACCAGAAGGAAGGTTTACTGCCCTTTACTACTCCAGTGATACCCCCTACTGCCTACCGGGTCCCGAGGCTTAGAGTCTCAATCTTGAAGGCGTTGCCGATATTATTGTGTCAGAGAAGTTTCTCCTACATGGGTGATAGTCTCTAAGCGAATGGTGTATCTGTAGTGTATATAATCAAAACAATGTGCCTGGCGGGAGTCAAGAATATCAGGGACGTCTGGCGACACTTGGTATCAGACAAGCTCCGGTAAACAGAATATTTGTACGAATACGGAGGGAAAGCGAGGTATTCGGTAGAACAGGGTAGAATGTAGACAGGAGTCCGTGATTACCACACATATAGTGATCAAGGCATCGTCAGATAGAAACTAGAAACGTACGGAAGTTCCACTTTGGGGAAGGGGCTCCACACGGCCCGACGCCGGGGATATGTGGGGGATCTGGAGGGCGCCGAGCCCGACGCCGATCAATATAATGCTTTAACTGCTCTGCCGTCGGACTGCAGGCAGAGCCATAGTTGAATCAAATTCAAACCAACTTTAGGAGACCAGCAGGTCTTAGTAAGGTCAGTCTAGCCATTGGTAGGTATTCAACCTTGGGGTTTTCAACACAGCCTCGCATCTGGTTGAAAGGCCTTACATTCAACCAGGCGAATCGGCAGAGGTGGATGCCGACACAAAGCGCGTACGCTAAGCTACCACGTTGCGTCTTGCAATTCTCAGCTAGTCACCCATAATATTTCGGCCTCTTACGCTGCCTCTTTTGTGGCCTCCTTGGTCCCCTCCGCCGCCTCTTCTTCCTCAGGCTTCCGGGCATAGACAACGTGGCTGCAAGAGTTAAGAACAACAGTCCGTGGGAAACTCGCAATCGAACAGAAGACATACACTTTCCAGTATGCATCTTTCTGTTCCCCGGGTCTTTTCGCACGGCAGCACAGAGCGCAAGGACGTCTACCTCTGGACCAGTCCAAAGCAGGAAAGTCATGTAAGCGGTCGCTCTCTCGTTGTAGCCAAAAGCCAGATCAGGGGGTGACTTTACAAGACATAAAGAGCGCTATCAGGTTATCTGTGTTCATGTCTCGTCATTAAGATAACTGTATCCCGCCATCAGGTCAGCGATAACACATATGTAGCCATCAAGTGTCGGCACGCACTTCCGACACCCATTGAGTAGTAGGTCCGGCTATTCTCAACTTGGTGTTCCAATATGCTCGAACGTAGAGAGGCCAAAGAAGAGCTTCCATAGAGCCAACCTAACCCCGGCAGCCAGTTGACCTTCAGGCTCATAGTAAGTAGCGTGAGTTGCCGACCTTTTTCAGGACGGAGAACCCTTACGCTACCTGGCTCTGAAGCGCTGTTAACTTCTATGATCTGGACAGCACTTGATGTTAGTGTGTATCGCGGTTGTCATACCAGCGGAGAAATATGCCGTCTGCTCGGGTTGAGGTGTTTGCATTTCTGGCCAAGGTAGTATCTAGCCAAGGAAGATCAAAGGAATTCAAGTTATCTGAGACCTACCTGCAATCCAGTGCGACAACGATTGGAGTAAATGCGAAAGCCCATTGCACACGCTTCAAGTTCTGGAGAATGCTGACCGAGGTCGGATTTCGAAGAGAAACACACAATCTGTCACTTGAAAGCAATGACACCAGCTAATCATGTTGTCACTTTGGTGAAGAGGGGTTGACGCTATTTAAACCCCGACGGCGCCACGCCGTTCCTTAATTATCTCATCAAGTGGCATAGAACGCCAATTCACCACCACCACGGTCGATACTTCAATTTTGCATAGCCGACAGGTCCCAAAACGAACACGCATCAATTCCAGGGGGCTATTTATGTTGTTCAGTTGGTGTCAGGTGAGACCGGGCTGAAGCACAGCGGAGCTAGTGTCGGCAGACGGTTTAATAGATGAGGTTACTTGGTTGTCTGTAGGCCGTCGATCAATGGGGACAGCCCAGTTAATATTGATGAGCTCATGTACTTGAGAACATTGGGTTTCATTCGAGAGGAATCTTTTGCATGTATTGAATCCTAGCAAGATCGCGGCCCCGTTATTCCGGGCCCATGGATTTTCTCACAGTCATGTCTCGACCATACAGAGGTGTGATTGTTCTCATAGTCTTGTCCTCTAATTCCGGAGGTCTGGCGGGAGATAATCTCGTAGCAAGAGACCACAATAACTTGGTTTGCCTATGAATCAATCACCGGGAGGCCGCCATGTGTTATGAGAACCACCCAAGTATTATGAAATGAACCCAGACGCCGACCTCGTGTGCTTTATTACTATTTAAGCATGGGTTCTATGTGCCCTGTAGCAAAGTGTGGTATCATAAGCCGGTGAACTGAGCAAAATAACCCCCTCCCTCGAGCTTTTCCGACTGAAAACCCCAAACGACCCTTGAAATAACACGTGTGATAACATTATACCTCGCCATTTTTTTAATGAGGCATGGTGCTCCAAATGCTATGACCTTCTTCATTAGCATCGGAAAAAATAACCATCATTGTTCACCATTGGTGTTCAAAGCTCATCCTCCTCTAGTTCGAGGAGATCAAGAAGACTAGGATGAGGCTCGCCGCAGCAGGGGCAGACACCAAGCTCATCATCCTCACCCATCAAATCTTCAATTTCCTCCATGGCGTAGCCACTGGTACGACAGAATTCGGTCCACTGACGTACCTCGTCATCGCGAGACCTGGGGACCTTTTTCCAAATGGTTAGGTCCTTGCGGTTGGGTAATGACTTGGGATGACCCGTCTCCTGAGGCGCAGGCGGCATGATAGGTTCGCGGGGGTGGTGATGGCCTATATCAGAGTCCGAGTCCGAGTCAATCTCGTCGTCAGAAGAACCGTCGTTGCCTTTCTTCGACTTCATCGTCTTCCATGCCCGAACAACACGAGCACAGCTAGAGATACCCGAAAGGGGCTTCAAGGAGTTCTTCCATTGTACAAAAGAAGGAAGACCGGCAAGAAAAAGACCTTCGTCGCGCAAGAGGCCGGTGAGCTCGGCGGTCGCCTTGCTACCTGCGTCGTCAATGGGTAAGCCAGTTACCTGCAGCTCGTTGAGCGAGCAACCCAGTTCGTGAGAAGCCATGTCGTGGAGATCGCTGCCAGGCATGGGCAAGAAATCGTCCAAGAAATTCACAAGATCAATTCTGAGAGACTCCAGTCCGGGGAAGAGTCTCGGGCGGACGAGTCTCTTGTCGTGCTTGGGATCGAAGGGGGGGCGGAGAGCGCGCAAAAAATCAGTCACCTGGCCCCAGGAATAGCATCGGAAGCCACCGCGGGCGTAGGTATGCTCGTTGACGCGAGGAATTGTCCGCAGAGTGATATCGTTTTTGAGATGGGGATGGTAAGACCGCTCGAGCTTGTGCTTGCGCTTCTTGTCATCGAAGAACTGGGCAATGATGCGGAAGTTGACATGCTTGATGTTTTTACGGTACGCAAAGTCCAGATCGGCAAAGTTGCGGACGGATTCGGGAGTCGTGAAGACAAAGGAGTTCTGGCCCCACAGAATGCGACTGCCCTCACCGTTCATGGCCTTGCATGTTGCCAAAAAGTGTATGGCGATTTGGTTGCTGCGGTTCCTCTCATGATGGGTCAGGTTCTCGGGCTTGAGTTTCGACAGAGGGTCGATGATGGGGTCTTTGCATGTCAACGAGTACTTGAGGATGCGCAGCAAGACTTCGGTTGGCAGATACGGAAACTGGTGAGTCTCGGAGCTGATGGATGAACGTGTGCGCCGACCAGCAGGGCCCTGGTTTTGGTACGCCGCAGAGATGGGTGACCAGGAGATACCATTGTCGCGGAGAAGCTTCTTCAGTTTTGCGTTCTCATCGGCAAGCGCCTTGTTCTTGGATCGAAGCGGGTGATTGTAATATGCTTCAGCCTGGTCCTCTACGTCGCGACACTCCCACGGCATGATTTCCTGGACGTCGGTCAGCTCTCACACCAGATATGGCAACTGCTGGAGGCCAACGCACCACATCTCGATGCGCCATGACGGCGAAATTGAGGTGCTGGCGCCTGGAGATTTAAAGTAGTTTACAATAAAGTTAGTTGTTGGGACGACTGCGAGGAGAGGTGCGTCCGATCAATGTATTGGCGTAGCGTGATTCTTGAATCTTACAGCGAAACAAGAGTAGGTATGCCGCCGATCGATAATCCGTTGGTGTTGCGGGCAAATGAGTTCGCCTGACGTTTGAGGAAATAGAGGAAGGTGGGGAATCTCCAGAATCGGAACAGCGCTAGGCAAGGCAGGGTGTGCCGGTGACAGGTGACCGAGGTGAAGTGAGCTTGCAATGATGTGACCTACGATTGGAGTGAAAGGGTGAAACGAATGTTTTAAGAAGAATGTGGTTCGGGCGTTCGTCCTGATGTTGTGGACTGGCTGGATCGAAATGCGAGTTGTAGTGAAGAGAGTCAGTCAGCCAAGCCCAGCACAGGCCAAACTCAAGTAGGTGAGTGGGTTGGCGGTTGATTGAGAAACGGATGCAATGAGTATTTGCTGAACCAAGAACGAAGAAAGTCAGCAGCTGCTGATAGCAGTGCCGAGTAGACTGATTAACACCAGGATGTGAGTAATCAGGTCACAAAATCGTAGAAGAGGTCGAGTAGCGCCGGAAGATAATGGCAAGATTGCGCCTGAGTCGGCGTCGAGCCGATCGATAAATCCCGGATCCGCCTTCCCCGGGCGTGACTAAAGTCGCCTGGTCGTGACGGGGAGTAAGACAGCTCTGGGAGGGCAAACACGGATGTGGTTGCAATCAGCCGTATCGTCCTTCGTCCGAGAACTCGGGTTGCCGAGACAGATGACAGAGAGGGGCGAAGAAGGCGGTTGATGTAGAAGAGACAATCATAGGGGGAGAAGAGAGGGTCGAAGATGACGAAAGGGAAAGAAAGGTAAGCGATACCGTGGCGGCAGATCTGTGCAGGAGAGGACGCGGACGGGGTAAACGGAAAGTACGGGAGGCGGCGGTGCTGGTGGTGGCTACCTTACCGACCTACCTCAGTGACGGTGAGCGATTGCCCAGGCTTCAACAGCGTGGAAGCAACAGACAACAGCACCCGGGGACTTTACTTCAGCAGTAACAGCGGCAGCCGTAATGCATCCCAGTCTCAGCTGTGACGATTGCTGATGTCCGCCGAAACCCTGTTTAATAGCTTCTTTTAGGCGAAGGGAAGCTTTTTTCTTGTTTCTATCTTTCCAGGTTGGAAAACACGGCTTCTATGAATACGACGTTTCGTCAAAGGGAACGACAAACTACATGCATCAGGATGAAGAGAAGGCGCAGGGTGATGGGAGGGTAGGTACATCACGAAAGGGCAGGTGCAGCCGGTGCAGTGTACCATTATACAACCTAATCTAAGATCACCCGCAATAGGTAGTTCAATCATGGCGGGCAGGCACAGCCATGATGCCAGAAGGGGGGGGGGGGGGAATTGATTGAAGACTTCCACATCCGCAGGCAGACATAGGTAGGGTGTCATGACAGTTGGGGAAAGACAATGCATCAAGAGACAAAACGGCTGGGAAACTGACGGCTCCGGACCTTTGCCAACTTCACATGGAACGGAAAGAACTTGGGAAAGGGGGGGATGGATGGATACTAGAAGGGAACAAGGGCCGCACAGGGGTAGGTGCGCATTTGCTTTTCATGTCTTGCTCCTGCATATGCTCGAAGCTTTGCGAGGAGCAGCAGACACTTACTCTCTCCACTTCCGAAACTGTTCTTCATCAGGCTATGCCTCAGGCTATGCCTGTGGTGAAGTTCTATGGGCACGACTTTACATCAGAGAGTTTCTTAAGTTCAAGAGTGATTGGAAAGAGCTGTCGTTACGAAGGCACGAATCCGAACAAAGACAGCATCTGGCAGGCACATGAAAGAAATCAAAGGATGCGAAATACCTACGGTGTACATGACGGTACTGTACGGTGCGGAACACCTAAAGCAGCTTCCCGAGCTTCCTAGCGATCGATGTCTGGAGGCAGGATCGGATCGCGCCACCAGATAGCTTTCATAATGCGAGGTGGGCAAAATAATCAGATACCTAGGTATTGCTTGCCGGAACTGCGCCGCAAAAGGGGGCATTAGGAAGAAACGGAGCTCAGAAGAACAAAGGAGCCTCCTCTCAGATACTAGACTTTGATGAGTCGATGCTGTCATGGGCTGGGTTCGCGCCGCCTGACGCATGGCATGGGGAAGCCGCACAGATCGCGCCCTGCGATGGCCACGGGAGCTCCAACCTGTCATATCACAAAACCATCAACATGAGATTTCTACCCCTCATAGAGCAATTGCATTTCTCTCGCACGAGAGCACCTTTGTGGGAGAAGGCTCAAGCGCTAACATCCGTTTCCTCATCGCATCCTCTCCACTCACTCTTCTGTACGCCCCCCCCCTGTACTCAATGCACACCACATACGATTGAAGGCATCTTTTGGACATTGGTGGCTTTGGACAACCTCAAGCGAGGCCAACCAGACGATCGATGATGAATTATCCCCATAAAACACGTCCGTTAGGGTCTCCATTAGCCACATTTTCCACGGGTGTCGCCCCTCCCACAACGATTGCTGGGCGCCACTGTAAACCGCAGGTGCTCATCGTCCGCTTTTGACGTCATCATGTCTTGCCAATTACATGCTGCAGGTGGCTCAAGCTCTTCTCCTCTGCACGTAATATAACGTGCTTTTTTCGATGATGAAATGGTCGTGCCTGATGCAGGTAGCTATGGCAATGAGGTCAGCTCGCCTAATGGGTTCAAATAGTCCTGCGACCAAGAATTCTCGTTTATAAAAGATCCTTTTTCTTCTCGTGTTCCTCACGATTGCTTCCATCGACTGATAGAAAAATCATACAATACTTCAACGAATCTGCTCAATCTACCTCAACGTCCCAAGTACAATCACGATGTCTTTCTCCAACGCAGATACTGGCAACAAGCCCGCCGACCCCTACAAGGCAGCTAACCTCGACAATGACGTCTCCGTAAAGGAAAAGGTTGAGGACTTCGTCAAGTTCGCCGAAAAGTCTAAGTTCGGAATGATGACCACCAGAGACGCCAAATCCGGTGCTTTGGTTTCGAGAGCAATGGCTCTTGCCGCCACTGTTCGTTCATAACCGCTACGTCCTCCACGTAACACATACTAACCCCCCATTTCCTAGGAAAATGGTGGCGTCGACCTCCTCTTCCACACCAACACTGAGTCACACAAGACGGATGAGATCAACAGCGACCCTCACATCAACATAGCCTTCATCAACAGCTCCGGCGACTGGGCCTCTGTCTCGGGCATTTCTAGCATCATCACTGACCGTTCGCTGGTCAAGAAGCACTACAGCCCTACCCTTAAGGCGTGGCTGGGCGATCTTGGTGATGGTACCCACGACGGTTCTGAGAACGATCCTCGCATCGGCGTTATCCGCGTCAAGACCTCCAGCATCACGTACGCCATCAGCAACGCAACTATTGTCGGCAAGGTAGCTCAGTTGGCCGAGGGTGTTGTGACAGGTAATGCGGCGCAGGTCAATAAGTTGAGAGAGGTATCATCTCAGGAGGTCGAGCAGTACCGCTCTACTGCCTCTTCCTCTTAAGCTGAAGCGCGCATAACAGACATGTACGAATAGCAGAGTAGATGATGTTGCGGCGAACAGCATCAACCCGAATTACGGGACATGAATAATGACTATTGCTTCCCGTACTCTGCGTTCCAGCTCTTGTCGAACGTTTCCTTGTTTACCGCAAACTCACGGATATAATCGCGTTCGAGTTCGTGCGCCCTTCTTCCAAGTAGAACCATGCTATGCAGAGGGCCTCCCAGGGTCTCGTCCGAATCGCACAGCTCCTTCAACGTACCGGCGACGAACTTCTCAGTCTTGCCACCCACACGGGCTGCTCCAATAGCCAAGCTATCAGCGGTATAAGCACGCTCCTTCTTATCCTCTTCGATCTCGAGCATCTGTGCGGCGCACTGTCCGACGGTCATGTACCGCGGAGGCTGATACACTCTTCTCCCTCGAGCCATGTCCTCCAGACTTTGCTCCTTGACCTTGATGTCAAGCAATACCAGCGTGTGCAGGCCGATATCGCGGTTCTCCTTAATGCGGTCGTAGAAGGACGCTGGCTTCCACGTATCGGTGAAGAAGACCATGGACACAGTCTGGCCAAAGTTGTACAGCTGCAGGCCCGTGGCGCCGATGCCGGACATGATGGAGGCATTGGGGACGGTACGGATTGGAATCCCCAGTTCGCGCGCGCGCAGGACAAGGTCGGTGTGTGTCGTTGCGCCGAAAGGGTCGCCGACGACGCAAAAGGCGACGTCTTCGGTCTGGGCGTCGCGGAGGATCTCGTCGCTGTTGGACTCGACCATTTCGCGGTCGGCGACTACGATTTCGCGGCCATAGTAGCTTTCCTGCGGAGGGACATTTTGACATTAGGACATGCGTCATTTGGTCATGGCGATAGATGGAAAGAGAAGTGGGAACGCACCAAAACGGTCTTGTCCACGAGGAGTATGCTGGTGTAGGCTTCGAGATAAACCCTGGCGGCCTTCTTGACGACTTCGAGACCCTTGACAGTGATGTCGGTCTCGTCGGACAACCCAAGCCCAACAAGGTACAGCATCTTATCTGAGATCCTCTGGGAGCTCTGCTACTAGGGAAAGACTTGAATGATTTCGGTGAGTCGTCAAGTCGCAGGGAACACCAATGGAGTCTGGCAACTTTTCGTCTTTTTTTTTCCCCCTCCGTATGGAGGGGAAACAGGATGGAGGGGTAGGTATTCTTTTTAGCGCTGCAACCCCACCAACACCACCCCTGGACCTTGTCTCGCCTAGCCCCTCTTAAATTTCGAACCCCTGTGGTCTTATTCCGACCCCCGGCGCAACATCCCCAGGCATCAAATTTCATCATCGAACGTGTCCAGCAAGTACCCCGTCACGACTCCACGCAATTAACAAAACTCCCAATAAGATCACTTGCTGCACCTACATATTTCTGAACCTTTCACCGACATTGCCGTAACCGCCCGGAGGCAACGCCGGTTAATCGCTCACTATCGTACAATGGCCGACAAGAAAGGTAGCGCGTACGGCGCGCCAGCAGGCGACACCGACTTTCGCAAGACGTGGGACCTTGACGAGTACGCCGCCAAGGCTAAAGACCGTGAGGCCAAGGAGAAGGAGGAGTCCAAGGCGCGTTATGAGGCCAAGCTGGCCGGCAAGAAATACCACAAGCCCCTGACGGGTAACGAGACTTTCACGCAGGCGCGGCGCAACGTGCTGGACCTTAGCGCGCAAGTTGGCAAGACGCAGCTGGTGCCCGCGGGCGCAGGCGTGGGCAAGCGCGGCCGCGGCGCAGGTTTCTACTGCGAGCCCTGCGACCTCACGTTTAAGGACAACAAGCAATATGTCGAGCACATGAACACGCCGCAGCACCTGGCCAACACGGGGCAGACGAACGAGGTGCGGCGTGCGACGGCTGAGGAGGTGAGGGAGCGGATCGAGTGGCACTGGCAGCGGAAGCTTGACCTTGAGAAGGAGAAGGCGACGAGCCTGCAGGACAGGCTTGCGCTTCGAGAAGAGGAGAGCCTGAAGGAGGCCGAGGAGAGGAGGAAGAAGAGGAAGGAGGCAGACGAGAAGAGGAGGGCGGAGAAAGAGGCGGCAGAGAAGGTCAAGCTGGAGTATGGGGATGATGTGAGGATTGAGGGGGAGCATGACGAGGAGGATATGATGGCGGCGATGGGGATCACTGGATTCGGGGGGACGAAGAAAAAATGAGGCGATTTGACCCCGGGGGATTGTGTTTGGCTTGAGAGTTGTACGATGTCGCAGGATGCAAAAATGATACCCTTGAGCACGCGATGGACTGGATGGAATATTATATGCAACGGGGGCATTTCTGCCACAGGATCTCCATCCCTTGTGGTATTCCGCTAGGAATCAGTCTGGGTGTCGTCGATTCGGGTACGTTTTCACCGAGACATTGTCGGTGTACCTCGGTGAGAACGAGGTAGGCCCGCCCCGCACCTGACAAGCCCCTGCAGTCCGGGTAACCCAATACTAGCATTGGCGCCGACTTCGACCTCACTACCGCCGGACGGTTTGCCGTCCACCCTCCAACCCAAATCACACTCGCCTCGCACGCGACAGACCTCACACACCGCCTTATGTTTCCTCGCACATAGACATCCCGAAAGCAACACAAGTACGAAGAGAACAATCTCCTAGAGTTTTACACAACCGCCCTTCGAATTCCGTCGTTCCCGAACGGCCTGTCCAGTAGTCTGCGTGCGCGCGCCCACGACGACTCCTGAGTGCTACCCTCCGATCGACAAGCGGCTTCCCCAGGAATACATACCACCCTGCTAGAATAGAAGACCAAGGGTTCTTTCAGAGTCACCTGCGATACCATGGCATCGTCTTCCGCCGCAGCAGCATCGCTGCTGGGCCGACAGCTCAAGGAGATGCAGACGGGCAAGGACATACCAGGAATATCGTGCGGCCTGGTTAACGACAATAACATATTTGAGTGGGAGGTCATGCTTATGATTAGCGATGACTGCAAGTACTACGGAGGTATGATTCCTGCCCCTTTCCATTCTAGCACAACCCCGGTTGCCCACGGAACGCCTTGTGGCCATGATTCCCCTTCTGTCTGTTCGTCTGTCTACACAGTCCACTAACATCGAGCCCTCTCAACAGGAGGCAACTTCCGCGCACGTCTCGTCTTCCCTCCAAATTACCCCCTCATGCCGCCCTCCCTGACATTTCAGACGCCGATTCCGTTCCACCCCAATATCTACCCCGACGGTCGGCTGTGCATCTCGATCCTGCACCCGCCAGAGGAGGACCAGTACGGCTACGAGGCGGCCTCGGAACGGTGGAGCCCCGTGCAGAGCCCCGAGACGATCCTGCTGAGCACTATCAGCCTCTTCCACGGGCCCAACGACGAGTCGCCCGCCAACGTCGAGGCCGCGCGCATGTTCCGCGAGGAGAGGGAGGGAAAGAACAAGGACTTCCGGAGGCGGTGTCGGGCTTGCGTCCGGGAGAGCTTGGGGGAGGACTGAGGCGTTTGTGAGTCTATAGGGTGGGTATGGGGTGGGATGAACCTGGGTTTTCAACGGCGGAACTCATGAGTCCGTTGGGGTTAGAGAGGGGGAGGACGACAAACGGACGACTGCGACCTCGGGCAGGTTTCGGTGAGGGAGGATGACGGCAAACAGCTGAGACTGGTGTGACAGGACCACTGCATCATGGCGTTCTGGAGATATCAGCAGCATTTACTAGGCTGGGTCGGCACTCGGATTGACGTCTTTCTCATTCGTGGCGCCTGACGAAACTGGGCCTCCGTTTTGGATCTGTATTGTATGGCTTGAATTTGTCCGACTGTACGTCGCCCAACGAACCACAGGTGAAAGAGTCCCATTCACGTCCCGCTGTGCGACTTACCCTCGTTCGAGACACCGAGTCAAGGTACTGTCCACTATCAGGCCGATCGCCATCTGGTTTTCGAGATATGAACAAGATAGCGGGCAATGTAGCATCGGTTCCTGCCGAGGATCGGGCTTTTCAATCTCTACATCACCTCTTACCGTCGTTTCTCTATCATGTGCTTCGTTGACCGGCAACCGGTGTTCTTGCAGACCTAGCACTTGCGATCGGATGAGAGATTGCGATGGGGTGGGCGGCTTCATGATAGGCCACTTCTGCCTCGACCGTGGTTGTTGCCGAAGCAATCGTTTCTGCCGCGGCCGTGATACGTAAGATCGACGCACAGATAATTTAACAATATACTAACAGCTTCGATTTATTGCATCGCGGTGTTTATGGCCGATAGGAGGAGCTGGTTGCAGACCCCTTCCAATACCAGGGCTGGATTGCAGAGACCAGCTAGCGCTGGTGTTACGAAGATAATATGGTAGTGAGTTTTCAAGCTAATTGCCTAACGTTTCCTGGCTAAGCCGCGTAGAGTGGGTGATTGAACTAAGGCAGGGTCCTGACTGCAACAAAAAAGGGATTGAGTACGGTGATATGGGTTTTTTCGGCATGCTTCGGTGGCAAGAGCCTATGGTTCTCGCGGACTCGTGAAGGCATCTGTCTGGTTGTCACCAACTGTCTCCTTAGGCTCGGGTACATCGGGCTCAGACTCCGATGTCTCAAGTACAGTTTACTCGGGGTTGTCGCGAGGAAGGGGTTGAGCGAGTCATCCAAATCGGGCATTGGTCAAGCCTTCTGGAGAGACGCTCGTGGGACTTTGACGGTCTCCGGTGTCGTGAATGTCTAGCCGTCCATCTCCGGCGTCGTTCGGAAGCAGCTCAAGTCTCAGTCGGCGTGGACTAGTGACCAATTTCTCGTCGAGGTCGAAAATATGGGAACGTTTGATAGGTGGACTTATAGTGATGTGTCGACATTATGTTACCATAATAGTAGGTGGGTACTAAGCGTCGTCTTACTTCCTACAGTATGAGCATACTCGCTTACCTGCACACATTGTCACCCAGCCGCTGTGATTGGATGGATGTTTACTGGAGGCGGCAAAAGTGAAAGTTGCGGCTAGTATGGATTGAATACACAACCCTCAGATTACGAGATCGAAGTGTAACAAGAGAATCATAACTCACTTCAGTCTATGGCTCTCGCAAACTGAGCTATGTTTGCCATGATCCGCGGGCGGACAAGCACATCGTGAGTTCATGGAATGACCGCGTGAGCGGGCCGCGCGCCTCGCAGTGTTCATTCAGGGCCGAACAAGCGACCCGCGACGATCAAGGACATCTATGATTGATTTATGATTGAGTTTTCTCCCCAGCATAGAGTTTGGATTCGTTATTCGCCTTGGTCATAAATGACCAATATCACTAAGTTGGTTTCGTACCATTTCACTGGTCTAGCTTCACACTGTATGTACTGACTGTTGGGTAGAATGTGCTGACGGGATCACGGAACATTGCTGCACCAAGCTGGACGAGAATACTTGTACCCCCAGCAATTAGTGTTCTTGCATCATGTGAGGGAAAAGGAAATAAGCGTACTCAAGCTTGACCTTAGCTACTACTTACTTAATTATGCCGGCTCTCCGTGCCTCCGGAGTGTTTTCCGAAAGTGGGATATTTCTGGCAGGCTGGTGATCCGAATACTACCGGAAAATCCCACGTATACCAAAGAATTCTCAATTAGCATGGAAAAGCTAGCTGTGAGACGACTAGTAGTATAGTTCGGGACCTAGGGCGGCCAGGAGTCGATTAACCCGGTACATCAAACGACCCACCATCGGACCGGTTTGCACTTAATCCCAGGTTCTTGCTTGCTACAGTTCGCCTCCACTGGCAACAGCCCTAACCTGGGTATCGCCTCGGTGATAAAGCCCAACGGAGTAGCAAGGACCATCATGGGCGTTGTTGTGCCTAGTAGTATTACCGATGAGCAGGGTCTACCCGTGAATGGCCGCTCTGGTGTAGCGGTCTTTGTCATGCTGGTGGCACCACTGTTTAGCTGATCGGTGATGGGGTGTTAGGGTTATCACTTTGCGAATGGTAGTTTGCCATTGGGAGGTTAGGGGTTACATGTAAATACAAACATCGGACGCTTTAGTGCACCGGCTCTGCATGGCGGCCCGCCCTTCGATCCTTGGCAAAGCTGGCAATGGCTTTCTCAAACCGTGGAATAAAACGTTACCCAGGGTTTCATCCCGTGCATCAGGAAAAGATTGTTCATAGCTCATGGTCATCGTAGACCCATGACTCGAAAGTTTAGTTAGGTACCTAACTAGAAATGTGTCGGCCTATCGATAGCATTTTCAGGCCCATGTATTTATTCGACGGAATACGTCCACCTTTCCTTGTATGGCCAATCTCGGGCAGGGCAGGATCGGCGAGGAGTTAGGTCAAGAAAGTGGTTGCACTCTGGTAGGCAATGACATAGCTCTACCAATTTTTGTAAGAGGAACAAACATCGTTGTGAGTAGGCATACGCATATGATAAGCAAACGCCAAGCTTTTCGAGCATGATCAGACAGCAAACTCTGTCCTGATATGGAGAATTATAAGTCTAAAAGGATGACACGGCTCTACAAGTAAGCATCTTCAGATCGCTCAGACGGGCGCATGCTCGCCCCGCGGCCACCGAAGGACATGGCTGGATTGGCCTTGTAATTGGTTTGAGCTGTAAAGTGTATGGTAGGAGGTGCTTGGATTCTGCTGGTATAATAATAACAGCACATTCATCGTTAGAACCCAGTTCCTCGGTGCAGGGCGTGCTGCAACTTAGACTGGGACCACGTCAACAGAAGATACCCTCGCTCCATGGGAGTAGTCTGACTCAGCAGCAGGGGATTTAATACAAGGACAAGCCCATTGTGGCGCCCAGCTGTCCAATGGCATTGAGCCTGCCCCTTAGACTACCTTACCCGAAAAGTGCGAATACGATAGGAAGTACGAAAGGCTCCACGGAACAGGTACAGGTTGTACCCCCTCTATTGACCGTTCTTCAATCTTTCAACGGTACGCGCCAACAAGGCCTCTGCGTACTTTAGCTACTAGGCCGGACCAGCTTCACCGAGGTTATTTCTTGCGGCAAAGATGCCGGCCTAGATCTTGCGAGCATCGACCTATCGTCTCGACCCTCGAGATCCTCCGCGCCAATACACCGAACTCCTCGGACAAATGCCGAGTACGAATATGCAGTCGAACCCGTCCAGACGTTCCCACCCAAAGACTCGAACTGGTTGTAAGACCTGCAAGACAAGGAAGATCAAGGTATGCGCACGCCAAATTTTTCCTTGGAACACGCGCAACTGGACGGCCTATAACAATGGCGATGGGCTTAGAGACGCCTGTGCTAGTATTATTACTGGACTTGGACCCGGCGAAGCCGATGGGATGGCTATGTCGGCGTCGGTAACCCGCGTACGGCCTTGACGGCTAACGTACCACCTCTAGTGCGACGAACAGAGACCGGCATGTAAAAACTGCATCAAGCATGGCGTTGCGTGTGGCTTTCTGGCGTCCCCGTCGTTGGATCCGATGCTATCCCTGTCTCAACATGCCGGCGACCTGAACTTCCTCGATCTCGAGCTGTTGCACCACTATTGCAACTTCACCGCCCATACTCTTTCCGAGAACCCTCTATTGCGCGAGTTTTGGCGCATCAATGTTGTCAAGTTGGGACTTGAATGCGACTACGTCATGCGCAGTATCCTCTCCCTATCGGCTCTCCACATTGCGCATTTGAACCCGGAAAGGAAAGATAGCTTGCTAGAGAAGTCCATGGCCCATCACGAAATGTCGTCGCGGACGGCCGTCAACTTGATGCAAAACGTACAAGACGAGAACAAGGCACCACTGTTTATCTTTTCAGTCTTGACCATCTACATCGGTAAGAGATTCGCATCTGGTGGATGGCATTAACTTGCTGACTTACCATCGGCCGCCAGTGCTTGCAAACTCCCGGTATCTGAACGAGGCGCCCTTGGCCAGCTCAGAACAATCTCCCGACTGGATCGTCTTGTTCTGCGGGACAAGGTATCTGGTCGGAGAGCCGAATACAAATCCCCTGATTTCCCCAATCATTAGCCGAACAGTAGCGCACTTCCAGTTCCGAGAAGCTCCATGCCATCACACCCATTTGGGAGATCTGGAAGCCAACATCAATGCGTCGGAGAGCGACGACGGGCTTCTGGCTATATACAACCACGCCATCAACGAGCTCTACAAATCATACGGCGTGTTCTATGGAAGCTCAGAACCACAAGACATCATCAACGTCTTCATCTGGATAGCCATGGTTGCCGATGACTTTCTCCCCCTCCTGCGGGAATCAAGGCAGAAGGCCTTGGTCATTTTCCTGTATTTCTGCATGCTTCTCCGACAGCTACGCAGCCAGTGGTGGCTAGATGTTTGGGCCAGCAATCTCTATGCAAAGACGTATGAGCTGCTGGACGAGGAACATAGGTCTTGGATCAGAGATCCAACAATCCAAAACCCCGATATTTGCCTGTGAAAGCCCCTCGCTTTGGACCTGTGGTCTTCCCAGCGGCAAAACCGCCACAATTGCCACTCACTGCCGGTAAGCCGTCGTGAATGGTTCCACTTTGGGTTGCAACGGCTTCTTCGTGTCGGTCAGAGAATCCGACGACGGAAAGCGGTGGGCTGTGACTGAAGCCTCCCGTCCCCTGAGAACGTTTCCCAGCAGGGACGAGCTACCGCTGAGCCCTAGGTATTCTATCGCTTTGTCGAATACTTCTACTCAAGGTGCTCAAAGAAACGGCACCAAAAAGGCCGGTATGTTTGCCACCGCGGGAACAGTATCCAAGGTATAGTGGCAGATTTGGCGAGACCAGATCATCGCAGCCGTCTTATCGGTGGCCAGAGACATGGATGATGCCTCGACGCCAACAATGACGAGAGCCATAGTGTAGAAAGCGCGGAAAGGGCTTCGCCAAAGGCTGGTCGCTTCGATCGCTACGGTGGCTGGGTATCTGCATCTTCAGTGGTGGAAGAGAGCCGTCGTGACGTTGGAGACATCCGTCAAGTCGCCTGGAAGCCGCCGACGATGACTATTTGCTAACCAGCGTCATAGAAGCCAAGTTCCTGCGGGCCAAGCTCGTTCCCCTCTTGTCTGCATCATATATGAACCGATGCTGTCACTGGCAGAGGACTCGGTAATATGAGGCACCGAGAGTTGGGGTGATGTTTCTAGCTCGTGCGGGGTTCGAATGGGTTGATCGAGAATTGTGATGATCGGTGAACAGTTTGGATGCGAAGCCGGCGCGTTCTGAAACCGCTCGGAGAGCGAGACCACCAATGACCATTAGGTCGCATTCGTCATCGTCTTTATCCGCAACTCTCGGTTGTCTGGAACGGCTAAAGATCAGTATGCGAGCAAGACAAGGGGTGGCCGCAGAGACTGCCTCGCCGTGGATGTAGTCAGGGGAGCTCAAGGCGAAAATACCCAAGTAGAGGAAGCTTTGGACTTGGCCTTGACGCAAACGTCGAAGCTAGGTCGAGATGACCAAAGCAACATTGAAAATAGTGTCAGTCACCAGGGGCAGCATCTAGCAGGAGAAACAAAGGCTTCAAGCTAGCTAGCCAGGCAAATGCGGCTGTTTGCCCGGCGCCTTTAGTCGCGTCGTGTTCGTTCATGTCAGCCCCGCTCCGAGGGAGTAACTGTCCGAGGTATCTGAAGCAGAGGGCCAATAGGCGTGCATTAGATGGCAGCTAGTCAAGCGATCTGTACAGTGCTTCCCTTGTAAGCAAACGACATAACGACGAGCGAGTTCGAAGAACCAAGTGAAGATAGGATGGGTAAACGGAAGAGAGACGTCGAGAAAATGAAACGGATTCGAGGACCCTCTTTAATAGAGCAGTTCCCCTTTGTCTCATAGGATGAAAAGTGCGCAGTGCATGCTGCCAGTCAGGATTCTTGCATGTCTCGCATTTAACCGAATCCGAGGGGATCGGACACTTCGCCAATCGCCATCACGTGTATTGTGTATGCCTAGCAAAAAGAACTGCGAGGCTTAAGTGATCGCTATTATGAACTACGACTGCAATATTATGCTTGCGCCACGTCTATGGAAGCCAAGAGGGTCCGGGCTACTCGTGCTCGCATGCAGCAATGTCCTTGATGCGGTTTAGAGTAGTGAATGCATTAGCAATGGTTGAATATTTCTCTTCGCATATTAGTCAAAAGACGAAAAAACAACTCATGCTTTCTTTGTGTCTTTAGCGACTCTTAGCTGGCAGATGGTTTGCAATAGGAACGGAAATTTCCCAGACCAGTAAAGTCTTGAACTTTTGACGTCGTGTTCACTCAGAGCGAGTCGTATTAGACACAAAACATCGCGTCATCGACCCTACTATACTCGAGAAGTCATGGCTGTCTTGGACAGTTGGACTTTGGGCGGAACAATCTAAGAAATTGACATCTGTCCTTTTGGATCGTCATGGTCTTTCAAGAACGTTGAGGCCAATTATGATATGGCAGATCAAATTTGGTGTGTGATCTGGAGGCAGCAAGAGGCCCTGTGAGACATCGGCCCATGAAATGGGCTACCTATACCGAAGATTTACAACCCAGCTAGCACCTTCTTAGCCCTCAGGATCTGCTCCCGCAGACTCACCAACTAGGGATGCACTGCTGACAAAAAGTCGTGCACCGTGACGAGTCCTCCCCAGAGAGGACGCCGTCACCACAAGCCGCCAGAACTTGGGCGGGAGTCAAATGGTTCCTTGGGGGGAGGTTCCATGACCTTCATAAATGCCTGCAGCGGCCATGTCTCAGAAAGAGTCGGTGAGCCTAGGGCTGACATTGCATGATTTACAGGTGATGATTGTGATTGCTGTTGCTTCAGTTATTATTTATAATGGTCGGTTTCATGCGTATATGGATGGTGAATGTAGTCTTTCCGCTTTTGCCAGAGGTAGTCAGTTTCCTGGTTATGTCACATTGTATGTAGGCACTCGGCGGTGCAGCTCAGAGGTGTACCAACTGAAAATGCATCTTTGTACCTCTGCTCATCATCTCATGCTAAGTTCGTCAAGAGCGGACAGGCAACAATACCATGATACTCCGTACCTAGCGAAGTGGGACTCCTACAGTCGATTAAATCCCAACTTGACTCAGATGGAATCCGGCTAAGGTATAGGAAACATGCAGAAAGACTTATCAGGCTAACCGAAATCATGCCCTTTCGAAAACGATGTCGTCTACGCTTATACATCAGGCCTGGAGCGTCAAACTTATATACCTACAGATAGCAGCACTTATTTCGGCGTTTTATGCTTCTTACTCTTACTTCACTCTCGTTCTGCTTCACAGTTGACACGAGTTGCTTCGTTGTATGTTCCGTGATACTCCCCGAGGCCTGCTGCGCTTTTGCTCAGCACCAACGCAGTCCATTGCCTCACTATGAGCGGTCAACTTTCACCCTAGCTCACTTCGCTCACCCGACGCCTCACTCTCAAAGCAGCGTCAGTGGGTGAGACTCTAGAGAGTATTGAGCGAAGGGTTCATGGAATATGTCGCCATGCCTGCAACGCCCAGTCATTCCCTACTGACTCTTAACTGAGACCAATCCCATATTGGCCGCTTTTACACCTCACCCATGGCAGAACGACGCACACCACTTGTGCATCAGTGTGGGGCTATGGCGGGAACCTTGAACTTTATTACGGCAAGGGCTTGATTGCCTACACTTCCATGAAGTTGACCGTTGTCATCGATTCCCACAGGTCCGGTGCCAACCTCGAGGACATCAGCATGTACTTCAACCAGAATCAAAAGAGGATGCAAATCTCCAAGTCCGTCAGCTATGCATATACCACATATATTCGAGAATAACCTGCTTATGCGTGCTTGGTTGATCAACGAACATAAGAGTAGTATCTCAGGTAGCTATCATGCTACAGACGTTGACATTACCCGTCTGGAACGTAATCTTTGCGGAAGTTAGTTTAATGAATGAATACGGTAAACTGTCATCCTCTACTCCTCCTGTAGCAGGGCTTTACTTACCAAATACTGCACAAACGATGCTCTCCGATATATGCCATCAAACTTGGTGACAACTGACGACAAGAAGCAGAAATTGTAGCGAACCAATCGGCGCCAAGCTACCTACATCTACATAAACAAGTGGCTCGGAAATATCTGTCGAGTCGCATTCGCTGAGGCGTTGAGACGATTTAAAGCATGTTTGATTAATCGCCGCCATTGTGTCCCCCCCCCGGCTGTACATGCAAGATTTCGTGAACCCCGGATTCATCCCAGTGTTCGGAGATGGAAGATCAAGTTTATCACATTCCTACCATCCACTCCTGTTGCCATATCTCAAGTACTGAGGAGTTGCAAGCCTGATTCGAATTGCGAGACCCTAAACCCGTGGCGGGGGGGTGCGTGGCTCTCGATTGACTTTTGGAATGGTTCAAATGATTGACGTAAAGGTGTGACGCCGATCGACGAGATAATAACGGCAACTAGCTTACTCAACAGCCGCCAGATCGGGTTCCTGAGTGACTCGTCGACTCGACCAGTGCGGGGTCAACCGTCCGAGAAACTGTCTCCAACCACGCCGACCAAATGACCATTCCGGATACCGATATCATATTAATTCTCCCCGCCTCCGGCAGATGAAACCATTAATTTCGGATAAGAAATGGCTCGAGAGTCGGATACATACTTGGAGAACCTGCCGACCGAGGTCCTGCTCCAGATACTGACACAGATCACCGACATCCACTGTCTCTGGAATCTCCTCGCCTCGTCACCAGCAGCAGGACGGGTGTTTAATCAATACTGCGATGATATCTTCTGGCCTTCTGTCCTCGATGGCATCATACCACCACAGACCCAGGATGTCATACGGTGTGTAGTCTCCCTCCGCTCTGGTGCTTTCCGAAACACACCGTTGGATCAGCTCGCCGGTAAGATCAGAGATCGCGAAGCCGGCATCGTGCTCGGCCAGAGCTCGGAGCTGGGCTACAGCCTTCCAACCATAGACACGACAGCCAAGCCTTCACTGACGGTGATGCGGTCCATCTTGGCAGTCGCTACCCGGATACACTCCCTGAGCCGACTCTGCATCGGCCATTATCTTGCGACCCTCTCCGCCGCCAAGGCCGGGGGTCGGCTGGGTACCGCGCCAGAAGGGTTGACCGACGGTCAGCTGTCGTGGGTGGAGGAGCAACGTACCATTCGCGCTTTCTGGCGTGTTCAGCTGGTGCACGAATTGAATCTCGCAGCGCGCACGTCGAAAGTACAGTCTTCTGATGAAGGCGCCGGCACACCGGGAGAACTTGATGTCGAGGCATTTTACGACAGCACCACGAGCAACCTCAAAGTTGCGTATCACGAAGTCATGACGGCGTTAGACTTTCTCAAAGAGAGTGAACTTGGGAAAGCCCCCGGTCAGACCACAGCGTTGAAGCGAATGCCGTCGAAGAATCATCCGGGAATGAGCATCTCGCCATCGACTGCAAGAATGCCCCCCGACCCTGCCACCCGAAGGTCGTCTTTGGTACTGCCGGCGGACGGGCTCTGGATCGTGGACAGCATGGGAAGGAATGCACACTCGCCAATCAAGTATGCCGGTTTCGGGCCGTACAGGAAGATGGGATTCGCGATCTGGGATCGGGAGAGGCTCGCGAGGCTGGGGCTGGCCAGTCCGCCAGGTCATGGCCGCGTCACGGGCCTGGGGTCCTACTTTTCTTTCTGGCTGAACCTTCTGGACACGCAGGAGATGTCCCGTGCCGAGGAGCGGATGCGGGAAGCAGAGTGTCGTGGTGGGCGGCTGGACCCGCTGCAACCCATGATACAGGATAACGCGTCCTAAGGGGATTGACGAGGACCGTTAGCCCAAGCATACTGAAACTGTTAGCCGCTCCTTATGCATTCGTCCCTCAGGCTGAAGAGTCAGCCAGGTTGTGCTTACTCAGTCTCAACTCACTCGCTCGAAAATGCGATATAGCTGGCAAACAGCTGGTGCCAACTGTTCCACTAGCCGTCCTTCACTACTTAGGCTCTAGCGGAACTAGGATGCACGACACTATCCGTACACGAAGAGGGGTTACTTTGACCAAGCCCGGCTTGCTGGGAATCCGCGGCGAACATGCTATCTGAGGTGAACCACGTGTTTGTCGCGTGTAGCATCCCTGCAAGGACGAGGAAACATAACCCCCGGTTGCGACACCTGGCCCTGCTGATCTCATCTCCAAAGGTCTACTCGGCGCGCACAGCGGGAGGCAGCCGTGGTCGGATACAAGAGAGGAATGCTGCCTGCATGGGAGCGCTCCGACGGGCTAAGCGCCCTGGGTCCGGCGAGGCGGTTCCTGAAACCAGCCACACTCGGCGCGCATCTGCCTGGGTTAACTTTAAGTGACTGAAAGCTTGCAACGAGGTTCGCTCTGCCGGTGACGGACGGGGGGATGGACTCAAACTTCGTATCTGACACGCGAGGCACGTATGTGCCTCTGTAAACATGGGCCGAGGCAGCAGCGTTTTCTGCATCTATATTAATCGTGCACGCTCGTCCGCGTCGCCCCCATCCGCCAGGGCCGAATTGTTCTTCCTCTTCTTCCCCCGGACAAAAACAGGACACATCGGCCCACCCCCATTAGGGACTCACCGCTGGTGCAGTTGTTTCCCGCTCCGTTTTGTCTCGAAACTCGTGCCAACTGCCGTCTCGCACCCACCCTCCCCTCATCTCTCTCCGACATGGATCCCATCCGCGCCCGTAAACGACCCACTCCGGGATCGGGGACAGTACAGCGGGTCCGGCCATCCGCCCGCCAGGTGTCCGAGACGAGGCCGGACCAGCGCGTTGGCTTCACGGACCTACCGGCCGAAATCCACCTCCTCATCTCCCAGCAGCTCATCTACCCCGACGCGCTCTCTCTGAAGCACACCAGCAGCTACTTCTACTACCTCGTCGACACGGGCGTGCGCCTCAAGGTGGAATGGCTCATGGAGCGCCGCATGCTGCACCTCGAGTGCCCCAATGATAGGCGGTGCGACCTCGGCAGTGACCTTCGCTTCTGCAGAGGCAGCGTACCGTACGTACTCACGGCGGCGCTTTCGCATATTTTTTTTCCCCTCTCCGTTTCCTTTCCTTTCCTTCTTATGACGTTCGAGCACTGACCTTCCCCCCCCCCCTTTCCAGTCTTCTGATGCAGAGACGGCGAGAACACATGGAGTGCGAGTCGAGACCGGGCCTCGGCTGCCTGGTCTACGGCACGTCCGTGTGCTCCCACCGCCGAAAGATCAGCGCGCGATGCCAACGCTGGCTGAGGCGCAGGCTGACGGTGGAGCTGTGGTGGGTTCTGCTCGCCCTGCTGCCAGTCGTCCTGTGCTGGCTCTGGATGGGCGATGTCGTGGCATGGACTCCCGGAAGCACTACAGGTTTGAGCCCTTCGCCATGACAGAGTCATATGATTCGGCGACGAACTGAAAAGCTTTCAACGGGGGCGTCTATTCTTATCTCTCGCCTTTTTCAGAAAGGGAATGCACAAGGCGTCGTGGCATAGTATATTCTTCTTAGATCCTTGTGATAGTTTGCCTGGTACCTTACTTGATGGGTGTCTCAAGCGCTAAGTGACTCTATTGGAATGATGAAGGCAGGCGTTCAACATCTCATGCATTGAACGCTGTATATGATTGGTTTACACACTTTGGCTGCTGGTTTGTTTGCATCTGACTATCTAGATCTAAGCGTTTTCTGTAGCCGTTTTTTTTTTTTGTCGTCAGCTACTTGTGATGAACCCCCCGAATTCCGCTGGGAAACTGCTTGGAAACAATGTAACGCTTTGCAAGCATCTTTCAGCTAGAGTTTAGTAGTCCCTGAAGACTTCCTAGTCTGGTTTGTAGATATAGTCGCCGTTTGTGTTTCGCGTGCAGGGAGTGAAACCCATCTACTCTTGAGAGCACGAATTCCAAAAGGTTCGCCATGAGTGCTCTTCACGCAAAACCAATAACACTGTCATTCACCTACGTGCTTCAAGACCTCAAAGGCATGGCAGGATTCAATCCCTTTTGTTCAAAAACCGACACCCGCGCCGCCTCTTCTTTGCGTCATCGACGTCTTCCTGGGCCACATCGGCACCGTTCTCCCTCCAGTCCTCCACGGAGAGATCGTAGTACTTCTCCCAGTCGGGCCGGCCGACGCCGAGCGCCTCGTGCGCCTCGCGGAGCTTAGGGTCCCTGCTTGCCAAGACGAAGCTCTGAAGCGCCTTCTCAAAGGCGACGACGATGGCCGCCATGCCAACGGCGCGCTCGTTCTGCACGAGGGCGTCCCATTCCTCGTCGGACAGGTCCTGCTTGTGCGCCAGCCAGGCCGCGGTGGTGGCCTGGACGACGGAGCCGAGCCGGGCCGCGCGCCGCAGGAGGCTGTCCTCCAGCTTATCGGCGAGGGCGATGTAGCGCTGCAGCTGCCCGCGCGTCAGCCGGCACCGGTCAAAGTCTTCGAGGAGCGTCTCAGCCTTGCCCTTGCGGAGGATGGCGCTCGAAATGAAGAAGGCCTCCTCGATGGGTTGCTCCAGGAATATGCGTCGGCTGTGCTGCCAGTCGCTCAGCTCCTCTTCCTGCGATGTCATGCTATCTTGGTTCATGTTGATCAAAGATCGCTTACTAGCTAATTATACTGTAGTGATATGTGACGGGGCGGATATATAACACGAGGTGATGATGAAGTAGATGGGTTTGATAATGTGCAAGGCTCAGTGACTATTAGCTATATAACCTAGGCATAACTAAGATGAACCGTAGCAGCGTTCCGCCTCAAAAGCGTACAGAAAGATGAGAGTGAGCGGCGACAATGTGCTGTCCCCAAAGCAGACAAAGATGTACAGTACTTGACATTGAATTGTTTTCGACCCCTTGTTTGAATAGCGCGGTTCTTCTGTGCCAAGATTGTCTCTATCCTGAGACAAAGTGGCATTCGGTTTTCTACCAATGAATCGCAATCTACTCAAGCTCGTTTATCAACGCATGAAGCATCGGTTGGATGTCTTTCTGCGAAACAGCCTACTTCAATTACCGCCATCAGGATACTCGGGCAAGTCCATAGGCAGCCCCCCCCCTATTCGTGTGCTATTTTTCGGCCTTGATAACCTCGACGAGGCCGCCGGTGCCTCAGAAATACAGCGGCTGGCTCATCATCAACATCAGGACGGATTATGCCAGTTGATCGCTGCACATTACAGGGTTGCTGTGGCATCGAGTACATTGGGTGGGTATGGAAACGGTATACTGTGATTGGATAGCCACCAGCATGGGGGCGCCATCAAAAAAAGGTGATCGAATTGTTCAAGATATTGGTTAGACTTGGACCTCATGTCGGAATGGTATTCTAGCCAGTTACATAATGCTGTGCTACGCTTATCTTGAGCTTGCAGTATTGCCTAGGCGCCTTTAAGAATTCGACTCTAAGCAGGTCTAGCACGAACCGCAACCGATGCAGGAGAAGGTCACTGTAGATGGACAATATAGCCGTATGAACGGCAAATCCATGGTCTGTTACCCTGTGCCAACATAGGCCGTGGCTCGTGATTCATTTCTATAAAAACAAAATGATCCCTTGTATGTACCTAGTCACCAGCCTGTGCGCCTCGCAAGAAACAAATGTCCTGAATGCGGCCTAGATGATGAGCGCGCCCAAAAAGAAACCCTCAACCGCTCGTGACATGCTTCTGGCGGCTCGCCAACCGTTGCCGCGTGGTCTGCAGTCTCTCCTCGTCCATGGCCGACCGCCAGGTGCAATCACCAGCAAACTCGCACATCCGGCACTTGTACGCCTCCTCAATCTGCACCCCCCGCGGCGCGCGATCCGCCCGCCACCACTCCATGTTGCTCTCCAGGTAGAGGTCCAGCGCCCGGTCGTCCATGGGGAAGACTTGGCTGTCGATGAGCGAGCCGTCGCCTCGGTACCTGTACTCAACGGCGAGCAGCCGGCCCACCGAGTCCGCGCCGTGGGGAAACGTCTCCTTCAGCTCCGACACCAAGAGGGACAGCAGCTCGCGCAGGGTCCTGTACTTGATCAAGTCGGGCGCGGAAGAGGACGCTCTGTTTGATGTCTCGGTTGCCTCTGTTTCACTGGTTGTTGTGTTTGATGATGATGGAGTGTAGTCTTCGTCTATGGACGAATCAACGTCGAAGAGCTCGTCATGCAAGCTACCCATCTGGGCAATGAACGAGTCCGAGAACGGCGCGTCGGGGTCGAGCCCGTACCGACGGAAGACGCGGAGGTAGTCCAACCTGCCGGCCGCCATTTCCGACATGAAGCGCTGATAGAGAAAGAGCTGCACCTTAGCCGGCCGCAGCAGCACAGGGCTGTTCGGCGCCTTCGTCGAGCCACGCGTCTTGACATCCGTCAGGTAGATCTGGGGCACTTGTGCCTGCTTCTCAGATGGGAAGTAGCTGGTGATGCTCCCCTGGGTCTGGTCAGCTGAGCCCTGGCTCAGCTGCCGTTGGAACTCCGGATCGGGGTTCTCGTAGCTCAGGCCGTCGACGACACCGTTGACGAGGTTCCCGTCGACGAAGCCCCAGACCTCGAGCTCGCGGGTCATACCTGTTTCGCGAAGCGTGCGGAGGCCCTGGACGACGTTCCACATGCGCAGGCCGAAGCCATCTTCCTTGCTCGCGATCTCGACGCGGACGGTGGTATGCACCTCGTCCTCGAGGGCCTGGTGTACCTTGGTCCCTTGCTTCATGGCCGCCGTCCGTGTCTTCCGACCTCCCGGCAGACGGGTCAGGGTGTAGAAGTACTGAAGCTCGCACCAAGCGCCGGAGGTCAGGTCGGTGACGGTGAAAGGTTTCCGAGGGAAGGAGCGGAACCGCACGAGCGGCGATCGGGTGTCATTATTTGCCGCGTCGACAGAGGGGTCGTCTGTCTGTTTCGGCGGCGAAGGCGCGCGGGCACCGCCTGGGTTAGCCTTGCTCACTAGACGCTTATAAGTCAGTCAGTCTTCGGCGAGCAGTTCACTCCTTTGCTTGCGAACATATACTTACGATCCGGGTAGTTGACGGTGTGACCAGGCGACGACGGGGGAGCATCGGCGGGGCTCCTGTCGCGGCGGCCACCAGCTCGCAGAGCCCCTTTGGCCGTGCCGAACGGCCGAAAAGAAAGCGCATCGGCGGGAACATGATCAAGTCTCGACTCCTCTTCGGCGATGGTGTCGATGCCGAGATGCGAGACGATGGAGGGCGCAGTGGGGTTTTGCGAAGATGTGGACGTGGGGGCGGGGCCGTCGGTAATGAGCTGGCTCAGCAAAGTCTCGTCTTCAAGAGAGAGATCGTAGCCATATTCGTCGTCAGAGTCGAGTGAGAGCGAATTTGCCATGGCGGCACACCGCGGAAGTGCCAGGTCGGTGTATCTGGGGTTGGAAAGGGAGAGCGAGACCCATGTCAAGGGCGTCACGACTCGGGGGGATCGCCACTAACGGGTCTGCCTGGAGCGCGTCGAGATGCGCTGATGAAGTCGCGTGATCACGGGGTTTTCAACTGGGATAGACCCACTCTATCGACATGACACCCAATCAGGGCCGTGTCACTGCCAGCAGCCGAATGCTTACGTCAGCAGCTTCAGCAAGCCTAGCATTCATTGCAACCAAGCTTCTTTTGTCACTCATGGCGGTCTCTAAGAAGTCTTTGTGTGGACGCTCAGCCAAAGCTGATATTGTTGTTGATTCTACCTACTCAAATACTCTCTGTATCCCATAGGCAGGAAGAGTTCTGTGTGTATGCGTCTTCCAACTCGACTTCCTGCCCCATGGCATACCGCATCCTTACTCCCATCCCCTTAGGGCAGTAGCTTGCTCTTCCGGTACTGCAATCCGCCAGGTAACACAACGGTGACAAGTGCTGGTGCATGGTTTGCCATTTCATCCACTCATAGGGAGGACAAATTTGCCATCTCAAGAGAGCTGTAAAGACCACAGCGTGGTTTACTGGAGCTTCCCCCTTGCACATCGATCGTGCTGCCATCACCGTGCGGTTGTGCGTCGGTTGGGGATTTCGCCACTCGAATACCGTCAGTTGTGCCGAAAGATCCTTCAAAGCCGCATGTTTTTCGTCCGCGGTCATTAGCATGTCTAGGTAATCGATGTTGAAAAGACCTGTTGCAAGTTCGCACCAGGCGGGCTGGTGTGGGTTGGTGAAGGCACTAGGCAAGGGTGGTAGGGAAAAGTAATATGGTCGAATTGGAACTACCATGCTAATAGAGCGCTGGGAAATGTCCCAGTTGTTATCTTGCTCTGCATCCTGTTGGCTCGTGAGCTGCGGTTGGCTTGCAGAATCGTCCAAGGGCCACATCATAACGCGTTGGCTGCGGATGCTTCGTGTGTGCTTTCTTTTGACCCTGGACCGTCTTGTCTCAACAAGTGGACTGGACTGTTGCGAGAGGTCTCTAGAGCGCATGTACTGAATGATAAGAGGATGGGAACTCGAAGTCTTTGGGAATACTTTGATCAACTAGATTGGGCTGGTCCGTATGATGAGGTGTGCTGTCGTGAAGCATCCGAGAGGAAATGAGGTCATGGGAAGGAGAAAGACGCGGAGGTCTTGTTTAAGTCGAGGCCGGGGCAGATAAAAAGGAAGGTCCTGATTAAGTGTGAAGGTGATGATCCGGAAAGCAACTTCCGCGCCGATGCCCCAAGTTTGAGCCACTTATTGAAGGCGAGAGGAAGGCGGATTTGGGTGGCAGAGAAGGTTCTATCATCCGTGCCGGAGTTGCAATTTCCAACGCCGCAAGTCAAGTACGTTCTGTCAGGACTCAGTGACCATACCAAACTCAGTGCTGACCACATTATCATGGCGTGATGCAGCAGTTCTCGTTATGCTAGGATGCGGACGAAGTGCACCGCCAAGACTGTGGCCTGCATGAGAGGGACAATACACGAGTTTCCATGAGGCTTTCTTGAGGCCCGCACATGAAATGAATAGTGGCACGAGAGGATGGGAGAATATATTCAATGCTTCAGTATGAATAGCCGGATCAATTTAGGATTCTATTGATAAGCCACTACAGCCAATTGTCTTCTGAGTTCTCTAGCAAGGCCCTGCGTTCCATCGCTCGACCACAGTGCCACGCGTAGCCAGTCATTATCTTTCTTCTTCCTCCAGATCATTTCATGAATTACGAGCATGACCTTTATCCGTAGGCCATAAACAGTGTTCCACATCAAGTCCGCCATTCACAATCAAAGCAATCCATGTCTTATGTCCAATATAGAACCGACATCAACACTTCCAATCAGCTCTGCCACCACGCATTCCGAGCCGTTTCTCCTTCAAGTATCTTTGTGAATTCCCTTGCGTAATCAACCACTCTTGAACAGAATCCGAGGTACGCGACGCCACGGCGAAGGTCTACCGTCACATTCGGTCTTGGTCGGTGCGGCATCCTTGTCGAGAGCCTCATTGATCCGTTCGTAACTGCCCTTGACGATCATGCCCGCGAGGTACTCGCGAGAAGCGTAGTTCTCGTCCTTGATGAGCTGTACAGCCGACTTCTCTAGGTCGGTCCAGCCAGCTTTGTGGAGGTCGACAACGAAGGATGAGAGGGCGACCCTACGGACGCAAGTGTCTTCGTAGCGCGCAACTTGGTCAAGAACCTCGGTTGTCTTGAAGATTTTGCCGAGCAGGATGTTGTGGTTGTCTCCGTTCAAGGACTCAGACGTGACGACTGGGTTCCGGCGAGCGCGGCGGAGGCTGCTTGTGGGAGAATCGATCTGTTCTTGAGCCTGAGTTGCATTGTCGTCATTTGTGGAACTGCCCCCAATCTCAGGCTGTCTGATTGTCTTCTTGGGAGTCACCTGCTTCTTGGGAGTTGGTGTTCTCTTTTGAGGCGCTCTCTTCCTCTTGGAAGGGGTTGACTTCCACTGGGGAGATAGCTCTGGGGACGCCTTACGCTTTTTCGACGGCGAAGTGGGCGAGAACAGATTGGTAACTGCTCGAGTCCACGGTCGTGCTGCCGTGTTGGCGCATTTGTCTGGCGTCGCCGCAGCAAAGTCGCCCGTAAATGCGGCACATTCCGTCGTGGTGCCAGGAATACCGTCTCTCGGCTTGACCTTCACCATAATGACTGCTTTATCGGGCATGACGGCCTTCATGGACTCCGGGTTATACTTCTCGACGCCGTTGGCGCATCGTTCGAGGTACCGAAGGGCATCCAATCGCTGCAAGATAGCTTCCGTATCGTTCCACGCGTCCGGGGGCATCAAGCTGTACCGAAGGAGCGCCGTGTAGATATTGACGTCGATGAGAGGTCGCTTTCCTGCCATCATCTTTCGGACAGTTTCCACAACCTTGCAAGATCCAACCGCTCGGCTGTATGTAGAGATGTTGGAGTCGGTAATTCGGTTCGCAAGGAGGCTCAGAACCTCGTTCTTTTCGGCGCTGTTCAGGAGAATGTCGTCCTCGTCGACATTGAACAGCTTGGTAGCTAGATTAAGCCAATCCTTCTGCCATTGAATCGCATGGTGAGGTTGCATAGCCCACTTGTATTTACCACTGCCGCCTCGCGGTTGGTTGCGTCTTCGTACCTCACCATCACTGCTGCTGCTGTTGGAATGGGACATCCCGTCTATTGATGCCTTGAGATTCTTACTGTTGTATCTTATAGAGTTGCCGAGGTCAAAAAATAGAAGCTCAAAGCTGCGAAGAAGGAATTATCGAGACGACGAATTTGGCGTCGCAAGGTGAAAGAGGTTTGGTTGCCTTGTTTTGATACCAAAAGAGGAGGAACCACCTGGTACTTTCCTCCTAAGAATGAAACAGCCGTGAAGAGACGTGATGGGCATAGTGAGTCACTAAAGGCCGAAAAGCCTTCACAGCAAAGTTGTGGTCCATGAATACGGACTGACAATGTTCATGACACCCTTTACTTATCGGAGCTTGCTCTGGGCTTGACTAGCTGTGGTGAGTTGTGAAGCAGTCTTGAGGTCTTTCTTTGATAGGCTAATATGTTCAAGAGACACATTGTTTCTAAACAATTATGCCCGCGCCTGATTTTACTTATTAGTTTAGTTGTCCGTTGCACCCAGAAGAGCAGAGAGACTCTGTTAAACAGATCAGAACCGACAATTCGAAAGCCACTTCATGATATCCAGCCTTGGTTTTCCTGCAGATGGTGTCACAACAATTTTGACATGCAAACTAGCCGTGATGAGCTGAGGTTTTCAAACCATCACATCGGCATCTTGATATCGACATGATTGATAAGCTCAAATATAGCCACGAGGTGATAATGATGACGATGCCAATACTAGTGATATTTCCTTTTCCGCCGTGTGTAAATGACGAAGATGTCTTCATCATTTGCTTTCTCCAATCCCTTCAATATCAAGTTTTTCGTCGCTGTAGATAATCCCACCCCTGGAGGAGAAAAGAGCCATTTTCCATTTCGCTTCAATTTTCCAACAACCTCCAGCAATTGCGGGATAACACCCCTACCGAAGCCCCCTCCACCATTCTCGGGCATCGTTCTGCCCGTGCTATCAACTCTGTCACTGTTGATCAATGAAAAGAAGACATGAGATGGGTGTTTGGATGACGTACTTTGGGAATGTATCGGTTCTGACTACGTGCTTAGATGTATCATGCGATAACCAGGCCAAGAAGAACCAAAGCTTCCAAGGAAATGGTTATAATGTCCAGAGGTTTATGTTCACCCAATCGAAGAAGATCCATTCAAGGGACTAGTCAGGGGTAAGCCAGATGGCAATTCATTAGTAGGGAAAAACAACAAGTCTAAATGAAAACTCACTTCACAGTGTGCCGTCCGAATGGTGCTTGGCAACTGCAGCCATCTTCTCCTCAAGATCCGCCGCAAGCGCCTCCGCGAGCATGATGCGCGTTTCTTCGTCCTCGTTCTCGGTGATGTTATAGGCTAACGCATCAGAATCTGCCTCCGATGTGAACGCGAGGTGCTTCCGGAAGGCCTTCAGCGTGACTCTGCGAGATATTGCGTCATGGAGACGCGCCACCTTGGCCAGCTTGTTGGCAGCGATGAAGTCGAGTACGAAGGCGGCGCTCTCTATCACAGAGGGTGCCGTAGATGGTGCCACTGGTTGGGTCTTTCGATTTGTGGTGAGGGATACCTCTCTAATGAACTGTACCTCGTCATCGCTGTCGTGTGTCTTCTCAACCTTGACCTCATCCTCGTCATCGATGACGAGTGCCGTCAAGGTTTGCCGAGAAGGTCGGCTACGCTTGGGCCTCGAATCAAGTTTGTCGTGCTGTCCAATTTGGCGCTTCTTCGTCTGCGTGCCTGGTATCTTTGCATATGCCGGGGTCGCTCGGCCTTTGCGGCAAGTCTCGCGTCGTCCTTCAAGATCATCTCTACCGGCGACAGCCGCCCTCGAAGAAAGCGCCTCCCAGGGAGAAAGTGAGAGGTTTGGTATACACCCAATTTCTTCTTCCGGTACTATGGTGACATATGCCTTTGCAGGGTATCTATTGTCCAATACACTGTTCCTGGTTGATACGATGGAAGAATTGTGAGCAGGGGCGCCCCTCTGCACTGGACCGGTATCGATAAGCTTGCGGTCGGTTTTCTCCTCTTCAACTTCTTCTTCTGCCTCATCGTCGAAAGGCTTGAGATTCGCACTCGTGTGGGTTGTATCAGTGTTGTCTTCAGACTCGGACGTTTCAGACCCTGAGAATATGTATTCCGAGCCATCTCCATCCGAATCATCACAAGACGATGACTGGTCTTTTACGATGAAATCATCGCTTAAGGAGGACTCGTCATGGCAAATTTGGCGCTCTCGTTCGCTGAGTTGTAGTTCAGATGAGGCCTCCGGGATAAGACTCGACGGTTCTGCGAAGGAGCTGCTCATAACCTTCCTTAGCCAAGACCTCTGCCGAGCTGTGCGGGCTGTCAAAGTGTCATCCCTCCATTCTTCGAAGAACAAGACGTTACAAACGCCCCCTGGGACAGAGATAGCCTTGCAAACGCCGTTTGTGTCTGGACAGTAGAGAGCGAATAGCTTATTTTTGCTAGTCCCACCAGCCTTATAGACAACCTTGAAGGCTTTGTTGACATTGAAATGGGTGAGGACTGTGGCTGAGCAACTGTTGACACACTGACCGGGTTTGGAAGAGCGGTCTTCGTAGTGGCGGTGAAGGCGCGGGACGAACCATCCGATCCAGAAACAATGGTAGTCGGTACCACAGTTCTCGAGGGCTTTCTCATGAGTGGTGGGCAAGCGCCAGCTATCATGGCGCCGATTCCAATCTTTAAGGATTTCACTCCTGGTCTTGAGCCACTGGCGTTCGACGAATTCGGAAGCAACGAGGCGCATTTTCTGTGGACGAGGTTCAGCCGACCAGAGACCATCGTCGAAAGCATCTAGCCAGACGTTGTAGGCGATATTGCCAATAGCTTTTCCGTGTTCAGGCGCCATGACGTAACCCTGTTGTTGAGCGCAAAGAGTAAGTGGCGAAGAAAACCACGTAGAAACCAAAGGGGAAAGGAAAAGGAAGTGGTGGTAGGTGGATCGATAAATGAGGTCGGAGAGGCCGCTGGTGTGAAGCTGAGGCTCCCACGACTGCCTAGTCTCTTCAGCGACTGAGGGTCAATAACTAGTTTTTTTTTTCAGTTGTGCTGGTGCCTAAGAGAAAGAAAGAGAGTTCTTCCTGCTGCATATGACCTTTTGTATTCGAGAAAAGCAACATTCGTAGGAAAAGGAGTAATAGAGAGAATTCGCTGTACGGGAGGTGAAGGGATAAGAAATGGGAAGAAGGTCGACCACTTAGGCAGCAACCGAGAACCCATGCTTTTAGATACTGTATATAAGAGGAAGGATCGATGGGCTACCATCGAATATCTTGGCGATCTGGTTGTAGCCATGGAAAGCCCTAGGCTGATGAGGTTTCTCTTGTAGAGGTTGCTGATTCTCTCATTGGACAGATGAGTAGGTTTGTACTTCGGCTATGCATATAATTTGAACAAGAGTTGAGAAGCTTGTACATGTGCGCCAAGGAGAACTATTGCGATGTTGACCATCGCGGATAAATATCGGAGTTATTAGGTTAACCCTGATGACTCATCGCCGGCGAATCCTCAGATATTCAGCCATAGATTCTCTAAGGATTTATAGGCAATAAGTTAGTTATTTAACTAACTAACCTACAATAATTATTCTTCTTTTCTTTACGTATAATAGAGAACTATAGTTACCCCCTATTATTTATTAATTACTACTAATATATATAGTTAACTATATTAACTTATCCCTTAGTGTTACTAACACTAATTAGTAGTTAACTTTACTGTTAACTACGTAGGTTAACTTTACTGTCTAAACTATAAATTAGCAAGGACTATAAGAAGAAGTAATTATTACTAGTTAACTATTTGTACACCTAGAGTAGGCAAAGACTAAAAAACGCCTCTGTAAATACCCTTACTATAATATTATACTAATTACCTATTATAATAGGTTAGTTAATAGATCTATAACTAGTCCCCTTAACTAGTAGAAACCCTATTAATTTATGTCTATTATATAAGCTTTATTACCTTTAGAGAAGTACTCTTAACTATAAAAAACCTCTTACTTTATATACCTATAGCTAACTAGTAATTATTTACTATATCCTATTTATTATAAGCTTTTTAGCTTACTAACTTCTTTTTTTATATATATACTTCTTTTACTAACTAATAGTGTTAATAAGTTACTAATATAATAGCCTATTATTTTTCCTCCTTTTATTAACTAATAGCGTTAATAAGCAGCTAATATAATAGCCTATTATTTTTCCCTAAGTTATTTACCTACAAGAGTGTATTTTTCCCTAGTTATCTATACTACTAGTAGTAATCCCTTTAATAAACGTATACGCCTTCTAGTCTACTAGAAGAAACGCCTATATTTAAGAGGTTATTAGGCTAATAAAGGATAATAGTAAATAATACTACGCCTATAAGTAGAAGACCTAAGCTAAAATAAGTAAACAAGATAAGCTTATAAGTAAGTAAGGCTCCTAGGTTACTACGCCTTTGCCTATAAGGTAATAAAAAGAGGAGATTTATAGTAAATATAATATACTACTTAACGTAGTAAAGAAAATAGTAGTAATAAATAATATTATTACTATACCTTTTGCCCTTATATAGTATATTCTTTTATACTAATAGGGGAAAGATTATATTATAAGGTTACTAACTAACCTTATAGAGAAATAATAGTCCTTTATGCTTAACACTATTGTTATATTTTACCTTAGTAAATCTAAGTATAATAACTACCTTAGTAGTAAATTACTCTACTATATATAAAAAGACCTTACTAACTAGCTTATTAGTAACTTTAAGGCTATTAACCTAAAGGTCTTAATAAGTCTATATAACTTCCTTGTTAACTATAAAGTATAGGTTAACTATAGTAAATACTTATTAATTACTTAACGTATATTTAATACCCTTTAATAGGAGAAAGGCACTTACTAGACTAATAAAATAATTACTATTATTAAAAGATTATTATATAACTTTAGAGAACACCTTAAAGACTTTAACTTTATTAAAGATATTAAGGGCTATAAGATAATTATATATAAAGTAAAAATAGTTAAAGTACACCTATTACTAGTAACTAGCTACTAAACCTCTTATAATAACCTAACTTTTACTTTACTACTACTTATATTAACACTAAAACCTTATATAATAGCTAAAATTAATAGCCTATATATAATAACCACTGTACTACTATAGAAGCTTTTATTAACTATAGTAATATTAACAGTAATATTAAGGCTAACACTAAAGTAAATAAGTAACTTTATAAAGATATACTTTAATAACTAAGCTATAAAATACACTAGTAGCTAATATAAGACTATTAACTTAAAATTACTGTTATTCTATAACCTTTATATCTAGGTAAGTATAATATAAGACTACTATAGAGTAGTAATTTAAGTAATACTTTAAGGTAAACTATAAAAGTATTATACCTTTACCTTTTACTAATAGGTAAGTAATTTTAATACTCTAATAGTAAAGCTTAAAGAATAATTTAAAGGTAATAAGGTACACTTAGCCTATATTACTAAGCTTTACTATATATTATTTAACTTAGTTGCCTATAAAAACTATAGTAAAAATAAGCTTAAGATCCTTAAGTTACTTATTAAAAAGGTCACTAAGCTAGTTAAGGTAACTACTTATAATAGCCTACTAAAGGATAAAGATTATTATAAGTGCCTTATTACTTATTACTATAGTATACCTAAGTGTACTATAGCCCTCTTTAACTTACTAGCTATATTCTATAGCCTCTATATATAACTATGTAATAGAGTAGTAAATACTTTACTTTACTATAAGCTACCTATATAATACCCTATAGATAAATCTACTACAAAGGATAAGTAGTTTTAGGTTAACTATAAGTATAATAGTAGCTATAATAATTATACTAATCTATAGTAAACATAAGGTTCTTTATAAAGTAACTACTATAGTAAAAACTAGTGTAGTAATAAATTAACTAAGAAGTGCTTTATCTATAGTAAGCCTAGTTATTAGTTAACTAAATACACTAAAAAAGAGCAGTAATCCTTGTTTAACTAGTATAAAAGCACCTACTTTATATAAGCTTTACTAGCTACCTTTAACTACTTTTTTCTTAACTATAAAGGTTATAATATAAGTTATCTCTAAGAAGTAAGTAATAGTAAAGAATAACCTACTAATAATAATAATAACTATATAAATATAGTGTTCTTTATATCTACTACCTTCTTTATATAATTATTAATTAATAGCCTAACTATATTCTCTAAGTTATATAACTAGGTAACTAGCTATACACTTACCTATAAGAACCTACTAGAGAAGCTATTACCTAGTAAAACTATAAAAACTAATAAGATATTTACACTTAATAAGCACTATTTAGTAGTAACTTTTATAGTATTATACCTATATTATTAAGTAGTGTGTTTAGGGGGTAATTTATATAGTTAAAAGTAGCTTATTTCTTCTATTTATAGTGCTATAATCTATGTTTCTTAAATATTGCCTTGCTTAGTAGATTCTACTGCAAGTATTTATATTTAGGAGTAAAAGTTAGATTAATAAGCAACATTATTCTAGAAGGCAATGTTAGTTAGTAATATCCTATATAATATACCCCCTTAGGCGTTAGCATAGGTTGCTGTACGCCTAGATACAAAGGAAAAATAGTTCTTCTAGTGTAAAAAGGCTAGTTATTATATAATTATAGGCTATTAGCATTAGGTGTTCCTATTAGTAAGGCCACTTGCTATAAGGCTAGCCTATACACTAGTAAATATTTACCTTAAGGCTAAATTTATAGTTACTTTTTTCTTTTTTTCTTTAATAACTATAATAATAATTATAAGTTATATTATTATTTTTATTATAATTAATTACTAACTTATTATCTTTTATATTACTATACTACTTTACTTAATTACTAATACTCTTTTTTTTTTTAGATATCTTATAAAACTATTACCTTTAGTAAGGCTTATATATATACCCTTGTAGCTACTATAGGCCCTAAGGCTATAGTAGTCTTACTACTATATAACTACTATAGTTACTATAAGTGTACCTTGTCTCCTCTTAAGGAGGAGAGAAGACCTTTAGTAGGTCTATAGGAGTAAGAACCCCCTATAGATAGGTCTTATAAGTATTATCTTATTACTAGTTAATTAATTTTAGTGCTAAAGAATAAGTGTAGCTCCTTAAAAGTAATAATAAGTAGTCTCTCTAGAGACTAGCCTTCTAACTTTAGTTAAAGAAGCTATATAACTTAGGCCTAGATTTACCTTTAACTAGTATATTACTACTTATTATTACCTAGTTATTTTTAATTACTAACTTATTTTATAAATAATAAAGTAGTAGTAAAGTAGTTACTTTTTACTTTATATTAATAATAAGGAGAGCCTACTGCTGTCTCCTAAGGTTAAGGAGGATTTAGGTAGTAATAATAATACCTTTATAGAGGCACTAGAGTACTAGGAGGGTATAGTAAGGAGACCTACTATTATTAGCCTTATAAGTGTTACTTAAGGAGTACACTTATAGGTTAATCTAATAGTAAGTGTCTCTTAGGTCTTAGCCTTAAATATTACTAATATATTATATATTAGTGTATATATATACTACTTACCCCTAAGGTTATTAGCCTAGCTAATGCCTTCTTATATACTCTAAGTAGTAAAAAGGCCTTATATAAGTAAGTTACTTCTTATTTATATAATAGTTACTTTTACTTATATATCTTTATTTTAGGTAATTATAGCTATATAGTTATATATATAGGTAGTCTTACCCTAAACCCTAAAGAAAGAAGGCTACTTTACTTATAACTATCTCTTTAATAAAGACAAGGAGGAGGAGGATAAGGAGAAAGAGGAGGAGAAGAAGGAGAAGGTATATAATAAAGTAGGTAGCCTTAAGGATCCCTTTATAGAGGCTATTACCCCTAAGTATTCCTTTAGCTTCCTTTTAGT